TGGTGATTGCGGGGACAATTGATTGCTATAGCATGACTCAGCGCTGCAGACATGGTCATTCTATGTAACTCATACCTTTTCACATGAAATACATTATTTTATCTTCAGCCGAAATATATCATTCAGAGGTAATGGGCATTATATAGCTCATTATTGCGTTAGGACTAGTCAGTACAGTCGGTGATGTAACTTCTACGTAAGACATTATAGATTACGTGGTCACAACATGATAAATCTACAGTCTTTGGATTGGGTCAATTACTATAGCAGTAGAGATAAATGATTCAATACAGGATTAGTCCATAATTCTACAATGCTTCAACGTTAGAAACTAGAGATTTTAAGTTCTTGAATGAAATAATGGACTCTATACTTCCAGTGTCAACACTAAAGTCATGGAATGAACCAAAGGAGGTACATAATCGTCTCTGAATATGAAAATGACCTTTCTAAATCGTAGATAAAGATAGACGATCATTAGAAATACCCATGTTGATAAAATCCACACTACAGAGTTTGTCATTACTGTTGTCAAAATGAACAGTAGTTTTGCAGACCGATTTGATGTGTCCCATTTTACCACACTTAAGGCATTTAGCATAAAGAAAGAAATATGGATTAAATGAAATTTATCACAGGATAGACATTTACCAAACCCGTGCTCACCTCCGTACCTGCTTATCTATTCTTTGTTGAATCACTTTTCATACTTCTACAGGAATGTGGACCATTATTAGACAAACACGAGCTTAAGCGACATTGAGAATATAGTTCATCACGAAGACAGATTTTCACTGACTGGAAATGAAGTTCATTCACTGCCTAATAGTTAATATATAATGTTTTTATTTGTTGGAATGAACTTTTAGGTTTCTGAGTTAATTCTTTTTCTAAATTCGTAATATTTATCTGATCACGAAGTCGAATTTCTAACCGTTTTCTGAAACTTTACTTGATGACCTGTCTCTGTATTTCATCTACAAATTATTTAACTTTCTCATTTTATACAACTTCACTTTCGCTTTGTATCCAAACCAACACACTACACATGACAAAGTAGTAATTCCTTGAGAGATTAATCTTTTCTAGTCATACATCCAATTTTGAACCACTTCATAGTGTTTTCAAATAATTCCTCACTTGAATTGGTGTCAAAGTGTCAAAGATTTGACTCCATGGCAGCGTCAATGTAGTGACTGGAAGTATTCTAATATTTGTGCTAACAAAGAATTTTCGAAATGGTGAAATTTATGACAGGAAGAGCTAAATGAGAACGAACGTATCGTATCTGGAATTCTTAATCAGCGCACAACAAAGTTAAAAAATATCAGTTAGTAAAAATGCTGCAGTCATCACATCATATGATGCTCTTCTGCAGTGGAAAATCATTTCAGGACTCCACACAAATCGTTATTTAAAGTGGGTTGACTAGATTGCGGGAACTGGCCTACGCAGTGTTTGGCCTGCATAAAGTGTTCCATTAACAAGACAGTGGCCTCAGTATCCTGTGTTGCGGGTTGTTGGTCGAGATCGCTTGACCCTGAGGATATTTAATTCGGCTTTTCTGCCATTGTCTTGCCGATATGGGGCAGTTTCTACAACATCTGGTGTTGCTAGATATGTCATGTTGTATCGAACCTGATGAACCTCGGTTAGGTTGTCTTGATCTAGAAAGTTCACAAACATCAGAATAGCGACTCAATGGTCGTTAAGCAGCGGATCAGGAAACCAGAAAACGCCAAGTGCAATGGTAGTGTGAAAGCCTAGGCCGCTAGAGAGCCGACGCCTCTGTTGCATATCATTTTCGTGAGATTCTTCTGAGCTACCAATTACCAGCTAAGGGGCACTGTGAACGACCATACTGGTTGGCTATCGGATGTTTATTTGTGATCTAGCAGCATCTTATTTGCTTCACGGTTTGTCGTGCCTGGCTGGGATCTGAGGTCTCCTAACCTATGATCACCTGCATGTCTATAAAATTTATAAAACTACTTTTAACGAGCTGGGTTACTTTCCGATACATTTTCACCATTATACGGGCAGAACAGTTTCGCTGAAGTAGTACCCATTATAAATATTGTGTTGCATTTCTCCCATTGTTCTTTATCAAAACTGTTCTACAATTTGGTGAGCTACGCTTCGGCACTGGGACATCATATGCAATCGGGTGATTTTGGATGGCGTCTTCATCCTCATTGCTTTGCGCCCCGACGACCGCGCTACTACAATTTTCCCTCCTAACACCCACACACTGCTTCTTACTGTTGACAGAAACTGGGGCATAGCCTCGGGTTGTGGCCACCATACCCAACTGCCTAATTCCGCAGTTTTATTCACCACTGAAAATGTTTTTACTTAAATTTTTATGTAAACATATGAATTGATGTCAGTTACTTTGTTTCCATGACGAAATCGTGTGTCATGAAATGTTGACTGAATTGAATAGTTCCGTACAAAAACCCCCATAAAACTGCGTATATCAGCTGGATCTTAAAAGTGGCTTGTTTCACTGACACATCTTTCTCAGAACACTCAGTAATTTCTCTTTATATTTGTTCACAATCTTCATTACTTAATATGTTTGTGAAAATGATGTTTGACTTTTTGACGTAAAATATTTATCAGTTTTTCTTAAAATATTGAGAATATGCTAGCAACCAATGTCAGAATCTAGTTTCTTTGGCACAGTGTTTACATTTGTGTAATCACTAGCTTTAATGTAAGTTGAATGCAGAATTATAATCACACATCACTTATTCAGGCAAAGCTTCAATCTACTTTGCGGTCACACAAAAATAATACAACAGATAGGAATAACTACACGCTTGGACGTTGTTTGTTATCCTGGAGATACAAGACATAATTAGATACCCAGTTAATATTCTCCTTGAAGACATATCACAAACTCATGAGATTAAATCACTCACTCAAACAGTACAGCCTGTGCTATGCAATCAAGGGTCTCTCAAACACAAATTAGCAACATGACGACCAGTTAACAGACAAGAATCTGAAACCTGAGAATCAGTAAAAATATCCTCAACATGATGAGACCAGATATCTATCTACAAGGGTTCCAGCAACCTTTCTAGGCACAGTCTAAGGTTAACAATGAACACTAAACGACACCTTGACCTAGGGTTTAGTCAAACACGATCTTATTGTCCGCGATCTGGCAACATACAACAGTAAATTAAGTAATAAGGAGTAAAAATGTTAACCAGGATAAAATAGCAAAAGCCCCGATAAAGGAGACTGAAGAACATAAAATTTGGTTATAAAAAGCCTGAATAAATGTTAAAATACAAGAGAGGGAGACAAAACAAATAAATCATAATACTGTCTAATGAAATGTTGCGGAAAGGTTTTCAGATTTTTCTTTACGTTATGTCTCTGACAATGCTTGATTGCATATCAGATGATGACTTTGTGGTGGGTTCTCCCAGTTTTAGATCAGCGTTGTGACTTTTCAGATTTCAGGCATGCGGTGTACCAAATACTCAATCACCGGTAACATAATGTCGCACTAGCACCATGTTGAGAGTGACCTACAACTGAAAATACTATTTTACTTGACATATGATCCAAAATCCTTAGGTTGGAACCTTGACAGATCTATGGATTGGAAAAAGTCGTAGCACAGATGAAATAGATAAACTATCGTCTTCTGCTAGGCGTGGACGTACTGCTAACCAGTTATCAACGAACGTGAGATGATAAATGTCAGCTTCTCAAAGGTAGTAGGATTATTTTCCTACTAGTAAACTTAGGGACCAGTATGTTTGGTAGCATGTCCCAATCTATTAATAATACATTTCTCTTTCTCAGCTTCGTTTAGTAACTGTGGCCGATAAGTTGGTACTCATTCGTAAATTTAGGAATAGAGGCATACGCGATTGATCATTAAACATGGATGAGCCAGACACGGGAGTCATTAGGTCTCGAGAGTTTCAAGTAGGTATATACATGTTAAGCGACCACACGACTTTACTTGCGTCCATCATCTGTTGTGGCTGTTGCTTTCATATTCTTCACCAACAGTTGTTATCTAAATTGAGCTCAGTTCCCCCTAATCTTTGATGGTATTCCGGTTTAGTACACGAAGAAGGCCATCTCTAAATCTTCAAGCGTAGGATTGTTTATTCTTACCTGAGTATGAAGAAAAAACTCGATCATACCACAACTTATCCTTGAGTTCAGTCAAACGAGACCGTACTATCAGTGGTCCGGGATTATGAAACACAGAAATACAATGATGAAAGCGAATCAAATAATGTTGGTTTAAGCAAAGATTGAGAAGCATAAAAGTGTGGTTAAGTGAGTCTTGGATAAAGGTTTGAGTATGCAATAAAGAGAAAAGCTATAAAAATAACCACTGTAAGAAAAAAACGTTTCGGTGGAGTTATTCGAGCACATACTATTTTACAAAACCTGATGATATTTCTCTCGGACTACTTCCTGATTACACAATACAGACCCATGATCACCGAAACGATTCGGGATTATCGGTCCTAAAGAATCGGAGATTACAGGTTATGTTCGAGAGAAATTAGCCCGTATATCTACGCAAAGTAACGTTCGTAGTAAAAATAACAAAATGCAAATCTTTATCAGTTGTTCTTCCTAAATATAAAATGTAATATAACTAAACTTGTTCTAAGGATTTTCTCTATGTAGTATAATGAGTGTCTATAGGTTCGTCGAAAAGCTACATCCTTCGACAATCTTATCTAATTCAACAGGACTTCACCCATATTTTTAATCTACTAAGCTATCACTAAAAATCCGAAGTCGACAAAACAGGGCACTACATCTACAAGCTATCAAAGTAAACACAATACCTCAACTTAGAAGGGCTACAGACGGAGTTAATTTGGTTTTATGGAACATGATTACTCAGTATACCAGCTCATCAAAATTTTATTTTTTATTCTGTTTATTTTTCAAAATAATGTATCTATGAACACGTCAGAAAGTACAGTTTATGCTTGTTTGAATACACTAATGTTATATTTACAACGTTGAAGAATTCTGAAGTGCTCACTAGGTGTTATCGCTCACACCAAAAACTTTACGCCACATTGGCTTTAAAATGAATTAGTAACCCCAAAGTTGAAAAACATTCACAAAACATAAAAACTGCTTTCGAATATGTCCTCATTACCAGTTGAGGAGGAGACCTCTTTTCTCAGGACTGTACGGTTCCCCATATTATTCATTTCATTTTTTTGTTAAGGAAGACTTCATTTGCCTCAGCTGCTTTTCCCATGGAAGCTCGGAGCGACTTTGCTTGGCTGCAGAGGGATTTGGAAACAGAATGTGTTCTCTAGAAATAATTTCAAGAGAGGTGAGTTTTCGTATATGCGATATTTGATGTAACATTTTGGAGTTTTCCCCAAAGTCGTAGGAAGTCTGGTAGTCTTCAATAAAGTAACCTAAAGGTCTGGGGAAGTTTGATGAGAAATCACAAAGTGTTATAAGACTCTGGGGAAATATTGTAGAAATCCCTGAATTTTGAGGATTTCCACAAAACTTTGGGGATTTTCCCCTAACTTGTGGAAATTTTGTGGATTTTTTTGCTGTTTCCTCAAGATATTCTTAAGAGTTCCTATAGCAGCGATCAGGTAGTTTTATACAAAGTCTTCAAGTTATTGTATTATAAGCTCTGGTTATATTTGTTTACGGAGTAGCAATTTAAATATTCACAAATGTGATTACAGACATTCTTTCAACTTAGTACAACACCTTTGTGGGGTTGGAGATGTGCCATTCTGTAGGAATTTCTATACTGTATTTGATGTATCTAGATATTCATTTCAATTTCAATGGAATCAGGGCCAAGCCGTGTAGTAGTCGAATTTTTTTAAACCAAATACCTTCAAAAACTATCACCTATCTCTAGTATTCAGCTGGAATATTTCACAATTTTCCTTACACTAAATGCCTGTTTGATAGTTGGCAGAATCGAACTTTATTTTTGTAGAAGGTAAAATGATTTCTGCTATCTGAGTTTAAAAAAACCCAATGTCAACGTAGTTCACGAAATTAATTTTGACGGATCAGTATTAGAACTTAATGAAAATTCGAAACAAGAGTGGTAGAATCTACACTAAATTTGTTGAGTTATACTTCAATATTATGGCCTTTTAATGTTTTCGATGGATTACTGATATGAAACACATTCTATTTGTTTCCTAAGAAAAATCGTTTCAAGGGTAAATGCGACTGTCGCTGGTGATAATAGTAATTTTATTCAAAAGTTTGCAGAGTGAAGCATAGATCAAGCCAGCGATGTCAACCATTCATACTATCAGCATATAATATCATTGTAGGGCGCAGTGGGATGTTCAAATTAGACGATGGATCGTTTATGGAGTTTATTCCATATAATATTTCGTTACAATAAAATCAAATGTTTCTTTGTTTATAATATATATAGCAGTTAGTAATATTTATTTTTTTAACATTCCAAAAAGCGAGACAGTCTGAACAATGTATAAATAGTTAGATTTGCACCACATTATAAAATGGATCTAATTTTTATTTCCGATTTCGTCGTTTTTACTTCATTCAAGTTTATAAAGCGAAACAAGTGTATAAAGTATGCGATTCGTACCTCACCTTGTAGTTTACAAGATTTATGCCAACTACCGTTCAGCTTCATTACTATTTGCTAAGTCCCCATTGATACGTAGTTTGTATACTGTTGTATATAACGAATCAGATAGCTAAACATGATTCCATTACGAAAATAATACCCCATGATTATTCTTTTTTCTGTCGACCTTTGTGTTACAGTCACCTCCTCCAAATATGCCCCCGTGTGTTTTTGTTCTGGACCAAGCTCTTTCTGTACGAGCCCTTCAAGAAATGCTTTCCATTCAACATCAAAGCTCAGATGTAAGTTACCAACAAAGCAAATGTTCTTAAAACTAACAACTGACGCTATAAGTTACGCTAATATCACAATGCAAAGAGTCTAATATTAAGGAAAATCTACTTTCACAACTTTAAGTTCAGTCTTAAAATATTTACTGTGATCATATTTTCACTTGTGTGACAAAGAAACGAATCTTGTTTTGTACCATGGGCAAAAACGCAGCATCATTCTATCTTCTTTTCAATGTACTAGGTTAACTACAAGTAGATGACTAGATGTAACTAACATCGTAATTGGGTGTCAAAAATATAGGTACGTTCAAGCAATGTGGTAAGATAAGTTCAACATGGAGATTATTTTAGTGGATTTAAGATACTACACAAGGATTATCGGAACCAAGCTCGTTTAGTCATCTATCATCTTACGATCGGAGAGCAATATGTCGTATGGTTTAAGCCACTTTACATTTGGAACGTTAGTCAAACATTTTAAGAAAACTTGGGAACGTCTGTTAAAATCTATTAAGTAACAAAGGTTTACAAAGATAATTGTGAACTAACGATCTATAAATGTGTTACTATTTTTGAAATTTTGAGTTTAGAAATATACGTGGAATTCGGGAGTCTTAAGAAAGTTCATTTTTAAAGCAAAATACATTGTTTGTCATGCAGAGACCTGACTAACAATTTCAACAACTTTTTGAGTTTGGGCTAGCAAGAACGTAAACAAAATGAAATAAATAAGAAATTTTTATTGACATATTTCTGCACTAAGTATGTTGTTATCATGAAAGAAACAACAGTTAAATAATAGTTTATTTAATTTTAATAGGGAAGCGGTCAGTCTGGTCATAGAACTTTGCTCTATGGACATGCTATCCGGCTAAAACATAGAGAAAGTAACATGGTAAGTACTGTTCATTATTTATGTCAATTTTTATACAAAAATAAATGGTATACTTTGAAAGCGAAACAACTTTCACAATTTAATTTAACTGTAAAGTTTAATTGTATAAATCAACAATCCACCAAGCTACAGTAAGCTCAGTAGTATTTCCTCTCATGTGTCTATAATTTTCTAACTGGGTTCAATTCTTTTTCCAGTATGGTGTTATAACTCAGAACGAGTAATGTGGTTTGATTAAAGGAAGAAACGAAAAAGTACAATGAGTTGCATTTGTTTAAATTTTATCAGTCGCTGGTTAAATTTCAATAAGTTGAGCTGAATACTACCAGGCAATAATTAGGTAGTGACAAGCTGCAAATACAGCTTCCAGTGTTATTACATAAAACTAGGAAATGTGATTAATTTACATAGTTATATGATTAATCCTTCCCAATATACAGGTTTTAAGAAATGACAAATGGGGTTTTTGAAAGTTACCTTTTCTTAAGGGTATTGTACTTTAAGGTTTCTTACTTTAAACTGTATAGGTGTATAATTGTGTTTCGTGATATTGATAGTTGTGGCTTTTGAGCCATGTTGCCTGCGTTTCTTAACTTGACTAATAAATTTAAAATGTTTGGCATGTCAAATATATCCACAGATTGTTTTAAATTAAACTAAAAGTGTATCTTCAGGTACATATAATCTGTTGACACATGGACTACAACTACCCCATAAAAATCTGCTTAATTTTATTGGGTTGTCACAAATTATTTTGTCTTCAGACATATCACTGTCGGGATATCTATTGTGCTCTACTTTATCAGCATCAAACGACCTCAATTAAATCCACTTACTTTAACTAACCATATCGTTGACAGTTGACGTTTCTGACGTTAAAATGCAATTCCAAGGCTTTTTATACATTATGGGTAGAAGGTTACTGAATTTTATTACGTTTGCGATCGTATTTCTTAAAACTATGGTAAAATTCCCAGTTTTTATTATCTCTGTTTCGGTAAACTAAAATGTAGTATCTCGTATCGCTATTACAGCTTATTTTTAAACTCGAGAAGTAATATTTTATCATGCTATGACCTTCATGTTTTTAAGAATAAATTTTTTTAGCCTCATATTGCTTTGAATAGTACATCATTTTAGTAATATTCTAATAATTTTCCTAGTACCTCTCGTGTCTTTCGACAAGCACATCACAAGATAAACTAGCTTTTGATGTTGGTCTTCAACAGAATGCTGAGAGTAAGTCATTAATTTAAGTATATAAATGTTTTCATTTTTTAAGAAATCAATCCAACATATTTATTATAAGAAATCACACAACAAGGAGAATGTATTCTTAGTTATTTAACTGAGCTGTTGTTTCTCGGGCAAACATACGATCATTTTTATTTTGGGGTATGTTATCGTGAAGTTAATAAAACTTAAAAAGGTAGGGAGGCCTTGTAACTGACAATATACCCTACTCCAGTGATTCGTTGTTTCCATAAAAATTTTTAATGTGTTCGTCTGTGATAGAACCTTTGTTAAAACTGGATGTGAGATATTTCATGAATGTCATAGAGTATTTCTAAACATGGTCTTCAGATAAATCACTATTCAATAAACACATTGACATATGCCTGATCTATGAATACATGCGGAAAGGGTAACTCACTCTCATCAGTTTAAAAGTCAATTGACAAAGACAGTAAATGTGTGCGAAAGGATAAACAAAGGAGGAGAAGCTTACCAAGAAAACCAATCATGAACAGTACCTCTATGATTAGCCTTCATACGACTTACAGAATAACCAAAAAGTTCACTTCTACGTAAGACAAGAGCTAAAGATATTGTTTAGAATAGAGGTGAAGGCTCTTCAACCGAATTATTTAATTCAGTGAGCTCAACACCATTAAAATCATTTGCACCACTTAAAAGTATTTTTTAGCATCTCAAAACCCTGACTATCTATGCCCATATTCATGATTAGCTACACTATCTAGTTGAAGTAAAAGAGATTATTATGACTATTATTCAAAGACTATAGGTGATAAGGCTTAGATTTTAACTTCTCTTACTGTGTAATTTTATTCATACTCATAGTTTATTCACAGGTAAACAGGAACATCTGAAGCCACCTAACTATAACATTCCGCTCGTTGACATAATAGTCTATAGATCCAAGTCAAAACACTTTTAAGGATGAAAAAATTAGTTAAACAAGTGATGAAACTATTCGGAATTAAAAATCCATACGATGATAAAATGCCATAACTTTATATCAAACAGGTATGGCAAACATTTAGACGAACCGGATTTAAAATTTAACTACCGCAAAAACGAACCAAAACGTAGCGCGATAAATTAGTCTTTAGAAGCTCTCTAAATTGATACTTTTGCGCACAGTACTGACTGGATTCCACAGATCGGGAAATAAGGCCTGGCAAGTGAATTAAGTAATGTTATAAACCATATTCGACAATGAATGCCCCGGGATAATTTCACAATTGGCCCTGAAACGTAGCTTGATGTTTTTACTTATTGTCAATTAAGAATACCCGCAACATGCATAGTGATTCACAGATGTAAAAAACAAGAAATTCGTCCAGAATGTTATATCGACTGTTACAAACTGTGTATATTAAAATTAAAGCGCAATTTAATCAATCACTAGTGTTAAGTGGAGAATCTGAATATAAAAATTATCGTTTTTATTAGCATTTCAATGCCAATCTACTTAGATAGTATATCTCTTCATAAGATATATTACGACGATGATATTTAATAGGTATCTCCTGGTGCTAAACCAGGACGCATAGGTTTATATATCTCGAGAGCAAACTAAATCATCCTAAGATTAGGAACATGCTCAACTCTTAACAAGTATCGACCACGGATATAAAATCTATGTATTCTTACTGAAGACCTTAAAAAATATAGTATGCTTTTCGTACGGTAACTGACTTCTTGAAACTGAATGATTTATTAGTACACATTCAAACTACAAACTTGTCATTTGTTGAACTATCAAACACTCAAATTCGTTGTACTTCCACTTTTAAGCCGAAGCTTGCTGGTGGACAATACATCCAGCGTCAAAACAGCGTTCTGTTGGAGAAAAAGTCCGGATAGGAGATGATCTTATCTTGGTCAGTGTTTCATCTGAACGTTATTTAGTAAGTGTTTTGTAATTTTAACTCTGAATGTGATATAAATACCGTTAAATAAATAACTCCTAGCAAAATATTATTTTCATTGATAGTCACCGGTATAATGGCTCAGGTTAATTCTCAAGATTAAAAGTTGAATTATTATAAGTAATGAATGTACAGTTGCATTTGAGATTACAAATATTTCTAATAACTCTCTTTACACTCGAATTCCATCAATGGTATACTATTTTTTATTCATTCAGCCTATGAAAGCGCATATTTTGTTGAGATTTTGTTCCTGTATTTCTTTCTCGTACTGCTGATAATGGGTTTTTAAAAAGATTATGAATTATTTTAAACTACTGTTTATTAGATTACTTGAGTTATTTGATATTGTAAAATATGATTTGATGGAAGACGTCACAAACAGTTTAGAGATTTAGACTATAGAATAACATTATTTAAAACAAGTCGTAGTGAATATATAAACACGAATAACTGAGCTTTATCTGTGACACTTAATCAGTATTTGTAAACCAAATAGCGGTTGTAAAACATCATAGAGAACAAAGCTGACTACTGGAAAATCGAACGAACTGGAAGTCATCATATCAAAACAGATATATTAACGAGGAATATTCTTTACAATTAATTATCAACAAATCATACAGTTATAAATACAAGTTAAGATACTGAAAGAACAACCAAGTGTAAAACAGATACATCGTCTAAAACTGTCTCATATGAATTTGTAAAATAAAATAAAATCTTTATTTCGTAACTCCTGAACCCTTGGTAAATTTAAGTAAGGTGAGAAGAACAAGATCCACAGAATAACATGGATTTATTTTATTTCAAGGCTTTTTATCAGCTAAATGCAGCTGATATTTGCATTAATAGTACCAAAAAAAGTTTTACGTATCATAGTCAATGAAGTTTAGTTCGAAACTGAATAATAAGAAGAGGAAACAACATATTTAACATAATAGCTGAAATTGACTAGTATTTATGTGTTGAAGATGGAGTCATATGAAGAAGGGGTTATAAAAATTATAAAGAGACGATGACTGAAAAAATCTGTTAACAAATGGGTGATAAAGACGGCATCTAGTTAAACTAAAATTAAAGTTAATATCATGAGTGGATATCAATGGATTGTTTTAAACTCTTAAATCTTAAGGCACAATCAAGACATAATAAGATTGACAAGTGTTCAGCTAATATTCCTTATCTTTTTATAATCGGTTGTAACGTCAACCCCTTCTTCATATGACTTCATCTTCAACACATAAATACTAGTCAATTTCAGCTATTATGTTAAATATGTTGTTTCCTCTTCTTATTATGCAGTTTTGAACTAAACTTCATTGACTATGATACGTAAAACTTTTTTTGGTACTATTAATGCAAATATCAGCTGCATTTAGCTGATAAAAAGCCTTGAAATAAAATAAATCCAGGTTATTCTACAGATTTTGTTCTTCTCGCCATATTTAGAATTTTTATTGTTGAAATGACTAATGTACAATATCAGTTTGAATGAAATTGTGAAAGCAGTGATCGAATATAAATGTTGACAGTAAGGATGAACAAAGTAATAATGTAGTTACAGATCAAGTCAGATGTTTTGTGAAAGATTATTAAGTATATAAAATCATATGAACTCAGTAAGGGAGAGCAAAATGGTTTGGTGAATGTTAATTAAATCATTCACTTGTTTGAAAGATTAATAATAAAAGTAAGATTGATAATAATAATAATGATAATAATGCTCAGGACAGGGTTGGATGGAGAATGCTGGTGAGCGGCCTATGCTCCTTCACGAGGAGTAACAGGCGTAAGTAAGTAAGTAATAATGATAATAAGTATGAAAACCATGTATATTTGAATAAGATTAATATTGATCGATGCAAATACAAAAGCGGAAGGTTGTATACACATCAGTAAAATTCGGTTATCCTACACTTAAGATGACCATTGAAATATTGAATCTGAGGTTACTCAAGGCAAAATAATGAGTCGAACATATTTCTTTTGTACTCATACCGCCAGTATTTTAATCGGAATAGGTATTCATCCTACTATTCGGAGTTCTTTGAGTCTACTAGACTTTGGTAGAAAATTACTAATCTTATAAACAATTGGAAACGACTGATTTTTCCTAGAACTACAATTATTTTGAAATAATTGAACTGGTACTGAGTTGTTTACTGTCTTGACTACACCTCTGCCTAGCTATACCGGAAGGTGTTCATGAGCACACAAATGTATATTCCTGGAACTTTAACCGACTTAACTTGTCCCTTAAGAACAATCGAAATAATAACCTCAAAACGAGATGGCTAGCCTATGTATTTTATCTTTTAATCTCTGTGTTACAAAGTGACTCACGGAAAACACCAGCCGCAGTTTTCGAGCATTGAACGTTCTCCGGAGTGTTCTGAGTAATCTTTGTATTAACATTTCACTAGTTGCTTTGCCTTTGAACTTTAGATGCATGAGTAATGATTTCTTATTGAGGGTTTGTATTTCTTTTATTTTGACTTTTGTGGCCATATGTTTGTTTATAAACTTTTCAGGCCATCTGTTTTCCGAAGAGCACTGTACAAGGCTTTCAGCTCTTTTTCAATAGTGTTAATAGAAAATTTGACTCTCTATAATGGCATTTTTTATTAAGTTTCGTACTTCAGAGGTACAAAGCAAAGGAAATGTATGTACTGCTCTATTCACTTACTTTTCAGTTTGAGTTCTTTCTAATTAATTCATCTGGTCTTTCTATTTGTAGAATATTTAAAAGGAATATTCTACCTTCGTGTTTCTGTGCATTTGTGAGCTTGATAACAACTAATTTTCCATTACTATCTTTATAAAGATGAATGTATTATCTATATTTCGACAGCAAATGTGAACTTTTGAATAAATTTTTAAGTGGACCATTTTCTAGTTTTGCTAGAATAGCATTTTCATTTTCACAATATATGATCAAAAATCATTCATATCCCCTAATGGCTAATACTTGCTTTTTCTGAATCAGATGTTTTTAGAAAGCTACAATACAATAAACTAACAACCAATCAATAAATTCTGTGGGCTGTTACTAAATTTGACCAAATTCAGAGATAGTTTTACTTTTTGTTCAATTAAAATAAGTTCTGTAAATCAGTGATTGGTGCATAAATCAATAACTAACATTTTCCTCTCTGTGCCCAAATGTGTGTGGAATTCATTATTTACCATCAGTATACTGAATGATGTGTATATGCATTTAGGCATAGATATACATACACGTATATATATATATATATATATATATATATATATATATATATATATATATATATATATATATATATATACGTGTAAATAAATATCCTTTTATGTGTGTATAGTGTTTCCTGGTGTCCTTTTATGGCATGAACAACTTAGATCGTTAAATCACCACAAGTACGACTAAACAACTTTAGTAAACGATTTTATGGAAAAGAATTTTTTTCACTGAATTACTTTTATTCCTTAAATCATGAGTTGACATAACTTGATCGTAGTGTTCGAAATAGAAATTTAGTAGTGAAGCTTGAGTGATATACTTTAATCATTATAATAATAATAATAAATTTATTCTGAAAAATAATAATTACAGAATTCACGCCAGTTTACAGGCATGATCAATTTGATATAAGTAATAACGTTAAACGTGCAGAAAACAAACATATGATAAAAGAAAGTTTTAAGTGTACTAGTTCACTGGTTGTTTAAGTAGTACAAGTATTACAGCGATCCAAAGCATTATCCGGGATTTTTTAATATTTCTTAAATCGACAGCCTGTTGATTTATGAACGGTGTAATTATGGTCAATTCGTGTGCCAGATCGAATTAATGATAATTATCTACAACTAGAGAAATTAAAACGAAAACAGAGAGCACGGAACAACAAAAAAGTAATTACCAAAATATATTAATCAGGTCTACCTAAATGCGTGTGTCATGTGACACAGTGATATACTGTTTGTGTTATTCAAATTAGTTAAAGTTGCTATGGGCAGTGTTGACATATTGACAACAAGTGGGTGGTTTTACTAAGGGGATTCAGTAGTAAAGATGGCTAAACATTTAAGGTTCCTAAAATATCACTTGTGGAATGAGATACACTTAAAGGCGCTAGACCATTCAATGCATTTTCAGAAGAACAGTATGCATCGATGCAGCGAACAAATAATGGGAGCGATTTTATCGTGCGGATAGGTTGTGGTAGGTTATTCCAGAGTCTAGAGAATTTACAGGTGAAGTAATTCATATAAAGAGATGATTTAGAATGAGTTTGTTTCACTAGTGCCAAGGAATTACGGATGTCATAATGAGAGGTTTCTGCATATTGAATCGCGTGATCGGATGTGAATGATAGTTTATGAAGTAGTTTGAAGAAAAAAATAAGATTTAGTTTGAGTCTCCTCCTCCATAAAGGGTCTAGCCCAAGTTTATTACATCTAGAATTATAAGTTAAGGTACAGTCAGCTCCAAGAATACGAAGTGTAAATCGTCTCTGTACTGATTCCAGCCTTAATTTATCCTTTATGAGAGCACTGCTAAGAATAAACGTGCAGTATTCCAGTGAGGGCTTGTCTCGTGATGCAGTTAGGTGCTTTCTTCAATGTGTGTCCTATCCACCTCCTGATTTCTTCCTCCACTGGGATCTGGTTTGTTCTCTCCCACAGTAGGTTGTTGCTTTAGTGTTTGGTCAACGGATCCGAAGTATTTTGCGTAGACAGCTGTTAATAAACATTTGTATGTTCTGGATGATGGATTCCGTAGTTTTCCAGGTTTCCACCCCATACAGTGGAACTGTCCTAGCATTTGTATTAAAAATTCTGACTTTGGTGTTGGTTGACGGTTGTTTTGAGTTCCAGATGTTCTTCAGTTGTAGATATGCTGCTTGTGCTTTGCCGATCCGCGCCTTCACATTTCAGAACTATACCCGGGGTGATTATTAACTTTATTTTTATTGCATAATTGTTGGACGTTCTAGTGACTAAATTTTTAAGTCCTCCTATTCGTCATTCCAGATTTATCATCAGTTAACTAGTTCCCTATTATTCTGTTTTGGTGTCACTTGTAACTGAGTTGTTTATACATTGCAATTTTCTACTTTGTGTTACTATGAAGTCAGGTGTTGGAGGGATATTTTTTTTTGAGTTCTAGGTCATGATTGAATAGTGTAATAGGGAATTGATTTACTTGAAATCTTTGTCTTTCGGTTCAACACTGGGCTGGAAGGAGCTCGAGGATCAATAAGTTTATGGGTTTTGATTGTTGGTAATTGATTGCTGTGTCATTTGGTGAGTAGGTCATCGGTTCTACAAGGAATATTAGGGAACAGATTAATGACTGGATAATACGAATGCTCCTATAAAAACTGGCCAAACAAAGGGGCTTTGGCACAACTTAAGAACCTATTTTCCTTGAGGTTCTAACCACGTTTGAACCATAATAGACTCCATCTGAATTAGTTTAACTCAGATATTCACAATTAACTGTTTCCTAAATATATTTGGCTCTTCTTAGCATGTTTATGGGGAAGTCATTTCAAGCAATGGCGTAATTGCGAGTTTCCAGCAAACTCTGTGGACAGTACTTCCCGTTTCCAGTGGTGCAATAAGGCAAAAATCTATGCGTAAGTTTTCCATTCATTTTTTGTTTTTATCTAATATCACTTCAATTATGAAAGTGTAGTTCTCTACGAAGACACTGATTATCTACAGTCTTGAAAATCATTAGTAGGAAAATATAAGCCCCTGCAAATGACGCAATACCAACTAAACAAGTCGACTACCTTTCGGACTTAGTTTAGTGGATAATTTGGCGGCTTCAAAAGAGGCAGGTATTGGGTTGGAATCTAAGTATGAACATCAATGGAACGAAGGCACACTCTAGTGACGAGTCCCAAATTGAATGGAACATGTGTTATGGTTTCCAAGGCTTAATACAATCGAAACATAAAACAAAACATAACCATGGATAGTGTCAAGGCATCTGCTTATAATCCATATATTTCGAAAGACTGATAAAGTGTAGTCTTTAATATCAACAACGGGAAAGTAAATTGCTTTACAAAAAAATAAGTAAAATGGTCACTCTGTATCGGAAAGTTCCAGTTTATGTATGTATCAAATAAAGCTAATGATAATAGACCATTATTTAGCAAATGACATATAACAAATAATTCATAGGTGCTACTATGATGGAGCTCTGTTGTGTGTCATATCTACTGAAAAATCAGGAGCCAGTGTATCCTATTATTTCATTATGTAAGGACCTAACCACTGTCTATGATCAAACTAGTTACGGTTTCTTTTCAACCAAAGGAGCTTAGTGATATTTACTCAGGGTTTATAAGTGACCGCAGTTTAGGCCTTAAAAAGACTATAAACCATTTAAATGCATTTTGATAAAGACAAAACTTATCTACATGGGATCTTATCAGCTGTTATTCATAATGGACTATTTAAATGCTTAATGAACTTCTTGATTGAGATCATGAACAAAATGATGTTAGGCCATCACAATTGAAAACCTGGAAGCACTGGTCTAACATCAATTGGTTCATGATCTCAATCAAAAACTTAATAATCTCCACAACCCCTATACTAGTAATAAACTTCTATCAGAAATTCGCACAGATGATCTACTTAGTAGCTTACATATTATTTCTGATCTTTTATAGTACAATAAATTGCATGCAGATTAGATATATTATCGCCTTGTAAGTAATTGTGATTATTAAGCATTACTGTGCAAATATTGTAGTGGAACAAAAAATACCTAAATCCGATTAGCTTCTCAACAAAATAAATGAAGGAAGGGGGATTTTGATAACTTTTGAAATAAATGAAAATTAATTGTTTGGCTTACCGATCAATTTTTGTGATGTTTACATTGTACGTATTAAATAGATATGGTATTAGGCGGTGATGTTGTTCGCCTCTTTCATGGTGATGAATCTTTGACAGCAGCGTGTGCCACTGAGTCAGAGGAATTTTCATCATCGGTCGCAATGACAATGAACGGATCAGCTCCCGGAAGTCCCCCTAATAAAATACAACGTTCTAGTATAGTGAATTCTGATTTATTGTCTGGGTAAGTAAAATAGAAACTCTCTCTCTCAGTAATTCATAAGTTTTAATACTCTTCTTTGGAAAACAAAACTTAAGGAATAAGGACGAATTTAGCTATCTAGGAAACATTATTTTATGGTTTCCATAATTATACAATGGTTAGTGTGATCACTGAAAATCAATTATTATTGCAAAGATAAAGAATAATGGTTGATCTAATTTTCTGCAAACAACTATTCTTTCACGATAAGGAGCGTCTAAATTCAATTAGTAGAATTGTAATTTAAACTGTTTGTTTAGATTTATTTACACGATGCTTTGTGACGAAATAATTAATCGTTAAACAGGATGTAGGATTTTTTATAATCTGTAGAATTTTACTAATGAAGACATGAAAAGCGTTCATTAAAGTCAATTTTCTTCTCTATGATACCGCTTACTGATGATGTACATATGTATTTGTAGCTATTTAACTCGCAGTCGTTTAGAAAAAAAGTAATCAAATAGGAGCTTTATAACCAGTGCAAAAACATACTTGTGACAGTTTCCTCTAGAAAAATAACTCTTATTTCCAGGGTCCATTAAAAAAAGTTTTAAGGAATTTCAGAAGACTAGGGCTCGGCTGTCCATTCAGCACTGTGAAAGATTTCATGGCTCTCTATTGATGTTCTGCGTCCAGGAGGAAATGAAGTGTCTTGAGGGAACACTACGGAGAATGTTCAGAAAACCTAAGGTGGACACTTTGTCCTATTCCGCCAATGCAATTTCTTTGAGGTGATAGGGGCCTTATGAGTAAATCCTGACTAAATGAAGAAGTTACACCCAAAAAATCCGGAATCCTAAACAAAAATGTTTGTTCATGAAGTGGTATTACTATTACGAAATGCATCTAGTTAATCAACACACCTTAATTCATTAGTTATCTGCGGTGTTGTATGCCTCAACGTGTATAGTCTAAAAAAATGATTCCTGAAATAATTACGGGAAGTTTATTTACAAACATCTGTTGGTTCAAATGGAATCTAGTAGCTGTGGCTAAGAGTATAATAACTGTTAACTATTGAAATTAGGACTGGACGCAGAAAATAAAGACCTTCACAGTTAAAAAAAAGTTCAGTGAACGTACGATAATGGAGGTAAATGTTACGGATATAAGCAGTTGGAGTTACTGTCAGAAATAAATTGAATATTACGAATTCGTATAAATACAACGAACAGTATGGTAGACTTTGTGCTCAAAATGATTGAGAATGAAATTAGTTATTGAATATTAACAAGTAGTATAACTTAGTAAGAAAAAAATTATTCGATTAAAAGGAATCGAAGAGGCTCAGGCCAGATTAACAATGTGATCACACTAACTTCCAGACATACTCATTTCCACAAGTATTTTCGGCTTGCTTTGTAATTCTGGTTTGGAAAAACCATAGGTTTTAATTGTCTGATTAAGATGGTATGAAGTAAAATCAATCCATGTTATTGCTCTCAAACGTTATTAATAAGGGGAACCCAGTGCTTAATAGTCGAAAAATCATTCATCAAGTCATTAAACCTTAGTCCACAAGAGAGCTTTAATACCAAATTAACTACTGCCTAGTAAATTTGGGAAATCAAAAGGAGATAACAGCAACTGATCATTAGAAATGATGAGTTGCAGAAGTGTTAGCATCATGATAGATTAAAATAATGAATATATTCTTTCGCACACCAAACTCACCTTAGAACCAGTAGATTACTAAGGTCTCCGAAGCGTGGAAGTTTTTGGTTCGTAATAATTTTGGTCTCTGTGGTTGGTTTTGGAAGAAGATTCTGAAGGGGCAGTGCAACGACAATTGAGATAGTGTTTTAAATTTCACCTACTGATTAATTTCGACAACCAAACAGGCTAGCAAGCAAACGCGTAGATGGAGGTTGATATAGCTTAAAATCTATGTTCAGAAAAATTAAACAAATGTTTAACAAAGTTTATGTGACTGGACTTCATTGTTCATATATATTATATGTTCAGTTTATGAACAGTATTTCTATTTGATATAAATGTACATTTTAAAGTGTTGAACTGGTCTGAACTATTAGAAAAAATGACACACCAAAACATCAGTGCAGGGCTTATGCATACACAGTCCTTGGGTAAGAAATAATAGAATTTGCTTAAGCAACGGTTCGGACACTTATCACAGTAAAGAATTTTTAACAACCTCAGCGTATTATATCATTTATTGAAAAACTTAAATCACAGGGTTTTCTGTTTAAACGTTTTATAGTTAATGGTTACTGGATACATTCAAAAAGATAGCAACTGAGCGAATCTCATAAATATATATCACTGATATGATTGGAAGAAAAGTCAATTTTCGATTGATTTACTCATTATGAGTTTTATTCAATATTACATCCGTTTTGATTCAATGTAATGATCATTCAGTGTAGTATTCGGTTTTGTTTTCTCCTATGATATTTTATTCTGTATAATATGCGATATTCTTGTATTCCATTGACATGAACTATGCTCAGTATGTGATTTTTTATACATGTGATTTCATCCTAATTATTAATCAAAGTGTGTGTACAATCAATATATTAATGAGTGTGCTTCCGACTAGGTCGTCGTCGTCCTGTTTTGAGGTTAATAAATATACACTTATACCAGTCTTTGTGTTCTTACTTTCTCGTCGTGGGAATTGTGGAGGTCCCTCGTTCCGAGTATAAGCAATAAGCGTTTCCGACACAACAATCAGTGACGACCAGATATAACAAGTAACATTCATGCGGCAAGTTATAACAATCACCTAAAAACATTAGTTTATGTATGTGTGGTTTGTAGCAGATGTAGTATAGTAGTCTCCAGGACTTTGAGTTTTATGCACTAGGTCATATATTCAAATTTATCCAGACTTAATTTGGTTAATTAACTCAAGAGTCATTGTTGCTAAGTTTTCTAAAACATTTGTGTCTCAACACCTAAGACAGGAAATCTCGAAAATTATTACTGGTGGTCAGAAGTAGAGTTAGTTATGTATCGTGTATGATTTCATTTGTTTTGAGAATGCTCACCATGTATGGTTGCTGGTGTTGAAAACTTCATATCCACACTTGACAGTATAGTTCAAAATTTCTCTTTAGTGTACTCTTACCTCATTGGTAGTCATTGTTTTTAACCAACCAATATTATTCCCCTATTTTAATATGTTTTCTGATAGTTCACGTCATGCGGTTATGTATGAAATTGGCGCTGTTTCAACAAGTGCTCGCTCATTATGGCGGATTGAACATAAGAAAACTAAGTGGAGTGCTGGTTTCTTCTCATGGGGTTCTGAAATTCGTTTACGTCATGTAACTACTGGTCGTTATTTGGGTGTATTGCCTAGTGAAGCAAATGGAAGTGGACACTGTGATGTCGTCACTTTGTCAGCACATGAAGCAACAAATGCAGCTTCAATCTTTTTGATAAGACCTAGTAAAGTATGTTTTTATTTTGAGTAGTACATTCAGTTTCTTCCTTTATATAAAATATCTGAGTTGAATTAATTTACTATCTATTTGAAGCAATAGTAGTATGCGTGCTGTCTAGTTATACACTTGATTAATTCATAAAATTGTTTATATGGATAATGTCCGTAACAAAATTCAAAAGAATTTTCAGCTTCGTAGTAATTATCATTTACGCTAATAACTGTTTTCAAACAGTTAACAAGTGATATAATGCAATATATCATAATTGCTTACGTCAATAAACCCTTGCATATTTGATTGATCGTAGTTTTTTTGTGATATATGTCTTGTACTATTTGTATGAGAGCGACTGACAACCACTATTCATATTAATTGACAAGGACTAGAAAAACAAACAGACTAAGAGCCAAAACATTGATATTTATGGCACGTAGGCTTTAATAATTTGAAATTGAAGATTAGGAAGTGAACTAGTTGTGGATCAATTACAGCTATTATCGCCTTTGTTTTTCTTAATAAAACAAAATGTTGTGTATACAAATATCATTTTGATGGAATTAGAATATTAGTAAATTATACTAGATTATATTTTAGACTAAAAATTCATTGTCTTCTTACATCTTCATAAAAAGTGAACGTTTATTTATTGCAACTCTAAATTTGTTTATTTGCAGGATGATAAAAAACGTTCAGAAGAACACGAAACTGAAGGTATGGGTGAACCAGATCTTAGATTAGGTGAAACATTAGCTTACCTTCAACATGCGGCATCTGGTCGATGGTTATCATATGAGGCATACGAAACACGTAAACGTGGTGTTGGTCGTGTGGAAGAGAAAAAAGCTGTCCTATTAATTGAAGGTCATATGGATGATTTGTTTAGTTTAGTAAGAGCACAAGATGAAGAAATCAGGTCAGCATCAGCAATACGTCGATGCACATCTGTATTTAATAACTTTATACATGCATTAAATTATATATCATCACCGCAAAATATAACTTTACCATCACAACAGAGTCAGTGTAATTTAAGCAGTGGACATTTATTAGGTGAAGTAACTCAATGTTTAGAGGATTTGATTGAATTTTTCGCTCAACCGCATCCACATGAAGAGCACGAAATTCAACAATCTAAATTAACTGCATTAAGAAATCGTCAAAATTTGTTTCAGGTAAATAATTGTGTTTTTTATCACTAAGTCATTTAACTGTATAAAGTGGGATACTATATGAATGATTGATAATCGGTTTTCATGATAATTCAATTAACTAAAAGTGAAAAAAATTTCTGATCATTGAAATGATAGTAAACTGTATGCAATGTTGATTTCTTATAACACACAGAAAATATGTAATATATTAATGTCACTTTCTGTATTAACCTGTCGAAAATGAATAATGTGAATACAAATATAATACTTGCTGTTATAGTACTTGGTAATTGTAAGTAATGTATTGTATTTGTTCTAATTATCAAAGTTTCCTAAGGTGGTTAATGGACTTTCATTTGGTGAAATTATGATAAGCCTACCAGACATATCAAATATTAGCGACTTTGGACTGCTATTTAAATTGTATTAAAAAAATGGATGGAAATGTCCTAGAATGATAATTCCAAGTAATTTGCAATTCGTGGCTAGTTTCTATCATATAGAGATCGTTGACTAGATATGTCTTGTGTTTGACACCGAACTGTCAAAACAAATCTCATAGTTCCACATTACTTTTGGCTTTATTTTCACCTCTTATCATTTGTCTACGCCAGAATGAAGGTATGATTGGGCACGTATTGAGCACTATAGAAAGATTCACTGGAACATTCCAAACGCGTCGAGAATTTTCACAAGCTGTTGGTGAGGATAAAGCTGATCAGTTTGATGAATTGGGTAATTATCTATACTTACTATTAGCTGCACTTATTCGTGGCAATCGTGAAAATTGTGCACAGTTCGCTACACCTACCCGATTGGATTGGCTTTTCAATAGGCTGGAATTACAACAGGGCTTCGCTGAAGGTGTATTGGATGCTTTACATTGTGTTCTAACTGACAGTGACGAAGCTTTGTATTTGATAACAGAACGTCACATACGCACACTGATTGGGTTACTGGACAAGCAAGGTCGTGATCCAAGGGTTAGTACTGTAGTTCTTGAAGTCTTTTTTAAATAATCTAATGTTTGAATTGACTTCTGATTACTTCTATTTCAGGAGATAACAATGTTTATCTTATTTCGGTAAACGCTATTGGACTCGTCAATATATCATTTAAAATACTGGGAGTTCAAGCAAAGATGGTTCAAGACATTTCTTCAAAAATGAGGAAGGACAACTAGTTTGATGCCTTATAGAAAATTTGTAAATAATAACTCAATTAGAGAGGACGAGGCATTTAGTTACCTTTGTTGGTTGAAACAGTTCATTTTATTGATATTGTAAATTATAATTTACTGATGTATTAATCTCAAGTACTTTTAAGTTCGATGTATTTACGTCTGGTTATTGACCAAAAAAGTAAATCATATAAAGCTCAGTGTTTTTAGGTGAAGTTTTGATTTATCTTTGGTGCTTAATAAACTTTCATCCGTAATATTCGCCTTTTCACATGAGTCGTGTAATTTGCAGTGTTCACTGTTCTAAGTCGCCGGTCTTCCACAGTTATGAAAAATGGCCATATTAGTGTTCTGCTGAGTTATAACAGTATCGGTGTGCCAGTGGGTTGACGAACTGTTGCTGAAAACTAGTGTTTACAGGTTCATTAATAAGTTTTATTGTTCTCAGACTAGAAGAGCTTTAATGAGTAAATGGGTGAAATACAATGTTATTCAAAGCGTTAGTGTTAAGAAACATAATACCATTATCCACTTATTAAAAAGTTTATTTTTACACATACCTAACAAAGTATATTTTTATGGAAAAAAAACTCGAGAATTATTAATCACTATCTTGCAAATTTATTAAATATTTATTTAAAAAGTTGTGTTAAATGTATTTATACGATATGGCATATTGTACTTCTTTGTAAAGAAGTAATAATTCAGCTAATTTTTAATCAGATTACTGGTTTAGTTGTAGGTAGTTCTGTCAGGTGAATTACTGAAAGCAGGAGGGGAAATTGAGTTATTGCTTCATTCTACTTTATAACTTAAAATAAGTGGTATTCATTCACGATTTTACATAGAATGGAGCCGTCGATACTTGAGTCTATCAGAGAGCATGATTACTTGTTTGGGATCTAAAGTCTCACATTTTCACCTTCACTCAATTTATAGAATAATAAGGAATTCAACTAGATTGAGATGACTCAGCTGTGTGCCGCTACCTTGTTTTCTATGGTTCGTTAATTACTACTAATTCGTGATAAAAATTATCTATAGTCTGAGTTATCGTTCATTTTATCTTTGAAATTTGATTATTTTCTTTTTCTGGCTACTTAATGTGATGATATAACAAATCTATGACTTTTCTAGAAACAAAAGTTTCCTAATATATGGTACAGATATTATACGAATAACAGAGTGCATAAATGTTTTTACAATTCTTATTTTAGGTTCTACAAGCATTATGTTCATTATGTCTAGGACGTCAAGGTGGAGCTGTACGATTAAATCAGGAGTTGATATATGAAACTTTACTACCACAAAAAGATTTATTATTACAAACAAAATTAGTTGATCAATGTGGATCAGTTCGACCAAATATATTTGTCGGTTATAAAGATGTGAGCCTTATACTTGTTGATGATTATATATAATTATTACTGATCACCCTTTATCTGATTTTACTTAATATGTATAGGAACCAAAACTCCAATGGTTATTAAAACAAATTTAAGTTTTTCACATGATTTTTATATATTCACTTTAACCGACCCACTTTTAATTTCACACTGACTCATTTTTTTTTATAAAAGATGTCACTAATAATCATACTTAGCCTCCGTTAGTTATTGATGGTAGCTCTACGAACAAGATGTTGCACTTAAGCACTTATATAAAGGGATTTGCGGAGCATATACAATTTTGCAATTTGAATCATAAACTGATTTTAGCTAGACCACCAGTGAGAACCTGGAAGCACTGGACACCTGTTTCATCCCATTGCGGAACTCCTTAACAGTTAGGATCCTCAGTCATATAACCGGGAATCCTATCCAGGAGCTTCGGTCTCACGCGTGAAAGCGTAACCTCCAGGCCACTGGGCTGGCAATCGATGTGAATCGAATGAGGTTAGACACTAGCACCATTAGACACCGGTTCAGTGATCTGAAGGTCCTGAGTTTGATTCTCGGTTAAAAGAGGAGTTCTACACTAGGATGAAACAGCTTTCCAGTGCCTGAAAGTTCCTAATGGTGGCCTAACTAAGATCGGTTCGTGATTTTAACCATGAATGGAAAATTTTCTTGAATGAACAAAAGTGAGGGTTGATGAGAATCATATGCCATGCTATTGCCGAAAGGTTATTGATAAATTCATGTACCATGTTATACCGGATTAAAATATTTTCGGAATCTTCAATAGTTCTTTATGTTTACTCTTATTGAACTAATTAGAAAGTCAAAATTATCATATAAACGATTTTGACAGATAATCTAGTTACTCATACACACTTTTTGTCATAAATTAATATCGCTTGAAAAGATACTAGTGCCAAAATGGTTTCTCATCGGTTTCTTATTCTCATTTAGAACTGATCATTAAAGTATGTACAAAATTCACTTCTTTCATGATTAATTGAAGAATTGGAAACATTTGAGTTGTTAGTATTACAAATATATCCCTAAACTCGAATTAAATGCTATACATTTCGAAGCTTATTCGGGGATACATGTCACAATTTTTAGTAGTAATTAAAAAGATGTTCGTAACTGCACACAGAAAGCGAAATTGATAATGATGATGATGATGAGGGATTGGTAAATTGCAAAAGTTCTAGGTGCAGTCTTGCATACTTTATTTCTTCAGCTTTTTCTGTTTTATAGATTACGGAGACATAGCTTTCTAAAATCGATCCCGTGTAGAAGATTGATTCAAGATCTATACAGCAAGTGTTGAGTTCTTACTCATAACCTCGGATCGATCGACTATCATTGGGCAAGTGAAAGATCAAACTATTATGACTCGAGTCATCACAGTATGAGAAGAAATTTATGAAATTAGAAACCAAGAAAAGGAATTAATATCAATTACACTAAAAATCTAGACATTTAAGATATAGTTTAAAAATTAAAAAATGAAAATTTAGATTCAAAGGAAGTTAGAAAATCGATGGAACTATAGCACTGCGAATGATTTCGCGCCATACTGTCCAACACCTATAGCCATAAATTACGACTCAAGCGTCAACCAAAAAGTTTTCACTTCCTATCAAGGCTTGAATAAGCTTGAACACAAGTCGATAGACTGTACTTAGTAATGACTCATCTATTAAAAGGTAAAAGTCAAGATAGTTGAGTCGAAACCTAAAATAATCCTTTTCGATAGTCATACATGCATTTTCTAAAGTAATAACATTTCCCTCATCAACATTGCTTCTTATTTTCATTCGGAATCTCCGTACTTATTGAGACCTTACCGCCGGAGACGGATATCCGTGGGATAAGGCGAGGTGTGCATTTTTAGAGTTGACCTTTTCTAACCCCACCCCTCCTTGTGGGGAGGCAGCATCACTGTCATGCTGGTTGCTTGAAGGAAACACCTTACTGTTGTCACACCTCTGTACAGTCAGCAGTACGACTTAGCCTTCGGACCTTGGGTTTGTTGCTTTTAGTCTTACCGCTCTTCAACCGACCTGTCTGACATGGTAGGACCTTGAGGAACGGTTGTTCAGGCCAGTATAGCTCGGCTGCTTCATCACGATAGGCAAGCCCGACCACCACGTCAAGGTAGCAACAACGGTTGGGTCGTGTGTGACCGACCTCAAGCAGTTGTCTCTTGAGCACTGCGGTCACGCTCCCAGGTCACTAAGACCACTTCTAATCCGATTTCCTTTTCAGGTACTTCCAGAAGAACCCTTCCACGGTGTGGGCAACCGGTAAGTGATAATCGCCCTCATACTTCTAACAGCACTCAAGACCACTGTATTCATAATCAACCTCCCTCTTCAATTCCTATTGTTTCTCCTACCTCGACTTTTAACTCTAAATTTCCTCTCTCGGCTTCCTCCTCAAGTGTCACCATAACCAACGATTCTAGTGTTCAAAACACTGTCCGAAGTCTACTGAAACCTCGCTCCAAATTACACATTGGAGCCTTCAACGTACGCACCCTATGTCAAATCGGTCAGCAGGCTTCCTTGGCTAAAACCCTAGAGTCTCTCGCCGTTGATGTGTGCTGTGTCTCCGAAACGCGCATACAGGACTCCAGTGTAGTTATTCACTTGACCTAACCTCGGCAGAACGGAGAGCCAGCGAGATACACCCTCCGTGTATCTGATGACCCGATGGACAGTTCTCGTGGACTGGCAGGTGTAGGCATAGCACTAAGCATGAGGGCCGAACAAACACTGCTAGAGTGGATCCCCGTCAACAGTCGTCTACATGCTGTTCGGCTAAACGGCTCCGTAAGAACTCAAGAGGATAGGGACACACGTCGTTGCCGTTTTGTCGTTTCTGCCTACGCTCCCACTGACTGCAGCTCAGATGAAGTGAAGGATGAATTTTACAGAAAGCTATCTGAACTTCTTCAGAAAGCTAAACGATCAGACATAGTACTCGTAGGGGGTGACTTTAATGCTCAGATAGGTAGTTTAAACCAGACAGAAAGGCACTTAAGTGGATATTTTAGTATTCCGACACAGCGAACAGATAATGGTGATCGTCTGCTGCAACTATGCTCAGACAATCGTTTATTTTTAGCAAACACAAATTTTAAGCATAAGGAGAGACATCGTCTAACATGGCGACCTCCTACACCAAACCAACGATGGACTCAAATATACCATATTGCCATCAGTCATCGTTGGAGAGGGTCGGTAGAAGATTGTCGCTCATTCTGGAGTACCTGCTTGGACTCCAACCACGCCCTAATACGGGCACGCATCTGCTTGCGCCTCACCGGACGCAAAAAAGCCACATTAAAAAGACCCGTTAGAACTGAGTTGAGTAACGAGAAAGCCAAAAATAGGTTCCAAGAACAACTGAGTTCACACTTAGGTAGTTCTGAAGACGAGGCTGACCCAGATGTTGCTTGGAAAGACATACAAGCAGCTGTGGAAGCAGCAGTGATATCTATTAGCAACTTAAACCACAGAGTTTCAAAGAACCAGTGGATTTCTTCAAAGTCTATCACACTGATGGATTCTCGCAAACTCGTCCCATCAGGTTCCGAACATGATGAAGAGCGACAACAAATCAGATCTATGTTAAGAAAAAGTCTAAGAAACGACCGTGAGCAGTGGTGGGTAACGAAAGCAAAAGAGATGGAAAAGGCGGCGACTTTAGGGAACACAAGACAGCTTTACAGACTAATAAAAGAAACTGGAATTAATAAGTCAAGTGTAAGTGAGATTATTTCGGAAAAAGACGAAAGCCTCATCTGCTCTCAGTCCAGACGTTTAGAACGATGGGCGGAACATTTTAGAGAACAGTTCAACTGGCCTTCAGATACTCTACAACTACCCTCCATTCCCAGACAGTGTGAATGGGACATTGAAGTAGGTCCCCCAACTCTTGCTGAAGTTAGGAAGGCTATAGTTAATCTGAAACGAGGAAGGGCAGCTGGTCCAGATGGATTGGCTCCAGAAGTCTTTAAGGATGGTGGTCCAATTTTAGCGATTAGGTTGACTAATATTTTAGCTAAGATCTGGAAATTAGACGTTATCCCATCTGACTGGTCACAATCACTTATCGTCCCAATATATAAGAAAGGGTCAAAATCATCCTGTGACAACCACAGAGGGATTAGTTTAACAAATATAGTATCTAAAATACTGGCCTCAATAATAATCAGACGCCTAACTAAGACTCGTGAACTGCAAACACGAGAAAACCAAGCTGGCTTCAGACCTGGTCGTGGCTGCATCGACCACATATTCACCATTCGCCAGGTTCTAGAACACAGGTATACTTATCGGCGTCCGACAATGGTGGTCTCTCTTGACTTAAAAGCAGCATTTGACTCGGTAGACCGCGAGATTCTGTGGCATTGTCTGTCACTGAAAGGCGTACCCCAGAAGTACATAAACCTTGAAAAGGCTCTTTACTCGAACCCTTCTAGTCGAGTCAGGGCTTATGGCGAACTGTAATCTGCTTTTGCAAATCCAAGTGGTGTCCGTCAAGGCTGTCCACTTTCTCCATTTTTGTTTAACTTCATCATAGACCTATTGATGGAAATAACACTCTCGTCGACTGAATTCTCGGGTATTGATCTCCTACCAGGAGGTCCACTTATCGACTGTTTGGTGAAGACGCTGACAAAATGCAGAGTCTTCTGGTAGCACTAAGCAACAATGCCAGAATGTTTGGAATGCGCTTCTCTCCCTCTAAATGCAAGTTGTTGCTTCAGGACTGGCCTGCGTCAACACCTGAACTAAGGATAGGGAGTGAAGTAGTCGAACGCGTTGACAACTTCACTTATCTTAGAAGTCTGATCAGCCCTAATGGGTTGGTGTTTGACGAAATCTCAGCACGGATCCGAAAAGCTCGTTTGGCTTTTGCAAACTTACGTCACCTTCGGCGAAGGCGAGATATCCGTCTATCAATAAAAGGACGAGTATACTGCGCGGCAGTCCGTTCTGTTTTACTTTACGGCAGCGAAACATGGCCTTTAAGAGTAGAAGACACCCGTAAGCTACTAGTATTTGACCACAGATGCCTTAGAAATATTGCTGGAGTCTGTTGGGATCACCGGGTAAGTAATAATGAGGTTAGACGCAGGGTATTAGGGGATGATGGTAAATCAGTTGATGAGGTTGTGAATCTTCATCAACTGAGATGGTTGGGTCACGTGTTACGTATGCCTGAACACCGATTACCATGACGTGCAATGCTAACCAGTATTGGTCAGAAGAAAGTAAGGGGCGGCCAAACCAAAACGTGGCATGAGTTCATAAAGTCACTAACTTATGGTCTGCGCCATGTTGGGAGATGCAAACTACTTGGTTGAAGTCTGCGTGACTTTCGTAACCAATGGTTGGAGACTCTTGGTGACATGGCTCAGAATCGATCACAATGGCGTCGGTGTATACACTCCCTGTTTTCCCTTAAACTAAGAGATTAAAATCACTTCATATCTTTTTTTCTACTAACTAATTCTTTCTTCCTATACTATATCCTTATTACAATTTTTCCCCTATATATTACCACCTTTGACCTAACCACTCCTATGAATCCGGTGTTCATCTTGCTGTGCTAATGAGGTATGGCAACCTGGACCGATGCACATATGTGACTGGTCCTACGTTGTAGATCAATGACTGAATCTCTGAGATGTTCTTTATAAACATGAAACTCAAAATTCACCCTTCTGATATATTGTTTTAGTAATGGGACGAAATTCCTTGACACTCCAGTGATTATTATCCCAGATACAGTACTATAAATATTGGTCACAATAAACTTATAAAATGTGATTATTTCTTCCAGAAAATTGTTTACATTTACTATTTCCTCCATTTCAAGGGTGGAGCTATGTATCCGAAGTGGTATTTTGAAGTAATTATTGATTCACTCGAGACAGTCACACATCAACCAGCAAAAATTCGGGTTGGTTGGGCTAATACAGAAGGTTACAATGCACATCCCTGTGGTGGACCTGGTTGGGGTGCTGCAGGATTGGGTGATGACCTGTTTAGTTATGCATTTGATGGCAGTTGTTTATGGGCTGGTGGTAAACCGAAACGGGCTACAATCGGAACAGATGAAGCAACAAATGAGGAAGCAACATCTAATGTACCATTGAAACGTGGTGATATTATTGGATGCTTGTTGGATTTAACTGGACCTGTTATTCAGTTTAATGTGAACGGGCGTCTAGTAAGGGGATATTTTCAGGTGAGCGTTTTTTAGTCAATTTTCATGATCAAATTGTAATTTATGTTTAACCTTCATCTGGTCATTTTTTTCATTTGTGTCGACAATCTGTTGCCGTTTGCCAGATAAGTTATTCCAACTGGTTTTCGTCTTCATCTATTGTAAAACAAGGGAACTGATAAACTGATACATTATTACATAGTGTGGCTTGACTTTGCGAAAAGTGCCTAGGTGAATCAGCTGAAGTACATATGATCACTATGTGAACCGTACCATTTATGGTTACTAATATGGACGTCAAAAGTTTAGGATACTGGTCACTTAAGTACGTACATATATCTCATAACAGAAATCTTTGATTTGATAAATATTTCTGTTCAAACAAAATTTCAAGTAGTTAGACTATGCAAAATGTGAACGTGTACATTTTTAATGAAAATGACAATCCACCTTTGCTATGATTACAGTGACTAAATTTTATTGAATATTATTTTTCATCCATTATAATTTCAGTGTCATTTATTCTGAATTTATCTATAACGTATATATACCATAGTGAGATACTTATTATCACCGAATATATTTTCACTAGTTTAATCTTTCATTTTGATGTTTTCACAAATATTCTGTTACTATTTATCAATGTTTTTAGGATTTCAATATAAGCGGTTTGTTCTATCCATGTATGAGTATGAATGCAAAAGCAAGTGCAAGATTTCTTTTAGGATCAAATCAAGGTCGTTTACATCATGGTCCTCCACCCGGTTACTCACCTATATATTATGCTAGACAACCGGGACAAAAACTTCGTCTTGAACCTGTATTTACATTCGGTCAACTTGATAAATACGTATTCACCGGTCCACTGAATTCACCGACACCACAACAATATGTATTTGTACCACGTACAGTGCGTACTTCTCATGTAAGTATTACAATAAATAGCTTATCCATTTTTCTATTATTTAGTTTTTATTTGATGATCATCACTAACGTCAGAATTTATTATATAATGTAGTTCGATTAAAAAAACTTCCGTCATGCACTATCATATACAAAAGAACGACTGACTGCCAGTGTTCATTAAACTTTTTATTATCTAAGATTGGGGATTAATAGCAATATACACCAACTCCCATGTATAGAAGGATCTTAAGTTAGAACAAAATAGCGGTCCACTGCTCCTGGATTTTCAATGGTTCTCCTTCTGATGTTATCTAGAGACAAAATTCATCTTCAACTAAACTTGATTTTACAAACCAACCAACTAAACAAATAACCATACACATCAATCCACCAGACAAATGTAACATATTATAAACACATTTGAGAAGGCCTCGTTCGTTTACTATAATCTTATAATTTTGTTTATTCGTTTAAATTCTTCAGAATACATCATATCTTTTAAAAATCATCGCTAAACTCCGTGCAATTAAATTCTATTGTTGTCTTTAAATTCTGTTACACGACTGAAAATGATTACAATGTTGATTAGTCTACAGATTTTCCATCTTTTTTTTTCCAAAAGATCCAATTACCAAACTATGTTGAAATGGTTCGTGATAGATTAGCTGAGAATCTACATGAAATGTGGTCTATGCGTAAAATTGATCAGGGCTGGAAATATGGTGAAGTAAGTTTTACCCTTTTAAACTAATTAAAATAAAAAATATATAATGAGATGAAACATGAATTTTAGTTGGAACAAACTAATCCTCTCAGTGTTTGACGTCTGAAAAAAGTATTTACTCAGTTGCATTTAGGTGCATAGTGTGGTAACTACTAATGTTTATCACCGGGTATAAATAATATGGATTAACTTAATTGATAATCTGGTATAAATGAAAGTTTTTGGCGTCTGATGTAAGGTTTAAGGTAAAGTAATTTAATTCATTTATTCACTCTGATATACTATTACGGCAGTCTAACATTCAGTAATAGCTTACATAATCGTTTCAATAAACTGAGTAGTTGATGAGAACATATTTCCTACTATCTTAATACATTTTATAAATATCTTTGACAATTCAAATCAGTTGTAGAATGAGTCATCATCCAAGGCGTAACAACTGGTTAGGCATCAAAAATTAAGATATAGAGATACTTATTTTTTAATTTTTCACACAATAGTTGGTTATAACACTCAGTAGTTGAATTCCAGTTACAGTCTCAGTATGTAAAACATCAAATCTGTGACCTGAAACCCACTAGTTCTAATTCAGTTGTTATCCAATTCTTCTTCTTTGCTTAATTATTAACTTCATGTCATTAGTGGAGTTTATGTTACTTAGACTGTTTACCAACTTTTTACAATTAACTTTTGTGGATTACGTCCATCGCTATTATTTTTCTGTATTTAACTAAGATAAAGTGAACCATTATTAACAGATAATACTTGGTTTTTCATTACAATTGATCAGATTTTGCTGTGTACAGCTGAAAAATACTACTGTTTCTTCTTTATTTGTGAGCCATACCAGTCCCAAGGGAATAATTTCTTCATTTCTTAATCCGTCAAGAACTAAATGAGGTTGGCCGGTATTTTAGACAACAGTTGTTAGGTTCGAATCTTAAAGTGAACGCAAATACAGTTGAAAAGTCTCACATAGAACAAACTATTAATTCTAAACTTCTCTGCCAGCCAGGGAAATAGAATTTCTATTTAATTACTCCTTTTAGCCAATTAGCTATTTTGGAGATACACTCCATAAAACAAGGCATAACTACCGGGCCGCAAAAGCTGTTTTGTTCTTCCTTGGTCTTATTTCCTGTCTAGTTATTGGCGACCATTTATGTATCACGTAACAATGGTTTATTATACCCTTTTTTATCAGTAAAGATTTGTATTGCCTGTGCATGGGTACTTATGCATCATTGAGTTTTCTGGTCGTTTGTGAGCCGTATACCAGGCATTTGGTTGGTTCTGCCGGACTTTGATGGCGTGTTTGGGAAACTAATCTAGTTCCACCGTCGTCAGATCTTTTTGAATGTTGATTCCGAGAATCAATTATTCTACTGTATTGAGAACAGCTTCTAGTAATTAGTTCTTAATATTTTAGTCTCTAGACCGTAGACTAAGGCTAGTATTATGGTAGATTCTATCAGCTTCCTTTTGGTCGGTAGACTGATGTTATTTCATTTTAACAATTGTTAGATTTTGATTATTGCGTCACGAGCTTTAGTGACGTTTTGGTTAACTACATCATCAGGCAGCCCGTTTGCTCGGTTTATGGGTCCCGGATAGTTAAAAGAAGGTTACTTCTTCAATGATTATTTTGCCAATGTAGATTTACAGGTTGTTCGATTGTTTACTTACGGTCAGTCTTTTTTCTGTCTATTGTGTTCAACATTCCCAAGGCTTTGAGTTTTTTTGAAGTTTAGTCAGCGTTTTGGAGGAATCATTGGTGTTTGTCATGATGAGGCAGAGATCATCCGCGTATTCGATGCGATAGTCTTTATTCTGTCTTATTTTTTTCATTTAGTTGTAGTCATATATCCTCCTCATTATTAGCAGTTTTGAGGATTTCTTGGAAGAATAGTCTGAAAAAAGAAGAACCCTTTTTGCTCCATTCTCTTACTAATCTGTACATTGTGAAGTTTATATTTTGTCCTTTTATATGTTCTTTAGATTCATCATGAAGGCACATGATTCACTAGTCGATGTTTTGAGAGACGCAGGTGTTGTTTGACCTGTTAAGTAGCAGTTGTTTCGGGATGGTATCGAAAGTCTTATTTAGGTCTACGAAAGTCAGTATCATCTGAGTATCATTGTCTAGTAAATTTTGAATGATCTGTCGAAGAGATGTGACTTCCTGAGCCTTTGACAGATGGTGTCTAAATCCACACTGAGTTGGTAATATGAGATGGTTTGTTGATGTGATGAGTCGTGCGCATATATCGTCGCAAAAATTTTCCGATAGTGCCCAGCAAGAATATTCTCTAATAAATGTCCAGGAATGTCTTCACGTCTTTACGGTTGTAGAATTCCGATAACGTCCGGACGAATCCACTGTTTTGGGAGTTCGTCTGTGCTATACGAGAATTGGTTCATTAGTTCTAAAAGAATATTTTTAGTTTGTTTTCTCGATACTTTATTTTTTCTTTTGTGACGTTGTTTCTAGTAGCTTTATTATTTTCCGACTGTTTTACTTTACGCTGTAGCATATGCAGTCTGGGTGTCCTTTTGGTGGTTTGATTCAAGGTGTGTGTTGAACCTATCAAAGCGTATAATTACACGATTGAGATGCACGCGAAACCGAAGTTCATAAAGTAGCGATTTGTCTAAAAGGAGGTTCTTTATTGAGTAATATATATAAAATTAGTTACAAACTCTAACTTGTGAGGTATCTGTGACCGTTAAAGCAACTGTAAGTCTGAAATAAAAATGGCTTCCCGAAATAATAATATAAAGATTAGTTATGACACAAGAGTGCAAATGACAGTTGATAGCAGTGTCTTATCTTGATATCAGTTTTTCAACATGCGAAAAACGGAACTAAAAGCAAATAGACACGGAAATCGTTGTGCTTAACAAGGATTAGACGACCATGCGGAACTGTGAATAACCGCTACAGTGACTGAGATAGAGTAATTATAATGATGAACACAATAAATGCCATAAGTACATGTAATTATTTTAGAATATTACACGAAAAACGTGCGCTACAATATACGCGCAGAAATTGCTAGGAATACAACTGTTTACTGAATATTATTAATTAGTATAAGACAATACACAATAGAGTCAAAGGGAAATGAAGAAAGATGGAGTAAACAAACACAATAGTGTGTATTGATCATTTGTATTATGAATTTGTAGTTGAATAGGTCTTGATAGTAGTTGTTTAGTGTCTGGTTGTTGAGCTGTGTTTTTGGTTTGGTTTTTTATAAACTTTTATTATTTGTTATCTCTAAAATAGAGTTTAGCCATTTTTATACTTGGTGTTTGTTTTGTGTGAAGAATCAGTCTATGTTTGTTAGTCCTGTTTGCATGTGGTCTTTTTCAAGCCTTTTCATTCGTTTGCCGACGTCATTTCGCTTACTGATGTAGATGTTTCGACTTGGCTCATGTTTTTCTCTGATTTCCTCTTTATCCTGTTGGCTTGGTATATTCCACCATGTGTATTTTACCGATGTTATTCTAGCTTGTTTGGAAATTGTGGTTATAGTGTTCAATTTGTTTGAGAATAAAGTTCTCATTAAGGTTGTCTCTTAGAGTTTTTGCATGTTGTGTTTAGTTCTTATGTAGGGTTGTGGTCATTGCTCTTCGTTTATCGTGGTGTCTATGATGTTTTTGACTACGTTTCTAGTACGTTCGAGCAATAACGGTTACTAAGTGGTGGTCGGAGTTTGCGTAATCTGATCGACTTGTGTAGACACCACACCGTTTTGTGATCAGGTAGTATCAAATCTATCTTTCGTCTTTTGAGAGTCGTCGAGTGTATTCATGTGTTACGCTTGATTTCCTCTTTCTTTAAGTCATTGTTCATGATTTTTATGTTACTGTTATTGCGAAGTTCCGTAATTCTCATTCCATTGGATGACCTTTGTGTTTCAGAATTCGGATGTCGTCCTACAACATGGGGGTAGGTGTCAATTAGATTTCCACTGAGTTGACAACTGAAGTCAACCAAGATCATAACAGAAATTTCTTTTTCTTGTAGTCTTTGGATCGTGTTTTTCAAGGTTGAATAGAACATTTATTTTTTATTTTTCGTCGGTCGAATATTTTTTGTGTGTAACGACCGGTTAACTTATATTATTTCTCGATTGTTCTTGGAATACTGCTGTCGTGGCTACCCGGTTATTAATTTCGTTATTGGTCATAACTTTGACACATTGGGCCTGGTTCACTACGAATCCTACTACAGTGTTTTTATAATTATTAGGAACAGAGTTACAGTTTTACATTGTGGTGTTTTCGTCTATTTCGATCACCTTAGATCAGTTTGTTCACTATCTCATATTTTCGGTTTTGCTATGAGAGCCGGACTTTCTATGGGACAAATTTGAATTTTTTAGTCACATTTATTTTGCTGACCTGGATGGTCGACTTATTTTTTGATAAAGATATATATATATATATATATATATATATATATATATATATATATATATATATATATATATATATATATATATATATATGAGGAAATTTAATTAGAGCTACAAGTATACTGCAGGGATCATAATCCTTTTTAGTAGTTCACTACTACGAATCCTGAATAACATTATTCGTAGTACGTATTTACCGAATAGATGGCTAAAATGTGTTGTAATGAGTTCTGATGGACAAATGAAATAATCTCGTTAATTGATTATCGTTATTGTTTATCTTCAGTGTTTTGGAAATATTGAAATATCCTACTCATTTTTTTTGTGAAAAATAGCGTCGAGATGATGAAAATAATCTTCATCCTTGTTTGACTACATTTGACAAGCTGCCGCCGTCAGATAAGCAGTATAATGTAACACTTGCCTATGAAACATTAAGAACAATAATTAGCTTAGGTTATAATATTACTTATGAACCATTACCTGAGGGTACAAGGATGAGAACAATGAAGCTATCAAATAGGTAAGCATTTCTATGAATATGGTTAAGTAATATTATTGATTAACTTATCCAATCTCCTCTCTACTACACTTTTCAAACCTATTGGTGATTGGTATATTTGACACAGACTGACTAAATGAAGCACTATTCACAGTAATACAATAGTTTATGGTCGAAATGTTACCATATTTTTAACAACGTTTTCAATTGTATATAAACTGTAGAGTGGATATGAATAATGAAAAAGAAATGATAAAAAGACAAACTAAAAACTACAAATAAGTGATGAGTCACACAGTAAAGCACTACGTCATGTTGTCATAAGTTACAACATTGGGAAAAAGACAATCGATGAAAATCTAATAAAACGTGAATCAATTGATGATTGACCACCATTGGAAACCCGGGAGTACTAGACGGCCCTTTCGCCCTAGTACGGTACTCCTCAGCAGCGTCCACGACCCTGATCTTAGGACTCGAACCCAGGACCTACGGTCTCGCACACGAACGCTTAACTCCTGAACCTGCGAGCCAGCATCCAGTGGCGCGACGATCTTCGATTGTCTGAGGTAGACCTATGTCTCTACCTGACATGGATTAACTCCACTGGTCACGGCTTCTCACTTGAACTTCGAGAATTCCCTCACGAAGCAAGTAACTGGTGAGTACATGGTAATTATCAGTATGGAGTTGTGGAGATCGGTAAGTTTTTGGCTGAGATCTGCTGAGGAGTCCCATACTGGGACGAAACGACCATCCAGTCCCTTCAGGTATTCAATAGTGGTCTAACATCAATCGATTCACGATCTCAATCCATAGCTTAAAAATCCTCACAACTCCATACTGAAAATAATAATGGTTTAGATTTAAAAAATGAAAAACAGATGCACATGCTAAATAACACTCGGTTTTCAGCGGTGTTCCTAGCAATTCCACAATCATACCGAAGAAGCTCACACCTCCCTAGACATCTCAGGGTAACTGATACTGACCTTAAAGATTGATCCATTGTTTTGTTTGTTTGTTTTATGTCAGATTGTAATATCAATGACCTATTTGAAACCAACTCCACCAATTCTTAGTCAGTTCACTGACATATGGAATACTATCTAGAAACGGTTGTGATTTACCTTGATGTGTCTTACGTCTTTGATGACATTATTAGTATCATAGAGTAGATTATAAATGACTTCAATCTCTTTTGGATATCTACACATTGAGCTAATCAGAAGTAGCCAAATGAGATGGTCACTTGACGACAGTCATAAATGTCCTGAACGACAAATGCATTCCATTAGCTAAGAAATGGACTGATTTTCTAAGGGGTATAAATGTATAAGTACAAATAAGTATTACATTTATGTTATTTGGTAGTTCAATAGACTTTCTCGTTTACTCTTGTCTTCTCGCTCAAGTAGTTTCTTATTGTGCAACCATATCAGATCTTGGACACCGCCCATCGCAATAGATATTCAGCCGATTATTTTGCTTACATTATTTGTAGTAATGACTGTATATTGTAAATAATCTATATCAACCAGAATTAAGCATATCAATAGCTAGTTACAAGACAAAATATATAACAACGGAAGGGTGTCCACAATATAAAGGCATTCATTCGACCAACCTAAATTTCAACAGAAGATCAGTAATTTAGTCCCAGAAGCCAACAAGGATTTACAACAAATGAAAATCATTTAACAAACATAGCTATGGCATTTCAGTAGCCTGCTAGTAAATGTTTTGCCGTTTTAAGCAATGCGGAGTTACGTCCAAGTAAGCGAATCAGTAGAAGCAAGTTCACTTGATGAATTTTCACTTGCATTTGTAACCGTTGACAGAAATACGTTAACATTCTTTACATGTGTTAACACTAAAGATTTTTTATAGATGAAAAGAATCCTTTGGACTGAGTAAATTCTTATTCACTTCGTAATAATTTGGGTTATTCCATTGCTGATAGTTCAGGGGATAAATGGAAAACCTGTTTAGCGTTTAAAGCTAAGGATACTAGGTTTTAATTCCGAAGTGAACATCAACCAAGAGACCCAAGTACAACCAGCTGACATATTAGTTATATTTAGACAATGCACACAGGATAAACATTTGACAACTAAAACTTATACAAATTCATTCAAAATATCAAAAAAGAATAATCCATATCATTACAAATTGACTTCAAATAAACTCTGCTTCATTCGTTCTCATTGGGACCACTCTAGTTTGTGAACATAAGGAAGTTCAGTATTGAACAACACTGAAAATAGCTACAGATAATTTTTTATTTCATTTTGTTTTTCTCTTAATAATCGTAACAAAATAGCTTTACTCAAGTGAATGGTTATAAACCTCAACCATTGGATTTAACACAAATTCGTTTGTCTGTGCGTATAGAAGCATTAGTTGATCAATTAGCTGAAAACACACATAATATGTGGGCACGTGATCGTATTGCACTAGGATGGACTTATGGTTTTGTTGAAGTAAGTAGTTTTTAGGATGGTTATTTAATTATCTAATGCATGAATTATTCGGCTTTTGTCATCTACGCATACGCCAACACCAAATAATAAAGGTCATGTTCATGGTTTTTCATTTAATTTAGAAAATTAACTTAAAAATCACCTTCATCAACAACAGACTATTCATTTGATTAAGAATGATTCTATCAACAATATGCTTAAACTCAGTGAATTAAATTGCGTGTATTCTCAAGTATAACGTGACTATGCTAAAATATGTTATTATTTCAATATTTTTGACCAAAAAATATTATTTCTCTTCACCTTATTACTATTCAACTGCATTTATTTCAATAAAACCACCTATGTAAATACTCTCTATGTACATATTGTAGCCTCTAAGGAATAGCAAAAACAATGGATTAGTTGATGGTTTAGCACGATATTGATGCAATGTTTTTTCACAGTCACAGATTGTGGTGAAGTGTACACTCACGAATCAAATTTGGTTGATCTAAGATCTTTAGGTAACACAATGAGAACTACACATTCAGACCATTAAATCGTAATTCAACCTCGAAAGTCTCGAATGTAAATGATAATGCCATGGCGGGTTTGTAGAAACTTGTCATGTCCCGACAAGAATAATGAATGGTAACTTTTGGGATCCATTTTTGGACCAATACTATGCATATATTTTTATCGTATAATTGTTAATTAACTAAACTATTCATATTCATGTCTCTCTTATCATAAGCTTCATTTTAACCTATGAGCTGTTATTATACGATTTTCCATTCTTGAATTATTCCCTGTCCATTATTCACTGCCTCCCTCATTCATATCCACATCTGGTTAATTCTTGTACAAATGTTTGTTCATATCTTATTGGTACGTTGTGGTCTGTTTGATTGGTATATAAACTAAGTATGTTTTAAATATAATGATTCATATAGCAGAGGCTCGGATTGGTGTTCTGAACTTAACTGACTGGGCTAGGCGGAAAGCAGGACCAATCAAGACTCTAGACTGCCCGCACGTATTTTAAGCGTCATTGGTTCGACTGATAAGTCACTGCCCTCTAATCGGCGGTCACAAGTTATAACAAAACTGTTGAAATTTTTCATATTAGAAATTACTGGTTGATCATAGTCAAAATATCATTAAAAGCCAGGAAGAATTGAACATATGTTTTATCCTGGTATTGGATTCCTCAATAATGTTTGTTCTCAACCCAACTACAGATTAAAAGGTATGATGTTCAAGCCTCACAACGAGAGCTTGGCTCTAGACCACTGAGTCACAACTCAAAAATTTTAATATTTAACTCAGTCAACTAGCTAGTTAGCGACCACCGTCCAATTTTATTGGTTGGTGACGGCCTCACAGTCAACTTGGTTGAATTCCTCTGGTCACGGCTGTTGACTAGGGCTCCGGTAATTACCACTTGAAATGAGTCACTGGTGAATACATGATTAATAATAATAGACTACCAGATGAATATTTACAACACATATATTACGAGCTTCTCTAACAACAACAACAACAACGATAACAACCAGCTAACCGCAGACAAAAACGGCAAAAAAAACTGTGGCCCAGTGATTTTTTTCTTGTGTTTGTTAAGGGAATAATGTGTTTATTTAGTGTTTAATATACTTCGCTTATTTACTAAGTAATTTACTCAAGGCAAACAACGTTTACGGACGGATAATAAGTTTGTTTGATCCTGTACTAACAGAGGTTCTGATTGACTGATGTGAGGCTTACTTTTTTAACTCATCGTCTGTCATTAAATGCTGTTGACAGTAGTAATGATGAAAGGTAATTTCCTCCCTATGAATTACACTTGTTCCAAATAGGCTTAATTTACAACTCGCTTTCTAAACAGTTTCCACCAAATCAAAACTGTGTAAACAGTTTGAAACGTCTGAGATGATCTGTGATTGTGGAAACGATAGAACATCTTTTGAAATTTCTCAGCAGTGAGTGAAGGGAGTGAAAGTGGAAACATGATATAATTGTACAGGTATATATATATATCAACTTTTTGTCAGTTATTGTTCAGCTTATAATAATTACCATATGAGTAAATTATTTAAATGAACTATTTTCGGATTAGTTAAATATTCAGTCATGCTAGTCGTAATGCACTTTAAAAGTTTGAGAATGCTCCCTTATTTTAGTCACATAATGTAGTTTTATTCAACTCACATTTTCTGAGCATATTTTTTTATCAAAGGTAAAATGTGACTTTTGTTTAATATTTTTCAAGGATCATTCACAGAAACGAAGTCCACATTTAGTTCCATACAGTGAAGTTGATCCTATTATTCAACAGTCAAACAAGTAAGCTTTTGGTAATAAATTCTTATATTGTTTAGATTTTAATTTGTTTTAATTTTCAGTTTTCTGTTGAATGACGATTCACCAGTTCGACTTCAGTTTATCAAGTTTTTTTATGTCATTAAAAAACAGTTAAACATTTCAGTTAATGAGTAAATAAATATTTCGATGAAACTAAGATAATTTATATGAGATTTATAAGAATGATAAATTCATGTTACAACTATCTTATTAACTTTAGTTTATGGTGATATCTTCTAATTTACATTTGTTTTACCATATATTTACTGTCTTGATGTATTTAACTATCCTAAATGCATCCAACCAACAATTTTCGAAATTGCTAAATTTATTTGAAGAATTATATATATATATATATATATGTATTTATTTTCTTGGTCGATATAAGCTTGACCACCATTGAAAACTAGGAAGCGCTGGACGGCCGTCCTGTCCTAGTATGGGACTAAGATTTGGAATTCAGTCACGTGCAATGTATAAACATTGCAAGTATAAACAGAAGTTGAAATTGCCATAGAGCATTAGCACAAAAATATGAAACTATCATGATAAATCCCAGAGTAATAATATTATCAGTTGTGGTAGAACAAATCAACTATAGAAAAAAAAACACTGGAGTTTGAGGTTTAAGACTGATTCTAATCCGTTCACTTAACATTTCTAGCTTCTGATTATGATTGTCGAGCGGACCCCAACCGGGTAGTCGGTATAGACCTACAAGGCTCAGTCTAACAAAGTTATTATGTTTACTTAATTCAACATGTGCTTGGGTTAGTAAATACCGCTTAAAAGATTTTCTTAGTCACAAACAGTCATTAAAAGGTTTGTTGAACGTATAATTAATTCTATGTTTTCCTTTCAGACTCCGCTGTGTTGTGTTTTCTCTCCGACAAGGTCGTGTATTCCCATAAAAAAAGAAATAGTTGTCTGGTGCTACCTTTTTTTTAATAATTGTGTAAACAAGTGATTTTTTGATGTATACTGTCCTTAAATATTGATAATCAAGATATTCAAAATGTCATATGAAATGTACACCAGATCTAATAAACTGAATCATAATAATGTGGATGGCATTAACTATGTTTAACAGTATATAGTTCAACTTCAAGGAAGCTAAATATATTTATTAGAGTCATTATTGTCGTAATTATTTCACTTATTCTGAAACTAATAAAGCAACTAATATTATCATTTGGTTTTTACATTTACGTATATATTTCATTTTATAAAGGGATACAGCGATTGAAACAGTGAAAACACTTATAGCCTATGGATATTCACTGGAACCCATTAGTTCAGACTCTTCCGATCCAGGTTTGTTTAACATTTTTTTAATTAAAAAGTTATTTATATTTTGGAAGGTAGCGTATATCATAAATGTTAATATCGTTTGGAAGACCATTGTAGACCAATGAGAACTTGACAAATTTACCTTTCTAGCAGAGTACAATCACAACCTTTCGATCTTATATCTAATAAGGTACTCGTAAACCAGTGAACCGAAATCGTTTACTATTATTTTCGGTCAACGTAATCATTTATTTAGTGTAATCATCTGAAAATTTCTTAATTCAGTTTTCAATGACTTCTATTAAAACCTAGAAAAAATGCAATCACTAGTGAGCTCATTAATTAATTAAAGAGATTTCAATTATTTCGGAGATAATCTTGTATTCAGCTAATATGAATTAACGAAAATATTTCTTAGCTTCTTCAATATTTTTCATTGAAAAAAATAATAGTAAATACTATAGAATGTAAAGTAAATTTGTTGTACATCAGAAATACACATTGTTATATCCTAGTGAAGATTACATTACGAGTAACGTCTGAGATCTATTAATGGACTAATATTATTTATACATTCTTATGGTATAAATATTCAGTAACTAGATTATGTATATCTATATTCCTCATATTATAAGCTTTATTTTGACCTATAGATTTTTATTGTACGATTTACTGTTCTTAAGCTATGTTCAGTTTATTGACTATTGCCTCCCACATTCATAGCCACCTTTTGGCTTTATGGTATATGAATGTTATTTCCTATTTTATCCTGCGTTGCGGTCTGTTTGTTTGGTATATAAACCCAGTATGTCTGAAATAAATGGATTGCATAGTGGAGGCTGTTATTAGCATTCTGGACTCAGCTGAACGGGCTAGGCGAGCAACGGACCAATGGGACGCTAGGCTGATCAGACCTGTTGAACGTCATTGGTTTAGTACAGCATAAGAGCGAATAAGTCGTACTTTGATTGGCGAATAGATTACCTGATAAAATGCGGCTCATAAATTCACAACACACATGAAATACATAAACAGTTCGAAACTCAGAAAATTATTAACAAAGACAAATTGACAACTAAGTAAATCTTGTAAACAATTCACATAAAACTGTTTAGAACGAACTATTTTTCAGTAGTTATTTTATTTTAATAGTTCTACTGACAAACATTATTTCATATCAAATCACCGTTGAAATAATGAAATCACAAAATTATAACTTCAATTTATAACTTGTTTCTTCATAGTGTTCTATATTCATTTGTATACTAATTAGGTAATATATAAACAATTTTATAAAATTAGTTAATCAATTATCCATTCTGTAAATTAAAGTGGATTGAAAACAAATTCACTACATTCTAAAAATAACAAACAGTTAAATATATTCAGCTTTATATAAACCCATTGGGGTAACGTGAGAAAATTTCAGAAACTAATCAAAAGGAAACAATATTTATTTCAGTCAAATCATGAGAGATAACAAGACTGTTTCAAAGAATACAGAGATATAGTTCTTTCAAAATAAATACACTTAGAATGATTAATAAATAACTTTCAACTATGGTACTTTTGATTGAGAAGCTTCCGAACAATAAATTCAAGATAAATAATAAAAAGCCAGAGCGAACACCAGAATAAGATAAATGATACAGATATTGAGAGTTTTTCATAGATGATGGAACAAATGAATGTGGCTAAATCCCATGACTAGTTAGGTTATTAATTTGCTATTCCATTAATTATTCATAAGACAAGGTTAAACGCAATAACAAATTTAGGGTTTTGGAATAAAGTTGACTATTCATGGAGAACAAGATATGTTGGATACAATATATTTACATGAAAATAAATAGTACTGAGACAGAGAAAATGAAATATATACATCTTGATGGGTGGATTTTCAAACCAAGCTATGGTTGTTGTCAAGATAGGTTTCAACTCGAATTAACATCCGCTGGAAAGCCATTGGAAACGTAGATTAACTAAGCAAGCATATAATCCTAGTTTGAGAATCCATATCGGTGTTGAACAACCGACGTTGACAAGGTAAAATTTAGGACCTCCAACCCATATAATAGTCACGAAACTGCTGATGCGTCGAATCAGAATCTGACAGCCCATACTTTTCAAATTTCGGTTGATTTGCAATTAAGAATTGACCACCGTCCTAAGCTATCGGTGATTATTGATCGTTTCAATAATGACAACGCCTTCTCGTCGAAACATTTAAAAACCAAACTAATTACGTATTGATTACTGTGCAAATTCCACTTCGTAATACTTATAACCTGTGGTTTCAGGTCGTGGTAATTCTAATATGGATTATTCAGGACCAACCAGGACTTATCGTGGCCAAACTACTAGAGCAGTAACACGTGGTAAATGGTGAGTAAATTACCGCCTCTATAATAAATGCATGAAAGGTCTTCATCTCTGCATCTGCATGCTACTTTTTTATAGTATTTTCTCAAAACAAGACTAAGAAGGGAATAAGAAAGTCATATTTTTCACTTGTTTCTGAATTATTCACTTTTCAATTGTTAAGTATGAAATATCAAATTTCAATGATAGGTACTATGAAGCAGAAATACTAACATCTGGTTTTATTCGAATTGGATGGGCTAAGAAAAGTGCACCACCTGACTTAATAATCGGTTCAAATAGCAGTTCGTATGCTTTTGCTGCACATCAGGTAACTATTAATTTTGATAACTATTTTGTGAATTGATTTGAGTTATGGGGAAGCGTTTATAATAATCTTATATAACCCTGTTTTTAGATGGATTAAGACAACTATTATGTTATCCAGAATTCTATACTTGTAGTTTAATAGAATAGCTAACGATCTTAACTAAACTAAAATCTGATTGATAGTAAGTTCTTTTAGCAAAATTTGTTGATGTACTCTCATCTTTATTCCCTTAGCTGAATACAAAAACCAGACTTATTTTTTAGGAAAGAAAGACGATACACTGGCGAGACTGGACTTATCAGTTCAAAGCTTAATGACGTGTGAGAGATGTTAGCGTATGCAAAGGAGAAAATATGTATCCGTGAAAGAGTTTGTGCACATGTTTCTATTCGATTATCCAACAGATAGAAGGCGTATGTATTAATATTAGAATCGAACGGCCACCTAACGTAACACTTGTACAATCGTTAACCACTTATACGAAAAGCTGTTAGTTTGAATTTGGACTTCCTCTATACTTTAGTCATCACCATATCAAAATATTAAGACTGTCCTAATTTTCTAAAGACGTTTTTATTGTTAGTTGTCATTGATTAACAATTGGGTGGAGATTGCAAATGAAGACTGTCTGATTATGGCCTAATGAGTTTAAGTTATCGTACGCATGGCAACACTTTAAAGTTTGTACTTGAAGCCTATGTGATGTCGTGGATGCAGATTCATTAACAGCATAGTTAGCATCATGGAAAGATCTTGGTTAAACAATCATTCTAAAATTTATTTTCTCAATAAATGCTGACATAATTTTAGTCATTCATCGTAAAATATTTGTCAGCTATTTTCTAGCTTAAGTATTGTAAATACTTACATGTCTACCTACATATGTTATCACCTGATTCAAACATCTGAAGCGATTTTTAGTGATCTATAAAATCATAACATTTTATACTTTTCCAGCCTTCTTTTCAGATTATCGAAACAAGCACCGACTAAGATGTTGAACGAAGGAAGATTTAAGTGTACTTTTTCTCATCTTACATTTTATGCGATTTGTAACGTATTTATCTACTTAAAAATGGCAGTGATAGTCATAAGTATATTCAAAACGATTATGGTGTAAATAAGGTAATGCGAAAGTCTACTTCAGCAATTAATATACCTTCTTTCTTCAATGATATTTGCATTAGACAGGACACATAAAGCCGAAAACTAAATATCACACTTTTTATTGATAAATAAATTGTTTTAAAAATATATACATGTAGACATTAATTGTAAAATGTACATTGATGATATAATCCTGAATAACACTGAAAGTATTGCAATAAAATTATCCAGCTCGGAAAACTTGACAACATCAAAATCCTTGGCCTGGGCAATAAATCTCTAACATCGTTTCAAAGGACATGAAGATATTTCTTTAATCTATTAAACAATATTTCTTCTTCTATAAAAGTTTCAGAGAAACCACATTATTCCTGTGGTTATCGATAAACATGCTTTTTCCTTAACCGAAAATGGCTTGAATGACTTGTAAGATGTTGACAACAAGTAGTCGATGTGGAGAATCATTATATGAAGTAATTATATGAAATTGATCTATAGTTATTAAAATCCTACACAGTTACAGATTGATAAGTTATAACATTATTTCATCCGAATTTACTTAGAAGAAAAAGTGAAGTGTAAAGACTTGGTTAGTTATTGTTTATTTTCCTTTAACAGGCTCGTAAGTGGAATCGAAATGGTTCTGTCTATGGTACAATCTGTCGACCAGGCGATGTAGTTGGTTGCATGATGGATTTAGTAGACAAAACTATATGTAAGTAATTTATATATGGAATGTTTTTCGATAATGTCATACTTCGGAAACGAAACTGAGTTACTACAGTTCAAGTGTATCATATTTACTACGTGCAAAACAATAATTTAAAAAAATCCAATTTGGACCTATACGAACATCTGTCCAGAATTCATGATAGAATATATTGGATCTAATTTTGATGGAACGTCAAGTAGTCACTAGATTATCGCTCTTTCATCGAAAATATATGTAATTACATGTAAAATTCAAATCTTAAATCTTTTCAGACGTCTAGATTTTTAATTCTTCATCTATTAAATGCCAATTTTATTTGGTCATTTTCCTGGAAATATAATCAAATGTTAACTGTTACGCGTAATCAGATTATGTGAACTTTTACTTTCAATATTCAGTCTAAAATTAATACAGTGGTATATTCAGTGCTAGTTTATCCTGAAATGCTTTTCTCAACATAATGACTCGGGGACATTAAAATCAAGATATAGGATTGAGAAATAAGTATATCAATATAGTTATCAGTCTCTGAACGTGCATATCAGCAATTCATATGAAACATCATTCAAAAAACTTAGATGAAGCTGTGAATGTATTCTGTTATTTACAAACCAACCTGCGGATAACATTAAAAAATTAATAACTGCAGTCGAAAGGAACACAACTTTTCATGTTATTATAGTTGACTCAGTCTCGTTATCTTATTAAATTTAAATGATACTTGTTTATATTTTCCATAAATATCCCTTCTTTAGTACATGAAAGTATATCATTTGTTTATTTGTTCAGCATTTTCATTGAATGGAGAGTTGATGATGGATCCTCTTGGACTAGAAATAGCCTTTAAACACATAAAAGTGGAAGAAGGTAAATTAAGTGTTTTTTGTATGCTTGTAGCTTATAAGATTAATCTGAACAGACCGACTTAACTAAAACATGCATGTTTCATCAGACTATCAGGTCGAAATCGTCATACTAATTAAAAAAATTGAAATTAACTAGGATATATGTTATACAAACCAAGTCACTATATTTCCCAACTTCTGTTAAAGAATATTGATGGGCTAGACTAAAATAAAACAAAGAACATTTACAAAGTAAAATAGTATGTTGTTGAATCAATTGTATATCCGTATGAGCTATGTATAGAAGTGTTGAGCTTTTTCATCTAACGAAATGAACTACTGGAAGCCAGTAGTTAAACAACCTTGGTGACAGCTGAAAACTATTCTTGAATGTCTTACTATGGGATTATTTTTTGTATTATTGTTATATATTTCACTTTCTTTAGTCTGACATTTTTCTCGACTCTAAATGCAACATGGGTTCTATGCACTGGTGAAGCAACATTTTGCATTGTTGTCTACCTGTTTTCTTGATGAGTTTATTTGAACTATTACACTTTATGTAAAATAAAATGAGGAAAGATATTATCGTTTTTTTTTATCCACTCATGTCTTCCTTTATAGCTAAATTCATATGGTACGCTTTTGTAATTATACCACGTGTATTATGTCCTTTTAGTGGCCCGTGGATCTGACTCCTATTTAGGTCGTACTAATGTTTGTTATCGCCTATTCTCGTATATAATCGTCGACTTAAATCACGTTAGCCAATAACGGAATTAAATAAGTCAAATAACGAGAACGGGATTTTGAATACACATATTTTTTATATGCGGTGAATGGAATAGAAGGAAGAGAAGCGACGCAGAGTGGAGATGGCTGGTAAGCCAATTCATTTTCAGTCAAGCGTTGCTCAGTATTTATATGCAGACAAAAATAAGCTACAGACATGCAATGAGACATGGGATACGATGTGCACACACATATACGCTCATATAAAAACAACCAAAACTGACAAGCGAATAATTGACAAGGTCAACATATGACTCAAGTAGGATGAATAGATTGGTTTGTCCAAAAACTAGAATAAGGTATGTGGGCTTAAAATAATGACTAACACTACATCATCCTCACTGACGTCCTTCTTATATTACGTGACTAATATGTAAGTAGTGGCTCGAAAACGAATAAACTTCGATTAAAAGTCATTGTGATATTCGACCTGTTAATCTATCGTCTTATGATTGACAGTCTGAGTTAACATTATCTGAACGATGTATTGACCTGTCTGTGTAATATGTAAAAAGAAGAATCATTGTCTGTGATGAGATGCGATAACTTATTGGCTAAATCATACGGTTTTCAACTAGAACATCAGAGATACGAACCTTTCCCTACCTGATTCAACCGGGTTATATCATGCAAACCGTTTGATTCAAATATGAATACGTAGACCCGTACTTGGAAAATCAGTCACATAATTACAATTATTATCGTTGTGAAATGCTTGAAAAAATCTAAAATCCTACTTTATAAACCATAGCTAACCGACAACATATATCCAAATCGGATAATAGTAGTTTTAATGTATATTTAGACTGTATTTTCACTAAGAATAAAATTTGTTTTGAAATACATCGCCATTTATTATAAGCTAACAAATATTCTTCTCCAAAAATTATTTTTCCAAGGTTATGTGCCAGCGTTTTCTCTTGGATCTGGACAGCAAGTTAAGATCAATTATGGAAATGATGTTCAATCACTGAAATTCTTTACTTATTGTGGACTTCAAGAAGGATATAAGCCATTAGGAGTGTAATTCAACTTTTTTAATTTACTTACTTCGCTGAATTTTGTGGTTAATGTTTTTATTCTTTAATTATGAAAGCTGAATCAGCTGTTATTTATTGATCGTAAATTACACGATTGACCAGATAAACTATTTGACAACCATACGATCAGATTATTCCATTGAAGTTTTCAACTTTATATAAGCAAAAATATCCTGATTTATAAAAATTGTCCAGTCAAGAGTCCAGCACTTAAGTGAAACATGCTCTGGTTTCTTACTGAGCTTATTACGTTTTCTCTGTTAAGCAACTAAAAGTGACCAAACCATGAAACAAAAATCCACACTGATCACGTTCGTTCATCTAACACTGAAGTACATGAAGCCGTACTATACTTCAATTAGGTCGTTGTTCATCCAGCTCCGAATGATGAGTAAATTAATACATGAGTTTAAATGTCTTATAATAAGTGTTCGTACATATGAGTAAAGAAGCTGGCTTCAGTTAAGATACAAATTATAATATATTAAAAAAGAGAAGTGGGTCAATGGAATACATGATGGTTATATAAGGGTTTTCGTTCTTTGCTTAATGGTTTGACTTTAGTCGTTACACGATTCGGAATTTTCAACAAACTTAGTTGAATTAGTGATGACAGTTATCTTCTAACAAAAGAGATATGATCACAAAAATGTAATCGCTTAGTGTATCGATGAAAAGTAAATGTACAGAAGAAAATAAACTTTTCTCCGTTATCAACATTAAGTTTTTAGGTTTTAGAATCTTTACGATTTACCACGACAATTTACTCACTCTTATATTCGTGACAAAATTTCATTATTGAGTTGCGAGTTTCTTACGAAACAAACTTTAGTCAAAGATATCAATCCAATAAATCCATCTTGGTCTGTAATATGCCTAACTTTTGTGATTTATATATGAGCGTGAAAATATTTAAAACGTTTTTAACGATTTATATGATTGATTAGCTTCCGAAAACTGAAGATATCTAATACAACGACAATCAATTATCAAATCATAATATTTCTTGCACAAGAGATATGATCATTAGCTATTTTCTATTTATAATTTCAGTAATATGTGTCGACCGTTGCCTATGTGGTATTCCAGAGAGGATCCATCTTTATTTGTTGATGTTGATCGGCAGCATCCATCGCTAAAAGTTAACGTATCATCTGGAACGTAAGTTTTCATCCTATTTGTTTCTTTAATTAGCAGTTCTGTAAACGTTTTGAGTATGACCTTCACCGTTAAATGGACTTAAGCTACAGAATTGTTGAAAATCATGTTTCATGATTTGTACTGTATTCACTAGAAGACTTTGTTTTGTGAACAATGATGTTTTAGGTAAATAATTTTACATTACTGAAGCACAATAAACTATGATGAATAAGTCAATATCATTTCATAATGAAAATTAACTTCAAACATCAAAATCGGAGGCTGATAATGATAATGTTCACACAAATATTTCATTTTATGTGATATCTATGCTGGGAAATCTAATATTGGAATTTTTAATCATCATCAATCATCTCAATCTGATAATAATGTATGAAGAATTCGATTGTTTTCCTTTCTTAATACTTAATGAATTACATAAATGATATATAACCAAATATTAATTATAATTGTAGTTCGGTAAAATTCAGATTGCTGCTATCGGTATGGTTATTTACTATGACTGCGAAAAAATTTCTACTGATTATTATGCAACAGGACCGATATGCCGGACATTAGGAATAGAACAAGATTGTATACATAAACTTATTTATTTTAACAGTTGAATTCATGATTCGATCTAAGCTAGACCACCGTTGAAAACCATGAAGCACTGTATTGCTGTCTTGTCCCAGTATGGAACTCTTCAGCGGTGAATAACCACGACTCTGCGCGCGGGACTCGGAGCCAAGACCTATGGTTTTGCGCACGGACGCTTATCCTCTAAACCACTGAGCCGGCACCCAACAGTGCTAATGTCTATCTTCAATCGATTGTGCATCCACGATCCCACACTCCTAAGGAGTCTCATACAAGGGCGAGATAGCCATCTAGTGCTTCCAGCTTTATAATGGTGGCCTAGCTTAAATCAGCTCTAGAATTCAACTGTTAGAATTACTACAATCTCGATAAATCCCCATTGCGGGTTATTTATTTACCAATCATTCACTAAAACGACATCAAATTATCACAATAAAATATATACCCATTTAAATGTTCAGTTAATAAATGAATTTAAGTGTATAGAGTGGGTACTAGTTGACGTGAATTATTTAGTAATTTGATGGACGTAAATATAATTTACGAATTCAATAAATAAACTTGCTTGACTGAGAAATGTAACTTATCACTAAAGTGTGTACTTTCTTTTTTCTTAACAATTCCCAATACATTACTGCTGTTCCACCTTTTCTTAATTTTTTTTCAGAACACCTACTTTTAAAGTAACAGTTAAACAAGCAGACCATATGTCATCAGAAGAAATACAATTTTTACGATTAAGTTTAGGCACACAGTGTAAAGATCATTTTACATCAAAGTAAGAATTTACTATTTGATTACTTATCTGTCAATTAATTAACAATTTTGATTTTTGTTTTAAATAAAGAATAGGACACTTTTAGCTTGGGCGTTATGACCATTTTTACCTGTAGAATATGACTATTAGTTTTAAGTTCTGTTACCAAAAGCACTGTACGATCTTATTGGTTTGTCTTAGAAACTCGTATAAATGGAGTATCACAAGGATTGATAATTGAAAAAGTAAATAGAAATGTTTTTTATATGAGTAGAATGAACGAATTCTCGATAAGGTTTCAAGATAAAGCCTTGAAATTGATCGATAGGGGAGATAATCATATTTTAGATGAAGGGGACCTGTAAAGATTTAACAGTGTGTAGATCGACGATTGAATATGAACCCATTGGCTTAGTGAGTAGCCACTCATCTCTAAACCTGAAGATCTTGGATTTGGTTCCTGGAGAGAGGGTTAGATGCACATTCACAAAGAGTCCCATACTAAGAAGGAATATATGTTCTCTGGTTTTCTGTTGCATCTTCAATGAAGTCATTCTGTGACGAATACTACAAGTAAATTAAAATAATCTAAAAACTCCTTAATTTAAAATATTCCCTATTGTACAATATCTGAATTTTTATACAATTTATACAATCTATATCACAATGAACATGTTCCGATGAATTTAACGAAACAATCATAAAATTTTAATTTGGGCTACTCGAGAATTTTTAAAAACTAATCGGAATAAAATCTTGTTTCATTTGGTTTATCTGCAGCATTATATTCGATAATAAGTAATTTTTTTCTGAATCATAGATTAGGGTATTCTTTTATGTGGTATATAGTGACCGTTTCTATTTCCATAACCTAAACCAAGAAAAAAACAATAACCATTGAAGTCTATAACTGAAGCGTCAAAGCTAACATAAGTTCACCAATGGATTATACAATGAATTACACAGAATTTACATATCGGTTGAAACAATATCATAATGATAAAGTCATTTTTAAATTGTTTTGGTTTATCTGATGCGATTATCATAGTAGTTTTTTTAACAAGTTTTAAAACATTTCAATTTGATTTCTATTTTCATAGAACCTTGAATGAACGTCATGCACATCTTGATGCTTTAAGGCGTCAACTTGAACCAGAACCAATTTACACACAAGGTGTTGGAGTTGGAGATTCTTCTAATCTGATTATGATGGGACAAGTAAGTTCAGTATTGATTACTGATACTTTTGTTGAGAGAATTTGAAATATTTGTGAACGTTGTCTTTGAAATCAACCTGTAGTCTGATTATACACGAGTGCTAACAACTGACAGTTCACGATTGGTGATGTGCTGTAATATCATAGTCTTTATTCTTCTAGTCTAAGTTCCTAAAAGGTGAATAACTTGACGAAGTGATGTCAAATATAAAACTGACTTTTAATAACTTATCATGATCCATTTAGATAGCAAATGAATATGTTTGAAACGCATTATTTATGGTTTCTCAATAGAAGGGACTCTTTGTAAATTGATGCAAAAAAATTACTGATTATTTCATTTATGAACATAGACAACCAATCTGCTAAAATACACATTCAGGCCAATGAGACCTATTCAATGAAATACCTGTCACATGTCCGCATCGGTTCAAGTTTTCATATCACACCAACAAAGTGATATGAAATTATCAAGAAAATTATCAGATTAGTAGATGAAGTATCAGTGATAGTAGAAGTAGTAAAGTATTTTTATGGAAGAAATGATTGACAAAGGAGGTATGAATTTATAAAGTAAAACAGCGTATAAGGTTACTTTAAAACTTCGGAGTTAAGAGAAGAGAAAAAATGAATTCAAGTGCACCGCTCCGACTGATTCATGCCATTCATCATCAATATCACGATGTGGCTTATTTAATCTGTTTATGTCCATCAGTGTGTTAAGATTGAGGGTTATCATGTCAGACGACATCTTGCTTTATGCTTAAAGTTGGATTTTTCTTGTAAGGCACTATTGTTTAATCATCGTTGGAGAGACCTGTGTTGTTATCTATTTGCTAAGTTAGGACAACTTAAAACTCGTATATATGCCTTTAAGACTGGTTTAGACCAATAAGTTTGACGTTAAAACACCTCATACGATTAGTACATTTGAGTTTTAAGATTCTTGAAGGCTGAAAAGTTGTCAGTAAAAGTCATCTTTTATTTTACCTGAAGTGCAGTCAGTGGGAGCGTAGGCAGATATACCTAAGAGATCAAGTGTCTTTATCTTTTCGAGTTCTTACTTTCTGTGTCTAAGCATTAAGTACTGTGTCAACATGACTATATGCTATGAAATCTTTTGAGTACTGTGTGTCTTAAGCATAGTTCAAAGTAATTTGGATCTTGTTATAATGAAGGGATATTTTACATATGTGAAGGCATGTGAATAGTTGCACGAATTACTGATTACTCATAAAAATGAATTATTGAAAAACAGCTCCCAACGGTCAAAGCAGCTGGTCAGTAGAAAGAGTGGTTATATATGGCCATATGATACATTTATTTGTAGAATATTTGAATTAAATATAATGATTATTAGACACCATTTAAATATAAATGATTGTTAGATCATGGTTGTCTAGATTACTCATTAGCCCATGAAATTAATATCGAACTGTCGGATTGACTCATTTTTATTGTTCATATTTTTAATCTATATGGGTGCATCAATAACAGACAGAATCAATGTGTAATGAGAGTGAATAGCCACTAAAGTAATGATAATATTGAATCAACTACAAAATAAGATGCTTCCGAAATTGAGTTGGAGTTGAAATTACACTGGTACTCTAATTGTCAACAATTGTAATAAAATCGTAATGTCTCTCAACTGCGTTGTAAAGATTTCTTCTTAATGGAATTGAGTTGTTTTCAAAATGTTTGGTTATACAAAAATAAATAAATAAAGATAGGTAGATGGATGAATAATAGTCAGTTAGTTAGTAATTTAGTTAGCTAGTTAGTTGGTTAGCTAGATAGATATATATAGTTTTGGAACTGTTTACACAAATGAACACTGCAACCAACAGAATTGAACTAATGGATTGAACTTTAACATGTTTTTTATGACCTTGTATTCTGTAACGAGAATGTGGTTGTGTAGATTTGACATGTTATTACTCAAGACTACATTATTGTCCATCCGCTGTTTCACAGTTCATGTAAGTGTGTATTTATTAGCAGTTTCTTTTTCTACTTTAATAATCCACTATGGTTCATATACATCTACATATTATTTTCCACAGAATTATTTAATTATGGAGTTTACAAAATCCTGTGTATCTTATCCACAGAAGTGGTATTATTGTGTTATGAAGGGCTCTATAAAGACAGCTTTTTTGTTCTTTTTTTACGTCTAATTTGACTTCAAAATGCATGCCTGTCTTACAGCAGTGTTGATGAGGTATTATCTGTAGTCTAGTCAGTTGTGATAGAGTTTAATTTAATAGGAATATGCATTTGTTAGTAGCTGGTTCTAGTGGTAGTATTTAATCATTGATTTTGCTACTTAAAGCTTAGATAGTTAGACAATCGGTTTATTTGATATTTTTTCGTTTTCTCTACCCTTTAGGATATGTCTGCTTCTACACTAGAAGTTCGAGATAGACGTGGTAAGAAAATTAGACTTGGAAATATGTTTAAGAAAGCTCGATCAAGGGATCCAAGCCCAGAAGTAACATCGACTTTAGGTGGAGGAGGTTAGAAATTAAAAAAAAACTTTTTTCCAAGCAAAAAGGATGTAATTGACCAATTTTAATCTTTCCCTATCTTATTATTGTTATCAAACTGATTTGGTGTAGATCTTGTAACTTGTTCACAAAGATTCTTCCAATTATTGACAACATAAGTGTTTGGTTTTCTGTAAAACTCTTAGCTAGTGGGTTAATGATGATACAACTATAAGTTTAATTATATGTACTGTTTTGGCTCAATTTCTTTCTCGACAGAAATTTATTTGCGTATGAATTCTGTTAATACATAAAACAAGTTATTAATAATTATGACCCTAGATCGTTGGGTTAGAGGATGCTGGTCGCCGGCCTGTGCTCCGTTGGGAGTAACAGGAGTAAATAAGTAAGTAAGTTCCTCCTATTCAAATCTCCATGCCTTTCACCTGTGTTTACAAATAAAGATGTAGATCTGTCAAATTACTTGACTGGTTTCCACATTTGTGGACACCCATTGTTCTATTTTCTTTTTCTTTTACTCAAACAAATGTTTTTTAATTGTATCATGACAAATTAATGGAACTTTAGTTGCTCACTGATACCTAGATAGAATAATCAGTCGTTACTCATTAGTGACATACTAATTTGTTTCAACCAGTTATTCAACAGTAATTACATTACCTGTCATTTTATCTCCGACTTTCGAACACAACTTAGAACACTAAACCGTGATTTATTAAACAAACATCAGGATTTGGTTCATAGAAACTTAATTTTGCCCAAGATAGGATTCATCATATCATAATACTTCCCATTTGTAACAATACATTTTCTTCATCTTTCTTTTTGTTATTCAAAACATATCAAGAATTCCTAAGGATCAAAGCTCTTCAGCTGGTTTGTCGATGATAGTCGTACAGCTCCAGTGTTCACGATCCTTACTCAAACAATGCTGAGGTTAGGTATATGTTGTCCAATAGGTAGGTTATGTAAATCTTCACTGGATGAGGTGGTTGGGACGTGTGTCATGAACTTTCAGACGCTTCCTACCTCGATAGGCGATGATGTTTTGTGTAGAAATAGACATTACATCGATCCATAACATAACTGAGTGTTAGTCTTGGTCACCTTCCAAGATACGATTTTACTGATAGACGTCCGTACAATAACTATGACCAGCGGTTGGTAACGTTATGTGATATGACTTGGAATCGTTCACAGTGGTCTAGATTCATTCATTCATTATCTTTCTCTCAATCTTTTACTTTGATATTTCCTTCCAATATCCACTTCCAATTTGTCTTTTCGAAAGATTTCCTCTGTTCTTTCGTTCTCTTTGAAATACTTTTTATTACGCGATTTTGATGGTCGTCTAGCATTGATTGACTCATTATTTCAACTATGAAAACACTGCAGTCTCCACAAATCCCCATACTTTTAGGTATTATTATTGTTGCGATTTGTCGAAGAATTTTCTGTCAATAATGAAAGATATGATTAAGTTTTTTCTTACTTTATTTATTCGGAGATTTGCACTGGTTCTAGTAAATTCAAAATTTCACTAAAATCTACCAATCCACCTATTATTTAGCGTCAACAGAAAAAGACAAGGGTAAATGAAGTAATCTACTTTTGTATGTGAATTAATTGTAATCTATCTAACCGCCTATTATCGAATAGTAAATTGATGTACATTTGACATTCATTGGATCAACTTATACATTTGTATCCCGCCGTAGCCAAAATACTTTATAAGAAACATTCCCTTGCAAGAATTTCGTATCATCTTATCAAGCAACTTGTTTTCAACGTGCTTCATCCTTTAGAACTGATTTACCAGAGTTTGGAGATTAGTAATGTGATCTCTTTTCATTAATGATTTGGAGCTATTCAGATTCAGTAATCGTTTTATTCCTCATTTAACATAAAGGTGGTGGGTCGTTGCTAAGTGGTGGTGGTAGTAGCCTTACTGGTGGCAAACGTGGTGGTGCACATGCTACAACTGGTTCTTTGGGTCCTAGTGGCGGTGGTGGTCAGGGAAGTGCAGGATCTGGTAGTCTTCTTTCTGCAACAGCTGGGGGTTTTTCCACTGGCATCACGGGGCCACAAGTTACAACAACCCAAATGTCTCAACTTTATCAAAATCCTCCTGGTGCTATCAGTGGTCAGAGGCAGGTGCAACAGGCAGGAATGCAGGCACCAGGGGCTCTCGGTGATATAAAAGATACTAGAGCAACTGGTCTAGATGATATGGACTTATTTCTTGTACGTTAAAAGTTGTTATTATTCTGCTTTATTTAATGACAGAATCATTGTTCGTTTAATCACCAAAGATACTTAAGTATATTAATCACTTCATCATATTTTCTTTCTAAACAACACGGGGATTATGATACAACACCGGTTTATTTGCACATTTTCACTATTCAGATCAAAGTGGTGTGAGCATGAAATGGTCATTTCTTATACTTTGGAAAAATAAACTTACAGTAATATTTAATTTAGATTAAATGTTTCTACTAATCAGTGACGCGTTTTTGCTCGTTAATGATCCGAGTATATCAAGGATAGTGTTGATGTTATTTGTGATGAAAAACTCATCAACTGTTAGAATGATGTATTATTATTATAACACCTAGATTGATATTTTACTTCTTAAAATGCGCTATAAATCCATTCATGAGAGTTTATATTTCCTAACTATTGGTGATATTTCAACATCAGAACGGTAATAGTTAGGACTATATTTCTGCGGACATACAGTAATATTAAGTTTTTGAATTATGAAATTAACTATTTTTCTAAAACGTATCAGACTGAGAACTAATCGTCAGCCACTTATTCACAAGACCAAGCGTAATCAAAGTAAACAATCAAGTTCACTTAAACTGAATTTATTTATCTCGAAGTATGTAAATTTGAATCACTAACTTCTAGATTGAACTTAGTTTTTTTATTACCACTAGAGATATAAATCATAAATCTACAGTGTTGATAGAGTAGTTAATAGATATTGTAAATAAAATAAAATTGGTGAGCACATTGCATTTCTTATATTAATGATAATTTATAGAAGTATAGCTTCTCTTTTTACTGAAATGAGATCACGAATGGAGATGAAAATCAATTGGTCATGAGTTTGATCTATCCAGTAGGATAAACTTATGAAAGATCTGTATGACAATAGACATTGAAGAGATTATATTTCTTTTAAAATTCTTATAACTTGCAATTGTAAATTTTTCTCATATAAATAAAAAAGTAGTTATACAAGATCATAGATACTGTTGCAATATCTTTTTTAATATAAGGAAATTTTAAACCATTTAATCACTTATTTGAATGTATTATTTCCTAAAATCTTTCACGTTTTTTAAAAAAATTTTTTTTAGCCAACATCAAGTGGACACACAAGTCCATTAGCTAATCTCGTCGATGAATTTTCATTCACAGTATTAGTGTTACCCGGACAAGATCCTGGCCTAGTTCATATTGGTTGGGTCACAAGTTACTTTAAATTAGCTAAAACAAGTAAACCGGATCATATTAGTGGATTTTTACATAATGTATCATCACAATTACAATTCGACACAACACATGGACAATTACATGGTCACTCTAATCAAAATCCTATGCTTGGTGATACTAGTGGCAGCGGTATACAACCATACGCTGCCGACTTATTCACTGTTCGTCAAGCAGCTGTTTGTCTCTTGGAGTCAGATTTAACATTAAAGGTAGACAGTGTTTACGGATTGTGATATTTTTTATCTTTATTAAGAAAATATTTGACCTATAAAGTATTAATGACGAATATTTCATTGATAATGTTAAATATAAACTATCCCATTTGAAAATTGTAGGTTCTTGAATATCAACTCAATAGTATCGTACTCTCATATATCTGAATTGTAGAACGAGTAATAATAATCATAATAAATAAGTGAGAAGCAATATTTTCCACATCTACGTAAACTTTTTGAGAATCGAACATACAACTTAAGTTTTTATTGTGAGTGTACACTGTCTTTTAAAATAAAGACTTCTAGTTAGTTTATAATTTAATACAAATTGAACGTTATTGTTATAGTCTCTGCTACATAACTTTTGATATTATTAAGTGTTTACATAAAACATTAAAAAATGTCTCATGCAGTGAATTGATCCAAGTTAGCAGAGGAACGTTTGGAACGATAGAAGTGTAAATACATAATTTTATATAGAATATAAAATAGGTATTCAAATAACTAATGGCTTATAATTGCATGCTCCAAAGTTTTATCTGATTCATAACAATAACGATAAGTATAATATTTTATTTTACATCATAGTCTGCTGTTGCTGAACGTGCATCTTTCATGGTGAACTTGGGGCAATTACTCAATCAGATGGCTACAGCAGAAGACTTAGGTAAACGAATGAGTCAAGGCTTATCGCTAACTTGTTGGGTTGATATAGCCAGTGGAACATTGGGATTTGATTTAAATGGTCGTGATAGTGGGATACGGTTTCAGGTAATTGCTTTTTAGGTTGCTTATGAGATTACAGTTTATCCAGTTTTTGTCAACAAATATTAGTTTTCTTCGTTGTAACGGCAGTCACCAATTCAGTTCTCCTATTTTGTATTTTCACATAACAATTAATATTTTTTTAAATGGTTGTTGTTATTTTCAGTTTGCTGATTTTTCTATTCATAGAATATATATATTCTCCATTTTCTCCTTAGTTATTCATTTATTTACTAACATACTTAGGGGTATGTGTATGTATGTTTCCTCATAGCTATCTGATTGCAAACTTTTTATTTCGAATTATTCAGGTCGAGCCATCCACACGTTTATTTGCTGCAGTCTTTTATCGACCTACTGTTAAAGAGGCTATCCATTTTGAATTTGGTCGACGAAATCGTTATACTTTACCAATTACGGCGAGTATGCTTCGACCACCAAGATATACATCCACTGTGTTGCCACATCGTTTAAGAGTTCAAGCATTGGAGGTATTTTTTAAATGATGAATTACATATGCTTATATTTTTTATAGCACTTGTTAACCTACAGATTATGATCGCAATTATTATATTTAACTTTTGTTAGTCATTCGAAAAACAATATAATCAAAATGAGGGTTTATGAATATCCTAGAAATTTTAATGGTTAGATTCATGAGTCGATTTAAGCTAGACCACCACTGGAAACCTGAAAGCACTGGACGACCATTTAGTCGTCGTGGATTGGTTGGAGTTAGACACCGTTGGATGGTCTACAGGTTGAGCGTTCGCGCGCGAGACCGAAGGTCCTAGGTTCGAATTCCGCGTGTGGGATCGTGTGTGAGAAGTCTCATACTAGGACGAGATGGCCGTTCAGTTCTCCCAGGTTTTCAATGGTGGTCTAGCTTAAATTGACTCATGAATTCAACCATTAGATTAGTATAACTTATCAGCTAGGTATCATTCCATTTTCTATATCTATCCCTGAGTGATGACATTTATACATATCTTACGGTTAGCTACTAAAACATAACTAGTAATATGTATTGTATAAATATATTCTAACAGTAAGTTATGTACATAAATGATGAATTTTCATATAGAAATAAACCCATCTGTCTGAATTGTCTGTTTTTCAACCTAACTATCAAATAAATTTATAAAATTAAATAAGTAAATCCACCACCATCATCATCATTATCAGCTGACCTGTTAACTTTATTAGTGTGCAGGAAATCTCGAAATAAATAAATAGATAAATTGGATATTGTTTTTACAATTTTCAGCTTTGAAATAACTCATGAAACATAAGAAGGGAATTATTCTTCATTCTTAATACATAGATTTAAGTAGTAAAAGAATAGAGTTTTGTCTTCAAATCACCAACTTATGGCGAACTGTCATCTGCTTTTGCAACCTCAAGTGGTGTCCGTCAAGGCTGTCCACTTTCTCCATTTTTGTTTAACTTCATTATAGACCGATTACCACGACGTGCAATGCTAACCGGTGTTGGAGATGGTTGGAAGAAAGTTAGGGGCGGCTAAACCAAAACCTGGCATCAGTGCTTGAAGTCACTAACTTCTAGTCTGAGCCATGTTGGTAGATACAGACTACTTGGTTGGGGTCCGTGTGACTTTCGTAACCAATAGTTGGAGACTCTTGGTGACATGGCTCAGAATCGATCGCAATGGCGTCGGTGTATACACTCCCTGTCTTCCCTTAAACTAAGAGATTAAAATCACTTCCTATCTTTCTTTCTACTAATTAATTCTTTCTTCCTATACTATATCCTTATTGCAATCTTTCTTTTATATATTACCACCTCTGAATTAACTACTTTTATGAATCCGGTGTCCACCTTGTTGTGTTAATGAGTTATAGCAACTTGGACCGATGCATATATATGCCTGGTCCTACGTTGTAGCTGACTGATTGACTTTTTATTGCCTAGCGTGTTCATTGGGCTCGTGTACCACCGAAAGCTATAAAGATGTTCAGTATGAAGATTAGTGAACTACGCGGATGGGGTACCTCTATTGAATATCCAGTCTCCGAAATTGCTGTTCGTTTACCAGAATCAGACAGATGCTTTATAGCTCTTGAATTAGAGGAAATGCCAGAATTATTGAAGTAAGCGAAATAAAAATTTTATTCTGCTTTGAAGTTGAACCTTTTTTGCAAAAGTGTGCATAGACTATTACTAATGACTGGTCACTCTAAATAATAAACATTTTATCACCGTAGAACTGTATTACTGTTTAGCACAAACTGCTAAAAAACTTTATCTAGAAATAATCAACAAGAAAAGTGAACAGCATGACGACTACAGTAAACTGATAACCTAGTTGCTGTGCACTTACAATATAAGTTTGCCCAAAATTTTGGAATCCTCGATTACCTTAATCTTGTAAATATTGTCAAAAAATATCTACTTGATTCCGATAAAAATTTTATCATCCGATTTCGAGGAAACCTTATTCATATGGATGTTATTTATACTAATTCATTTAACAAATAGTTCGATTATGGTTAGCAGTCGAAACCATGCTATGTTTGAAGCGATTACGAGTTCACCTAATCTGCGAACGGAACAAGACCAACAAGCTAGCTGTTCTGATGCGTCTCAGCCCCGCTAACTACAGAGAAGTCCATGTTCGAAACGGGGAAATATATTCCGCAAGCAGCCAGGAACACGAGCAACCACGACAAGTGTAGTTAGAAATAAACTCATTTATATATCGGTTTGTACACCTATTTTTGATTAATAATCAGAATAAATCACATATATGAAAAATACGACATACAAGAATATCGTATGTTATACAGAATAAAGTGTTATAGGGGGAAACAAAACCGAATACTACACTGAGTAATCATCAAATGGATTAAACGGAATTGATGTTGAATAAAAATCATAATGAGTAAATCAATCTAATTTTGACTTTTCGTCCCATCATAACAAACCATGTCACACGTTTTGCTCTATCCGGGACTCGTCAGTTAGATGTATCTGAATCTCAATATTCTGTTCATTCACAGTGTTGTATTGAATAAAATTCATAAATGGAATTATTGAGAGAGCTGAAATGTTCATTCATTACCTCAAATGCTCTGTGGTAAAGCTTATTCAGGATTTATAATTAAACAGAAATGTTGATAATATGTTCAGTATCTGTGATGATATGGATCACGCTTCTAGGTCACTTACTGACTTCAGCCACTCTCATCAAAACTTAAAGTTTACACTGGAAAATGAAAGAGATAACCAATTCAATTCCGTCACCTCAAATCACATCTATGAAGTTAAATGTACCTGTGGTAGTAAGCATGTAAGAAGGATAAAGAGAAGAGCCTCTTTATTTGTACATCCCGATATATAAATACACATCGATCTTGAGTATATTTATTCATACACTTCCTATTCTTATTCTCCTGATCACTATGATTTTGATTGCGTTTCGAACATCCACCTAAACTTCATAAACTAAAATATGCTTAACATTTGTCATTAACTATAACAATAACTGTAACTTCGATTGTATGCAGCTGATGAGAAACTGCGAAATAGAATGCATTCATTTTATTCTCCAAACCTTGTTGCCCTTGCTCTGTTTAAATCTATCAAGGGATCTGTTCATATGAAAATTTTATTTGTTGAACTTTGCCAATACGTATTTTTAAAACAGTCATCGTTTTTATTTAAAAATCACAACACAGGTATCATTCTCATACACTGGAATTATATCGTGCTTTATGCTGTCACGATAATCACAATGTTGCACATTATTTAACCAATCATGTGGATGAACATCAATTATTGCATGCTATGACAGCCGCAGGTAAGAGATTTAGCTGAATTGCTTAGTACATATGTATGTAAATATCCAGAAAAGTATCTCCTTTGGTTTTTCTTACTGTTTTCATTGTGGACTTTTTTAAATTTTATTCACGAAATAAAATTTCAACTAGTAATGTATAAAAATTACAATGAATACATTTTTCTAAAAACAGTTAATTTAATCATTATGATGTTTTATTATTAGATATGCCTGGACCTCTACGTTCTGGTTTTATTGATTTAATGTTAGTTATGCATATAAGTAGTCATGTAAAATTGAAACAAGTCACAGGAAAGGAATTCATTGTACCAATGTTTAAAACTGAACCGAAACAGAAAAAATATATATTCGATTTTGATGAACGTACAGGAGAATTAGACGGTAAAAAAATAAACGATGACGGCGGTAAAGAAGTTGATGAATATGATTTCGACCGGATACCAGCTGTTGAAGAACATATCAGTATTCGTCCAGAACTGAAAACTGATCCACATTTACTTATGTAAGTTCATCGATTAAAATGTATTAAAATGTATATATATATATATATATATATATATATATATATATATATATATATATATATATATATATAATTTTCTTCCATTATTTCCTAAAATATACTCTCTTATGAATATTATCTTAATCAATAACTTTGAGATGGAGACATCATGGAGATTATTCATCTTAACGATAATTTACATTACGGACTGACCACTGAAAACCAAGGAGCATTGGACAGCTATTTCATCCCAGTAAGTGTCTGTTTATGGGCACTAACTCATCAGTGATCAAAATTAAGACCTGCAAGCCGTACAACCAATCTGTTATCTTCAGACCGCTGAGATTTCATCCAGTGGTCCACACTTGCACCCTTATATAATACCCGTCTCACTCCTGGTATAGTTGAAAACTACCAATCAAATTTTCACCAGAACATCGATAATCCTTCCTGAATTTAGCTTGATCCCTAGTACGCTCGTGAGTGTATATCATTAAAAAGTCACTTGCCAAGACTAACCAACTGCCTATTGTTACTCAGTTTTCAATGAGCGCTTAACTAAAGTCGGCATATGATGCAAGCTAATATGAAGATTAACTTTAATTGTGCACCAACCATGTCATCAGTTTTCTACAAGTTTCTAGTAAATTTAGTGTTAGTATTGAAGATTTGTGGGGATTAAAATCAATTCATACTCACTTTATGACATCATAGTGAGGAACTAAAATTTAAGAAAATACCCACCCCTGAGAAGGGTGATGAACTTGAAAACTAATTATTTGACAGATCTCGGATTTTATTTTGTTCTAAATCCTAATCTCGTCGCTATTGCAAACTTTGTATTTTTCCATCCTATTCATTACTTTATGAATAATAACTTTTAATTTTAGCTTTTCTAAAGTTTCGTCTCTCTGTCTTTATTTTATTAACTGTTTCTCTCCTTCTATCTTGCCATATTTGGATGAAATGTAGCAACTTGAACCGTTACATATTTGCATTGTTCGAAAGTGATTGATTTTAGATTAGCTTCGTATGGCAGTATAACTAGTTCTATACTTAGAACTATGAGTACTTTCGTCAAGCTAATGTTACATCTACACAGTGAGAACAGCAGTTTTGTATTCAGACTATTTAATTTATTCTCGCACTACGCTATGTTCTAGAGATATTGTTCTTAGAAAGTCTCATCTCTCTTAAAAACAATTTTTCCACTGTTAACGAAAATCACATCTTAAAATGATTTGTGAGAATGTTTTCGTTTTAGAAATATAAAGGTCACACAATCGGTAATGGCAACCTATTATCTTTACGTCTCGTTTAATCAAGTCTTCGAATTTCATGCTGTTTCATCACATAAAAAGTATTTTCATAATAACTCTAGTGAGTTTCAAACCTACAGCACTTAGGTTGATCTTACTGGTAAAAGCTAGAGATAAGCAAGTCCTGTTTAGAAAAGTCCATCCAAGTAACAGTAATACTTAAGGCAGGGAAGGATATTTGTAATGCAGAGATAAATTTAACAGTAATATGAGTGGGAACATGAGAAATATAATCCATCTAACAGTTTTATAAGTTAAAAAATATTGAAAAAATCGAAAAAGGCCATAAGATTGCTCTTAACTCGGTTTTTGTGGTGTTGTATAAAAGTGTAAAATGGCGTATACTAAGCCTTAGCCATACGAAAATTCAAAGCCCCTTTGTGTATTTAGAAACAGTTTATTCTCACCTTAACCTACCCTGGTAATATTGGTTTATTAACCAGAGTGATTAGGTTTCAAATTGTGTTCACATTATTATTATTATCCTTGTCTCCTCTTACCTCATTTCCAGTCTAGTTGACCTTTTATTTTTTATACATAAATGTTCTTAACAAGTGTATGTGTGATCAGATTGTTCGAAACGTATTGCGCTAATATATCACATAGTTTTGATGATCTTCGTCTTCTTATTTCAATATCGAAATTTAAGAAATATTCATCCAAACTATAGATTCGATAGGTATATACATGTTTTGTTGAACTTTTGTTATGTTATTCAATCCAAACAAACTTCGTTCTAATTGAGATCTCGTTATCCTTAAACCTTCCACCTTCCAACTCTTAATTTCATTGTCAGTCATAAGCCTTACATTCAACAAGTATTTTGAAATATTTTGTTGAATTAAAAGTCATGTCATTCCAAGGAAAGATTCATATCACAAATAGGCCGTTATTTTCCACATTAACTAGACTCCAATGTCAAGAGTGGTAAGTGTTTCGTTTTGCAAAATGAAACTAAACACCATTTGTTCAGTTGTTTGTTGTTATGAGATTGGCGAAACGTTTTTTAGCTTATTATCTAGTAAACTATGCACCCTGTTATGTCAAGCTTAACACGTGAATGATACATTTTATATGGTGAGCTAAGTTATTGTACAAAAGATTTCTTTGCATGATGTTTTCTTATTTTGCCCTGATTCACACAAATAGTAAATCTCTAAAAGTGAAATATCGAGAGCTTCATCTGTGTTTTAATTAACTAGTCGGATGATATTAGAATGCACAGTCAGAAACGTAACAAGTTGAGTGGAGTTTTTAATTAGTAAAGTGTCCAAACGGATGGGAATGTTTTAAATTATCACTGAAGTATGTTTAAAAGATTGGCTTTCTTAGCATGGCTCCATTTATTTTTTGCTTCATATTGTTTATAATATAAGAAAAATCAGACAAAAGTATCCTGGGGATTTTGGTATCAGAATAGCTTCGCACGAGCGAATCAGTATCGAGAAAGCGACTTTTCACGTTTTGCGAGAAACTCAAATATCATGAATAGTGATCAGTGGAAAAAACTTTTTAGACTATTCAGAACGTTTAAAATGATAAAAAATTGCTTCTCGCAACCATGGGATAGAATTTATAGTATTAAGCGTAAGAAATGATTGATTATGTCTTTTTAGATGGTATACAGCAAGCAAATCGACACTATCAAGAAATCTGAACTCTAAACTATTAATCCTGAAACAAACTTTAACCTGGTGATACTACATTTTATGGATGAACTAATCAGATAGCGCCTCTTGTATTTTTTAGTGAATTGCATTCAATCTTAAGGCTGTAAAACTCTTTTGTTAAATAGCTAATACCAGTTCATGAACAAAACTCTGACTGTAAATTTCTAACCGAGAACAATGCGAGGACTCTTGAAAGTCTCATGCAATTGGTTCCCTTTATGAATTCATATTATTTCGAGGTTTCTCGTCAGCTGCTTACAAACCGAAATTGTGATAGAATTTTTTACATGGAGATAGTGTGAAAACAATTGACATAAATGAGTGTAAATAACTGGATTACAATAATAACTATATATATATATATAGTTATTATTGTAATCCAGTTATTTACACTCATTTATGTCAATTGTTTTCACACTATCTCCATGTAAAAAATTCTATCACAATTTCGGTTTGTAAGCAGCTGACGAGAAACCTCGAAATAATATGAATTCATACTATTCTGCATCAATGTTTGTTCTTGCTCTATTCTTGAAAGTCTATTCAGGTCCTTATAATGGTTCAAGGAGATGGATAATATATGTCCCAAAATATGAATATACATTTCGTTATTTTTAATTTGAAGACAAAGTAATCTAAAGAAAACTTTATTAGATCTATTAACTATATGAAATCTGTTTACACTTTTTACTATTAGTATTGTATTTCCTTCAAATTATCCATTCAAAAAAGCTGTTTCCTGATTGGCTAAGAACTGGCTAAAAATTAGTTGTTGTTTTGTTCTCGTCCCTGCATTATTCTCTTACCGAAATTTCTATCATTCACAATTCAACTATTTTTAAGCAGTTTGATAATGGCTAGCAGTGGAATCCAGAATGTTCATTTTGCTCTATCTAGAACTGAAAGCTGAATGCACCTTAACCTTAGTGTTAATGTTCGCAGCGAAACTAAAACCCAATCCCTCGCGCTTGAATTAGTTTCTTTCAATTAATTCATTCTAATATGAATTGATTGGAGGAAAGTAAAAGCTTGTATCAAATTCTTGTATTCATGTCTGCTTACTGTTTTACACCAGTGAAGTGAACAAAAAAATTTTTTACTTGAAATTAAATGTGAAGTAACCTGTTTGTCTGACGATGGAATTGTCTGATAATTATTCATAGTTGTAATTTATTTACCTGCTAACCTGTTGCTATGAAGTTGACTTTACCTCATCGTTATCATCATCATCAGCATCATTATTGTTTTCATTTATACGAATAAGGCGAATTCTATGAAGAACTAGGCCAAACGTCCAATATTCATATTCGATGCCCGAAACAATTAAATATTATTTTTTGGAATTATAAAATAAACCCAGATTTCGTAAAATAACTGGGATTCAATGAAAAATTTATATTCTGGGGAAGTTGTAAATCTGGGTTAATTTGATTACTAGGAATAAACTTTGTACTATGCTACACGTCAAGCACAATCAGTAGATTGAAATAAATAATTTTAAGAGCTGAGTATTTATAAAACCAAATAAAGTGAGCATTAAAAAGTGTTTACTTCTGGAGGGTTCCAAACTAGAAGGGAAAAGCTGTCTAGTACTTTTTGTTTTTTTCTGGAAGTATAGTTAATATCAGTCTGGGATTTACATTATGAAATTATTTATTAAATATTTAAATGGAAATTTTCATTATCGATATTCGATTGACAAAGAAAGACCATCTGATTCGTATTATATCTTCATCTTACAATGTCTGTGTATTGATGTATTTTTCGCTTAAGGCATAAGTATACAATTTACCTAAAACTCCAATTTCGAAAGTCATAAACCTAAAATCTTGTGTTATGAAGTTTATCAAGTTAATTTTGCCTATGTGAGATGCTTTTATATTTTTAAAAACTTATTGTCATTGTAACAACCTGAGATTGGCTGCTGAACGAACAGACATATATGTCAAGTGTATATAGGGACAAAATTTTCACACCAAATTAGCTTTTTTAAACTTTTATCTTAATGTATTTGCATCGAATAAATCTGGGTCATTCACACAATGTGTACGTAATAACTCAATCAGTCAAGGCTATCTTGTAATAATATGATGACATGGAGCTCTCATATTCAGTCAATCATTTCTTAATTTTGTATAAATTAGTTAAAAACATATTCTGCTTTACTATAACTTACAATTAAAATAATTTTATCCATATGACATATGGTCATATTAAGCATTTATGATTATTCAAATTTGTAATATTCTCAAAGTGATTATTTCTGTATTGAAAACAACTATTTTTTTAAAGTTTAAGTTAGATCAAAACTGCTTCTTCTTTTTATCTTCATTAATAGATTTTAAGTATAAAAATTTTATTCCTCATAAAGTAATCATCAATTGTCAGACCATTTTTATGATAGTAAAGAGCAATACCATGTAAAGTTCAAGAAAGTGAAATAGTTTTATTGGACTAAATTACAGCATATATTGATAGAAAAGAGGTGGTTAAAAGTTACAACTATCATTAGTATCATTTATTTTCAATTAACTGCTATAATATAATCAATGTTTATAATTTATTAAGCGTTACATCTAAACTTCAATTAGTATTTGAATAAATGTATCATTAAATTTGATTGATTCACTTCAGTTATTGTGATTTTATGTTCAATAAAATGTCACAATGCATGTCTTGATTAATTTCACTTATAACAAAAAAAATATATTTTTTTAATTTTTATTTACGTTCATAAGTTTCTATTCCTTTTAATAAACAAAAATTATTTTGTTAGACATTAACACCTTTGGATGCTGGCTCAGTGGTCTAATGGTTAAGTGCTCGCGCGCGAAGCCAGTAGGTTCTGGGTTCGAGTCCCGGGTGATGCGGGGTCGTAGATTCGCACTGCTGAGGAGTCCCACACTAGGACGAAACGGCCGTCCAGTGCTTCCAGGTTTTCAATGGTGATCTAGCTTCAACTGACTCATGATTTCAATCTGTGAAAAATTATTTTTCTCAATTTAACGAAACAAATTTTTTGTTTTGCCCTAATACGATACAATTCAGTCAATTTATATACGTTAATGTTAGAATATTTATGAGAAAAACGAGTTTATCAACATCTACATCAATGATGATGATGATGGACAATTGAATAGTTCATTAGATCATTTCTATTAAATTTAAATAGTGTGAATATATTTTTAAACTTTAGTATTGTCTATTCAACATTGAATCTATCGATTCATTCATAGTGCAGATAGTCTCATCATAGATTCACACATCATTATCACTATAATTTTAACCCAGGAAAAATATGGTGACGATCTTAAAGCTCAATAGATAATGATTTGATAGTTCAATTGATTGAATTATATCTTCTTAATTATTAATTTACTTTTACAAATTTAGTATTATAGTTGTTTCATTATAATTATTACATTTGACTTACGATCTATAAAAGAAATTCAAAAGAAAATCAACTATTTTGAGTTGATTTCTATGTTGAATTTGGTGTAACACAAATCAAGTAGAACTTGATATTACATACTAAAACTAATTTATGCAACTCATGTACCGAGTATTCGTCAATTTGCTTGATTTGAAGCCATACTGTTTGTGTGAGTGCTATGAATACTAAGTCAAAGCAGATAGAGCAAGTTTTGAATTTCCATCCATTATATTTACAATAAAATTATTTACATGAAGCTGGTTATGTATATATATATCCACTTTACTTATATTTTGATTAATTAAGAAACAGTTTACATTTTATCGTTTCTCATTTGATTCTACTTTACAGTCCTGGAGCAGATGGAACTGGCAATTTACCTGTAACGCCACCAGAAAAAACAAAAGAAGATAGTGCAATGTCAACTGCATTGAATATAGCTGGAACGAATGGTTTATTAAAACTATCCGATTGTCCACCATTTCCATTAGTTAAATTGAAATTAGTCTGTTTAGATTGTTTAGTTGATAGTGTATATAAAGGTGGTAGTATACGTGATCCAGCTGGTGGAAGTTATGAACATTTATTGCTGTAAGTAAAAAGTGGTTTTATAATGTATATTCTTAAAAAGTGCACGATTAAGGTTTTCGTCACATAACAAATATATTATGTTATTGATATGTACTACAACCAGTAGATCATTTTTGTTAGTTGGTGTTTTTTTCATCTGTTTTTTAGTATCTCTAACTAATCCTTTTTCAGTTGATCAGTGATACAACATTGGTTGAGCACTTTATTTATAAATGATAAAATTAATTTCTTCATATACCTATTTAAACATTTGATTAGTGGTTTTTTCTTCTAGTATAACACTTGATTTCGGGATTCATGAGTCAGGTATGTGTATATTTGATCAGTTCGAAAATCTAGATAATTTCAGTAGTTTGTTAACTTATATGTTCAATCATAAAAACGAGCTCACTATCAATAGTCAACTAGACTAAATTTTATTCCATTTCAAAGAGTGAATTCTCCACCAATATTTATTCACGTAGTTGATCACAACGTTGTTTGTACCAACATTAAAAATCTAATCTAGTACATTAATTGCTATTAATCCTGCAATAAAGTCAAAGTGTAAATTTGTATGGTACTTTGAAAAATAAAAACCACCTACAAAATTCTGTCTGTCACTTTCTCATAGCAGATCTAATGAATTATTCTATATAATTACCAGCCAGTAATAATAGCTTCTTTTTACCCATCACTTCAAAGCTTATTTCCTAAAGTATCAGATCTGCATAATTATCAAATGTGAAGTAACCGCAAATATGGCTTCCTTTTTTTCTCAATATTAATAAAGAATAAATGAGACCTCATGAATGTTAATACAACAGTCAACCTGTTATTTGTCACCTAGATTATGTACTTTGAAATGTTTATTTCCATATTAGATTGAATTCAAACAAAAATTATATAGAACATCTAATCTAGACTTTACTTTTATAATTTAAATAACGAAATGGTCGAAGCTAGGTCATTATTAAAGACCTGAAAGCACTGGACGGCGGTTTTATCCTAGGATGGGACTCCTCGGTAGTGGGTATCCACGACCTTGCATCTCAGAATCGAACTGGATTTGCTGATTATAGACTGATTGAATTAATCTTTCGAAAATAAGATGAAGAAATTGATTTGGGGAAAAACGTCTTATAATTGAAAAATTTTTTTTCTGTGATTAAAGTAATTGCATACCTTCTATACAATTTAAGTACACTCATTCTAAAATCAATTATTGAGTTACTGTTTATCAAATGAAATTTCATTATTGCATATATGTGCAATGTTTAATGAGGAATCTTACTCTCCGAAACCAGATAAATAGGAGGAGAAGTGAATGTTTACCTAAGATTTTGAATGACAGTTAAAAAATGACTGAAGTTAGCAAAAGTTAAACATTAGTGTGAAATAAATTGTCCCCATAGTGACTTTCTGTATTTGAAGATTATTTACCATACTTGTACGAACTTAGATATTTTTTTCTGATTATACTATAAATTTCAATAGACTTTTTCTCCTTTTTACATCCTTTTTTTCACGTCGTATTCGTTTTAATTATGGAGATGTAAGTCAATCAGAACTTACAAAAATAGTTTCAGTGAGACAACTAAGATCAAAACAGAATTTAAAGTAATAAGTGACAACATCAACAGTGTTTTCAAATGAGTCATCTGTAAGAAAAATTCCATTTTGCCGTACGAAACCTGTTTTCAGATTCTGATTTTTTTTCTGAGTAATTTCTGTATTTGACTTCCTTTGTCTGGTGTAAGGGTGTACTCTTTCCAAGCTTGGCATATACTTTATGTACAAAACGAATAATACAATAATCAGTACTAGACAATGCGGCAAATTCACAACTCACATATATTTACACATCGCTGATGAAAACTAAGTATAAGTGGGCATTCAAATGAGTGGGAAATTCTACTACATTTTTCTGACTTAGTGATGGAAAAAAGTTACACACAGATAAATCATCTTATATAGATGTAAGTGAACTACTAAAGTCAGTAGCAGTACATTCAGTGAGTTAATCAATGAAAACAGAACGTGTGTATATATAGTCCAAAGTCACGTAGATCTTGATAACAAGTAATCGTATTTGTTCAAGTGTTCTGGACGGCGTTTTAAAGTTAAACAGTTGATAAAGTCGTTTGAAAACTTAAAACATGTAGAATTAGATCGACACTACTTTATGCCTACAAATGTAAATATACTGCCGCCACACATCTTCATTTTGCTTGATCGATTCGGGCGATAAATACTGAAGCCTTGTAATGATATTAAACAATAGTCTTGTAAATCATTAAACCAGGATTCTTGAATTGTGATCAAACCACAATCACGATACATGTTTAGATTTAATAGGACTTGAAGATTGTTCACATTGCCTTCTAGTGATTGGCGGTTAAAATTTAGAAGCTGACATCCGATTAATGTTCACTCTTTACAATGCCTATTGCCAGTCACCATGAAATATCCGATTGTACCCTTTTGTACCTTGTAAAATGATAAGTTCTAAACTTTTTATGTGCGCTTTTGAATAGGTTACGCTATTAATGGACAGATTAATGTGTTAACACAAACAAAAAAGATAACTTGTTGAAATATCTAGATGGTAGGAAAAGGTAGCCCGGATATTCAAGCAGTTGGGGCCTAAGTACTGTTTATTACTTTCTGATCAGTTAAACATGTAAGGCAAACACAATAGGTCTCGTGGTATCAATGTGGAGAACGAATTTAATGTATTCTAATCATGAACTATAGTCCTTTGACAAAATATCATTTTTAAATACTTAGATTAAGACAACATCATGCTCAAAGAACAGAACAGAAAACACAATCAGAAGTCAATTATTATTTGATAATCATACAGTGTTTATGCATACTTTGCGGGTTCAGAGGTCCCTCGTTCCGACATAATCAGCGACGACCGGATACAAAAAGTAGCATTAAAAGAGCCAAGACAATAAGCATTCAAACGGCAAGTTATAACAATGGGGACTTCGTTGTCATAAGTCCTGATCTAAAAGAGCCTTAATGAATTAAAAATAGTATCTTACGTGTCAGATAGAAATATGCTGATGACAATAAGGTTAATCCATAGATTTATATTCTTTCAAAGACTAACCAGTATTATAGTCTGGAAATTTTTCTAGTTGATTGATTCTAAACTAATAATCATATTTTCTTGAAAAAAATTCTTTTGTGTGTTTTAGACCGTTAGTAAAAACAATCAACTGTCTACTTGTTATGGGTGTGCTCGATCAAAAAGATATTCACACTCTATTGGCTATCTTGGATCCTAAATCATTTAAAGCATCATTACCATTAAGAGGTTTGTATACATGTAATTTATTTGATTTTTTTAGAGTTGTTGATAAGCTATGGGTTAATTGCCAACATGTAAAATAGTTACTGTATACAATAAATATGATCAATGTAGAAGCCTATTGTCATTTTGTCATTCAGTTAGCAATATTATTATAAGTGATGAGACCATAACATCATATCACCCAAATTGAGAAGCAACTGTTCATTGTTGTCTGAAAAAGAAATCAATTTCATTCAGTCAGTTTAAGCACCGTATGAACTTATAAAAATAGCTAATCATATGAGAATAATTAATGTCTATATTTTATAGTATTATGGTTAATATATAATCCAGTCATAGTGAGATATGTATTCAATGAAATTCAAACAATTTATATAATTTTTTATTCATCCTATTGTTTAATTAATTTTTTCAATATTGTATTTACTATAAATTATATTTTGCTATCTAGCTATCAAATACTTATTAAATGTCAAAGCATTCAATGGCTGATTCTTGTAAAATATAAATAGTTATATACATGAATATATATTCTTATTGACTTTTCTGTCTTGTACTTGTATTGTATATTTATTTAGGAGTAACGCCTATAATTATGAAGTTGAGTGACTTGTGTTTCAATCCTTAAAGGAATAGTTTGCAGATGTAACTTATTGCTAAATTATAAGGATACGTACTAATCGACTCTAAAGATTACATTAACAAACATGTATTGTAGTGTTATGATCATATTTCATTTCCTGAGTAATAAAATTCATTCAGCGCTTATCATTTAAATTTTGTGTCTGACAGCATCTTACAGTTGAATGTTGCATACATTTTATAAGGACCACAATCCTCATTCTTTTTCCTAATCACAGTGATAATGAAACTTTAATATTACAAAGTGGTTCGAGATTTCAAATATTTTATTTATTTTCTTAATATTATAGACTCACACTTTATATTACTACGGTTATCATTGTCATGTTAATTGTTTGTTGATATCTTAAGGTGATTCGACGTATGAAAGTCTACTCGAGTTTCACTTGCCGGAAAGTGTCAAACTAGAAATATGCCGTTTGTTACATAATTTATGTGATTTACAATTACGTAACCGAGTAGAACAAGTTGTAAAATTTGCTAGTAAATTTGTACAAGCTTTACAAGAAGTAAGTCAATTAGTATGTTAATTTCAAACAATTTCAAATTGTACTGTAAAAATAATCACAAAAGAGACACCGGTTTAAAGATGTGATAAGATTGATACTAAAGGCATGAAAGTAAGACAAAGTTCGTAAGTTTCTTTGTCACAGGAATTACAAAAAAATAAACCAGTAGTTAGGAAACACTTTTCTGAGTACCTATATCTGGGTTATCATTTGTTGAGGTAAATAAGATAATAAAGAGCGGTTTCACTGCTATCAAAGAGTAATTATAATCATCTACAATTAGCTAGGAGAAAATGAAAACAGTGACCATGAAACAGCAGCAGCAAAAGTACGGTATAAATTCTGTTGTCATATATTTGCTGGATTTTTTATGACCTATTGATTTTGACAAATTTTATGTAGACTAATCAGATTGATTAGAGTTAGTGTCAGATCAAAATATCAACAAGGAGTTAGATTCCACTTCATTATATTTGATGATAATTAAAGTATCTAAGATAAAGGCATTAGTATACAAGTGTGATAATGGACTGAAAATACATTGTTTAGCAGATAAAATTGTGATGCAAGTAATGCTCCCATAACTCTAGTATTTCATGCATAACTTATCCTGATAATTCTTGTTTAGGATCAAAATTTTAGGTATATGGCTATCAAGAAATCCAATCTACCATCATCTGTAGCAGCTAGAAGAACAAGGGAATTTAGATGCCCTGCCTCAGTACAGATGAAAAGTCTTCTTCAAATCCATGGTCCGGGTGGACCAACAGGTCGTTCACAAGAGACACAAACTGAACCATCAACTAATGAGACAGTTTCTGGAAATGAAGAAGAAGATGATGAATTAGAGGATGTTGAAACTAATCCCTGCTCGGAAGAAGTTAAGGTACTAAGATTTTGAAATTTCAGTTATACTGATTTTTTTTATTTGAAAGATGTTTAATCATGTTTTACTTTGACTAATAGAGGAAAAATAGATTTACCACTGGTTCATATGACAAACTACATGAAAATTAAAACTGTCGTAAGTTGAATTTGATATCGAAAGAATATTGAAAACAAAGAACTCAGTTTATTTATTGGGTGTCACCAGAACTTTGTATCGGTTAGAAATGTGAAATATTAATTTGATATGAATACCTTTATTTGAGAGATAAGTATTCTCAATCAGAATTTCCTGAAATCGTAACTCTAATCTTTCTGTGTTAATTTATATCAAAGAAATGATATAATTCATTTGTATACCAAGTATATCATTTAGGAATATACATTTCAATAAGATAATTGGTGGAATCGAAAATTCCAGGTAAGCGAATTTTATGTCGAGTAAACCAAACAAAATTCAAAAAATACTTAATTTATTAAAAATTTGTAATTTTTATAAATAAAACGTTTTATCTGTACTAATTCATTACACTCAAGAAAACAATCTTTTAATGTTATTTCAGCTTTTCTTTTGTTCTATTAAAAGCAACAAGATTTTAGATTTGAAAATATTTCTTGCATGGAATTTTATTTTTTCAAGTAAAAGGGTACATTGAAGTATGTGAAGATCATTGGTTTGATGACACATTGTAGAATAATTAGAATTAATTGAGATTGGAGATAATTAATTATTTTAGTTGTAAACTTTCGGATACAGTAACGTTTTATCCAGTATATAGATGATAATCAATTATTTGATAGTTGATAGTTTTAGGGGTTATAAGTACACACTACGGACGAATACTAAATTAGGACGAAATAGGTATCTAATACTTCCATAATATGCAATAACAAACTACACACATCCTATTTTTTTAATGATCTTATATTGTTTTTATTTTTGCTAGGAAATGCTTCGAAGTTTTCACAAACTACTCTGTAATAAGTTAGGTGTAATGTTACCAGAAAATAATGAAAACAACTCAGGAAATAAATCAGATTCTGATAAATCTGCTGACAGTGGGTTCGATGAATCACATTTACATTCACCATTACTAACACATCCATCAGATACACTTAGTTTAGCATCATTTGGTCCATCTTATCCATCTGATGAATTACAAACAGCTTTAGCTCACCTTCCATTGGTCCCGCCTGATATGGGTCATCCAGAAGAAGGTTCAGGTACACCACCATGGATTTTAAAATTATTATGGAATATAATTATTCGTAATCCATTGACAAATGATTCAGCCATTGAAGTGAATGAGAATAATGAACAGACATCTGTTACTCAGTTTTATCATTCAGGAAAACGTAAGTTTATACATCAAACATGTTAGTAGTAGTAGTTGTTATTTAAATCTTCGTCCTTTTCTGACTTTATAAACAAACCTTTCGACAATAACCAAATAGAGTATTGTACAAGTCAATTAACTTCTTAGTTGATAATTTTTGACTGATAAATTCAAAGTTGTAAATTGACCGACAATAAGTTATTTCAATGGATTTCACTCATAGTTCATACGACACTAGCGAATAGAAGGTTAATAAACAACTGGAGTGAAGATTTTTGAAATTAATAATTTATTGTATTTTCTAACTGTTATGATAAAAATGCTTTTCAGAGCAGAAGAAAATAATACACAACAGAAAAATTTGAAATCCAACTATAAATCTGAACATTGTTAATGTGTCAACTAAATTCTATCAGATGACTAAATACTAATTTACTTTCAACTGTTACTGTGCTGTGTTCTATGAAATCCGTAAAACTCAACTGACAATAAACCATCTTGACCTCTAATAAGAACAGGCACGAGTGGTAGTTGGACTATCCATATTTATATAAGGAAAATAGTTGATAGACAGGTTATCATTTTTTACGAAGATTTATAAAAGATTTTAACAAATAGACTAACAATAATTAAGTGTAAAGTGTGTATAAGACATTAAAAAGCAAAAATATATTTGTAAAGATTTCTGCGAACGAGATGAGAAAAATAACTCCATTACTTCAATCAATACGTTGAGGCAATCACATATAGGCTGAATAATAAGTGAGACAATGACCATGATAACTGAATTTTAAGTTAATTTAGGAGAGACTTACTATTTTTTCAATCGTCTCATCTGGTTATTGTATATAATATTCGGAAATAAACTGTTCACAAAAATTGATCTGTTTTGGTAGTCTTAATCAAATTTCATATTGATATGAAGAATAATGTTAACAGTTCCATATATATTTTTATATTTAGGTTCACTGGATGGACTTATCGTTTATACGATAGTTAAATGGGCTAAAGAAGGTTTTATTGAGAGTTTAGAACTGATCCGAGAAATGTTTTCTGCACTTCATCGTCAATACAATGCAACTGAAGAAGTAAGGTTATTTGGAAAATTTTGTTTTCAAGTTAAGTATTGTTTTAAAAAGTAGTTTTATATTCCACCTAAGAGATTTTATGGAAACTAATCTCATTCGTAAATGAACAGATTTCAGTAGCGATATTATTGAGTATCAGGAAGTTTTCTTAAACTGTATCATCTTAGCATCGGTCTTCAGGAGATTCCTCACCGATGGTATTTGTTATGACCTTGAATCGCTTTTACCCCGTCGATATTTGGTTATGACTTGACCCTGATTTGTCTAGTCCAGATTATGACCTTGGCGCAATAGGCTGAGCGGTTTAACCTTGAGTCTAGTACGCGTGAGTTCGAGATGGGGTAGAGAGAAAACTATCCTAGAACCTGATTGGCTGGCAAGTACGCAAGTGAGAGAAGACAAGACAGTTGGAACACTCTGAATTCTGAATTCGGATTAGTGCAAAAATGTACATGAATAAATAAGTGAATATCCTGACCACAATGTACGATAATTTGGGAAATTACAGTTATGCTCGAAACTGGGAATTAGGGTAGAAAATAAGATGCAAAATATTATGTTTAAATTACAATAGTTTCGTAACAAAAAGGGGTATGGTAGTGAATGATACATCTAACGAAAGCTCATGTTCTGTAGAATAAAATAGGGACAAAAATAAATGTGTTTTACAAGGTTTGAATAAAATGAAATAACGTCCCAAGAAATAGCTTTCGTAGTTTGTCTGGGCTTCTTATTTCTCTATTCACAACAGTATTCAATGGACAAGAACTGATTTAAATAGAAAAATGAGTTTTCGGATTCTAACTAAATGGTCCAAGTGTCGAGGTTTGGTCGTGAGACCTATACACATTATTATGTTTTAAATAGTTATAGACACATTTGTAAGGTTTTAATGTACGACACCATTCAGAACCAGGTTTTCTTCTCTGAACTCCTTGATCACAAAGTAAAAACGCTGTTTATTATTTAATACTGGAATACCATAGAAGTATTGACAACTCGGAAAAATCAGTGGTGATTGTAATGATTTGAGTGTAGCTTGATTTCTGGACTATATTTATCTATTCAATGACTAAAGATGAATTGTAACCAGTACATTTTTGACAATACATTGAATGTACATATTACAATGCTTTAACGAAATGGTTATGTCAGATTTTATTTTCTTTATTATTGACATTAATATTATCTATGTTAACATGATTAGTATCTAATGACCAATAGCTACGAAAATATATAAAGAAACACGTAATATTTTAAATTTTAAGATAACTAAATTTAATATAAAATAGTTTTAATAATTTTATTACGTTATTGTTCTTTTCTTGCCTATAAAATTCATTAAAACGTTTTATGTAAAATTAGCTAAAAAATGCACTAGAAAAAACTTATGTCATCAGTGGTTCATCACAAGATGAAGTATCTCGTCTATTACGTTCACTTGGACGAGTAAGAAGTTTACTTGGTGTTCAATTAGGATCAAATGAAGAAATTCTATTAAAGAATTGTTTATGGTAAATTAGATTTTTTTTTCCTTGATTTATTATATTTTTATTTATCCCGTATTAAAATGTTTTATATTCTTTCATCATAACTAAGAAATCTATTTGTTTCTTAAATCGCTATAACACTAAATTAATAATAGTAGTACCAGTGTTTTTTCCCGATAAATCCCTATAAGCTCCTACAGTTATGAGTTAACATTTATGATCAGAATGAATAGGTATGTTTAAAGTATTGTCTGTCAGCAAAATAAATTTATTTTCATTCTCAAGTGTTAGATAAATAATTTGCACAAATTGTACACACGTATCTACTGATAGGTCAAATGAATGTATAAAAATGAGAATAATAATGAATACTTGCCAGGAAATTGCTTTAGTGACTCCAGTTTCTGAGTTGTAGGAAAGATCATGATCCATTTTTCACCCTTTATATAATTATGGACAAGGAAGTTTTCGTCTTCCATAATTGTCTTGAACTTAAACTTGGATTCTGTGCATTATATAAATTAAAAATTGATGGGGACACCTGAACGTCATGTCATTTGACCCTAATTGTCCGCTTCATCTAAAACAATAATTACTAGCTTCAATATTATGTACCGGTCTTGTTGAAGACTACTCTTAATTATCCCTTTCGTGTGACATCACCAACACTTCACTGTGCTGTATTCCGTCCAAAAAATGTCCTGTCGTTAACTATCTTCTTTTTTCTAAAAGTGTAATCATTCACTATCAAAAAATTAGCATCCATGTTACTTATTATTTATTCTCATTCCATTAAGATATGGCATAGAAGAATGTAGGCTGGAATCTAGTTCACTGCCTTTATTTATGTTTTATATCGTTTTAAATTCTAGTAAAATAATGTATTTTAAACGACTAGATGCTAATTTATATTATACAAAGTCATGTTCTCTCATCAATCCATTAATTGTAATGTAATTCCATAGTTTTATATTTTCTAACACTTACCACTGTTAGAAGGGTTTTTATGGACATTATAGTAATTTTATTGGTTGAGATCATGAATCACTTGAAGTTAGACCACCGTGGAAAGCCTGAAAGCATTGGACGGCCGTTTCGTCTTATTGTATGACTCCTCAGAAGTGCGCATCCACGATCACGCCCCACCCTGCGAGATTCGAACCCAGGACCTATCGGTCTCGCGCGCAAGCACTTAACCACTGAGCCGGAATCCAACGGTGTTAATTCAGCGACATATCCATCATTGTCTTCAGTGAGTTACTATCTCACAACAGACCCGGTTGAACTCCATTGAGGGGTCTCACAGTAGTACGAAACGGCCGTTTAGTGCTTCCAGGTTTTCTTCGGTGGTCTAGCTTCAATTGACTCATGATTTCTACCATTGAACTTACAACTGTACTCATTAATCAACTAAATCATCTTGAGACGAACTGCTAGTTATTTTTTATTCATTCCATTTGAATACTTATCACTGTAAATGGAAGTTCTTTGTCCAATGCTTTTGTTTACTTTATTATATTCAGTCAGTAAATATATTAGTGGCATATTTGTAGTATTTTATTAAATCTTCATGTTTGATTCTCACTACTACTGATGCAAACCTTTTCGAAGCTTGCTCATTTATCCGTTGCCCTTACTAATACTCTTCCTTTCGCACGCTCTTACGAGAGTAAATCATTGAAAATATATCAAGTGATATTTTACTTCCCACCTGATGCTCGGATGATTTTAAATTATCAAGTCAAGCCTTTATACTTGTGTCTATTAACAATAAAGATAACTTGACATGATTGCTGGGATAAGTTTTGTTTTCTGATAAATCTAATAACACACACGATTATTTAATTAGATAATTATTAGTTACTGCCGTATATCAACTTTTCATCGATTTCACATCATTAAAAGTTGCTTCCGTTTTCTTCATCCTTTTTGTTACCATAAATATCTCAACGTCTATAAACAGGGACTTAATGAATAATAAAGTATTCTTTCAACATCCTGATTTAACACGTTGTTTGGCTGTACATGAGACAGTTATGCAATTAATGGTACAAACATTAACTAAAGCAACATTTGAACAACCGGGTGGAAATACCATTTCCAAAGATGCATTACATTCATCCAATCAGGCGGTAACAACTGACATTACAGTGACTAGTGTCACTGGTTCTTCATTACCTGTTCTACATGAGGAAGGTTAGTTAATCTTGTAATAATAACGATAATGACAATACTAATTCTTTAATCTATACTTAATAATTTTTGCTCGTCATTTTTTGAGCTAATCTGTCTATTACTTTAGCGTTTTCAATGAATCAACCCCTGAATCCACTTAATGACGCAAACTATGTACGCAATCGTTTAAGTTGTCAACTGTGCAATTTCACCTTTAATTTGCTTAATGTAACAGAATGTTATTTACTCTTAAATATATAATTATTTAATCATTATTATTAAAATAATAATTTCATCTTCGAAAGAAAACAACAAATATATAAAATGAATTGTTTATTAAATGGCTATTTAACCCAAGTATTTTTTTGAGCCTTTGAAATTCAAGTAATTGATGGTTATTTCTTTTCATGTAAACTAATGAAGATGTTTATGTTAATTATGTGTAATTAGTCAAATAATGAACGGTAGTTTGATAATTCCAAGTCAATCTACATACAAGTTTTATTATCATTGTAGTCTCATCATAATATAACAATCATTATCAACTTTCAAACTTCTAAAGATCTTCGAGATGTTGTAATTTGCCTATCTGAAATTTTAAAATGGTAATAGAAATCATGAGTATCTAATTCATCTTCAAATATACTGACAAAATTTCCTCAAAAATAGTTTTTAAAAATAGAATCCATTATCAATGTACCTTGAGACGATCATGTTTATAAACTATTTAATCCTGAACGAGACATCCTCTTGTAAAATAACTTTTGGTAAAATACTAGTCACAGAGGAATGATATTAATTATTATTATTTGAATAAAATAAAAGTTTGTTTGTAGAATTTTCTGAACGTGAATAGGATCATGAATTAACCTGAGTTAAACAACTATAAAAGACATAAAAGAGCTGAATGACTGTTTCATTCTATTATGGCACACGTCGGTAGTACCCAATCGCTATCATACCAAAGGGTATCTAGATCCGCACTTTATCTTTCAGAAAGAGTTTAAGCTTTAGATCACTGAGCCAACAGCTATCTTCCATCACTATTGAAGGATAACTGCATCACACTCTACACATTAAACTCCACTGGATATGAATTCTTAATGAGACTTCGGAAAATCTCCTCTCAAGATTAATAGTTAATGAAAATGTGATATTTATCAGCATGGAGTTATGTGGATATTTTTAACCATTAGTGAATTATTTAATTTTATGTCTAAAATATTTTAGCCTTGTATCTTTTACTATTTATAAATTGTACTACATTGTGATCTAGTATTTCATGTGTATGTAAACGTGTGTAATGTAATTAAAAATGATAAAAGTACTTATAACTTATTATTTTGTTGTTTTCATTGAAGGTTTAAGAAATTCAGAAATTTATTTGCCGTTCTGATTATTGTGACAATATAATGTAGTTGAGATATTACTGTCAGTGAATTAGTGAGCATAAAATAACCTAAATTTCCCAATGAATAATCTCATCTTCATCAGTTTTATTTTATAACTCTTATTCAGGTTTAAATTCAACTACAGGTCATGGAAGTCATCACCAACAACAACAGCAATCGCAACAACAGCGTGGTTCAACTGGACCAACTGAAATGGTTGTTCAATGTTGTCGTTTTCTATGCTATTTTTGTCGTACATCAAGAGATAATCAAAAAGCTATGTTTGAACATCTTAGTTATATGCTAGAAAATTCATCTATGCTACTTGGTAAACGATACAATTTGTTACAGTTGCATTAAATTATGCTTTATTAATCAATCGATTCATGATCTCAATCAAAAACTTAATAATCTCCACGACCCCATACTGACAATCTTTACTGTCTATACTCTGTATATAAGTAAATTTAGATGAAATATATTGCGAGAATAAGATGATGATTTCCTTTCAAATAGTAGGTAATTCTCAACACTAAATGAACAAGTTTCGTCCATTAGTTAACGGAACTGATACTTTGTGCACAATAAATAAGTGGAAATGTATGATATTTTTGTCGATAAACGTTTTGGTAAATTAATTTATTGTTCTCTAGTTACTTTATCTTGTTTGATAACATTGAACAATTACAAATACTATAAAATCAATTTCCCAGTTGATAAGACTAAATTGGTTTCATAAATTCTTAATAGATGACTAAAAACGGTTGATAAATGCTAATTTGGCCAATTGAATTAAATTGACACTAAAAAACTAGACAATATGGTCACTGAATTCATCGGAGTATTTTTACCGAATGGTCGAGTTGGTTTGGAAGCTCATATAGAAACCAGAGATCTGTCTACAAAAACCATCCTAATTATTAAAGACTATAAACTATAAGGTTTACAAACCTTAAATCGTGAAATATCTAAGTCAGTTTTGGCCTTCCAAGGTACGATCAATGAGGAGGTGTGTCCTTTAATAATTATATAAGTGATACACAAAATATCTAATAAAACCAAGTGGTTAAAATATATAGTGGTAGCTAAAAATTGAAACGAAAACCATCCAATTGGACATTGATCCGAATAAAAAATGTCCAATCAACACAAATGAAATGATGACAAGCTATCGGCAACAATAAGAAAATACCACTACTATTATCAACTGTATTGAATATCTGGAATGAATGTAAATTCTTAGAAATATCACATATTAAAACAAAACAAGTTGCATATTAAAAAATTATTGATAATAACATGAACTGTTGATATCATATAAGCACAAAATGTTTTAAAATAGAGATAATGGAATTAAACTTTGAGAACTGAATTAACAATCACATTAATTACCATTAGCACAACTAATCAGTGTATAGTAGAATGGATGAGTATATTTTAATGACTTATGATTTTCAGTACGTGTGTAAACATACTTTTATCTCACTATTTGCATACGCCATTCTTTCTTTTTTAATATTGCAATCATGGAGTCAACATTAAGAGTTAATTCATAACGTCAGTTATTAAATGCCTTATTATGTTGTATCCTCGATGGTCTGGTCTTCGATTTTGTTGGGAGCTTTGAAGTGTTCTGAATAATTTCATAAATTTCATTTTTTGTATAGTAAAAATTGCAGGAATGATCATACCTACTAAATAATTAGTTCTGACTTGACCCAGCCTAGTTTATAGTCAACTTTCTTAAATGTTAATATATTGTTGTAATAACTCATTTAGTCGTTTTTTTAATAATCACTCAGTGAGTGTGAAAGTACCACATGAGGATTAATGTCTATTACTTTATAATGGAGAATTGGAAATGTTTGGAATTAATAAAGCTCTTGAGTTAAGATTTACAATAGTCTTTAATAGATTCTTTATGTCATTAGCACTGACACCGTCTGTTTGGCTTAGAATTAAGTACATAGCCCCACTTCCATTTACTTAATCATGTAATAGAATTAAATTTTACAATTTATGTTAACTCTGTGTTGGATGTACTTTTCACCAGTCAATCAACGGGGTTGCACCTTATATAAAATTTACTCAAGCGTAAAACAAACATCCATTTCCTCATTTTTGTAAATTATTTCAAACTGTGAAGTGTAGGTTTCTCACACTTTGATATCTAGTTTTCATTCTAAGTGATAATCTTATTACCGCTTTCGCGATATGATAGACTTCATTTATTTATTACAATTCTAATTTACGTGAAACACTTAGGTGAGTATTCTGATAGTACAAATTTCGTAAAAGATTAATTTCCTGTGTACAATGTGTTGATATTATGACTAATTTCTATAAATATTTTTTTCTGTGATATTAAAAATGTTAAATAAAATTTTAAAGTAACAGGTAATGTGATATATATTAATTCACAGCTCGTCCAAGTCTTCGTGGTACATGCCCATTGGATGTAGCCTATTCTTCTTTGATGGATAATAATGAATTGGCTTTGGCTCTACGTGAAAAACAACTGGAAAAGGTAAGAGACGACTACATTTGATTAAAGATGACTAGAGAGTAGACTGTAGATGGATTGCTTCTAGCAGTAGAATCCAGGACACATGTATCGTCCAATTCAGGACTGATTATCTGTGAATAACAACACAGGGATAAAAGTTCTAATTCAGATGAATTCAAAATTCATAAATAAATTGTATTATTGAGACATTCACTCGGAATACACATATGTTAACAGGGATAGATCAATGTGTCAAAAATCCTCAGTGTCAAAAATGGAGATACGGAAAAACTTACAAGTATCCTATGGTTTTTATGAGAATTAAGTTTTATTTTCATAGTGTTCTTAATCCTTTAATTTAGAAACAAAAATCAAACAATTTAGGCAAGATTCAGTACCCTTTACTAAACGTACACTCACTAAATAAGTCTTTTGAATATATATCCACAAAATGACAAATGTGACGATAGTGCAGTAAAAGTTTAGACAATTAATTAAACGTAGAGCTTCTTACGGATATGATGATATTTAAATTAAGTCCATCATCATTTCTCCTGATTCGGCCAGAGGAAAGTAGTCATCTTCATTAAAATTCATAAATGGATACAAATTGTAATCTGTTTATTTTTAAAGTTTGTCAAGTTCGCACTGCTTTAGGAATTCAAAAGCAGATTTACTCTCTTATGAAAACTTATATTCCGTTTAGCTAATTTTTGCTATTAAATTATATATTCTAGGTTGCTGTCTATTTATCACGTTGTGGTGTTCAGTCAAATGCTGAGCTATTAGCTAAAGGTTACCCAGATATTGGATGGGATCCAGTGGAAGGAGAACGTTTTCTTGATTTCTTACGTTTCACTGTTTGGGTTAATGGTAAAAATATTTTGTTTATTTACTTTCAGTTATTTATAAATTCTTTAATTATTTAAATTTCTTGAGGTGAAACTTGTTGTCAGATAGATTTTGTATTTCAGAAGTGATGATGTTTCACGGTTAACAAAAACGTGCATCACTTCACCTACTTTGAGTGATCAACCTGCTTAGTCAAATTCTCATAATAAGTTTATAAATTGATCCTACTATTTCTGAACTGTTTGTTTAAGACTATGTTTCATGTGTTATGAACGTATTGTATTAGTTATTATTTGTATGGTCAAATTTAATTGTATGGATACTTTTTAACAATTAAAATATACGTTAAGATTTGAAATAGTCACTGAAATATTAGTCATTGTACGTTGATTTTTTAGTACTGTAAAGATTTTTTAAAATAGTTTTGATTCCATATGATAATCCCAAGTTCAATGCAGCTCGCAATAACCGTGCATCATATTATACAACTTTAATTTTAGGTGAAACAGTTGAAGAAAATGCTAACTTAGTTGTTCGTCTATTGATTCGTCGACCAGAATGCTTAGGTCCGGCATTGCGCGGTGGATCGAAAGTTATGAAACATTCTACTGGAAATACGGGAACAGACGGTTTAGAAGTGCCACCAGGTGGTCCAGATGGATTGCATGCTGCAAGCGAATCAACTGGACAGCTGATTAGCGACACAGATTATCAGCCTAATTTAGCTGGTGGTGGTCTTCTAAAGGCAATGAAAGAAGGTCTAGTAATGTCAGCTCAAATTAAACTAGTGAAAATGGCTCAAGAAGCTGAAGCAGCAGGCTTGAATCCAGAAGAAGAAGATTTAGGGTGGCGAACAGTCTTGATGGACTACGAAGACGCTAATTTATTTACACCACTACCATACAACTTTGAATCACTACCGGTGAGTAAACGTTTCACTATAATTTTTCACGTATCGGATTTAATTGATGAATATCCTATACATATTATCTATAAATGCATGTGAATTAATATAATGAGAGTTGATAACCACATCGTAAGTACCCCGACTCATCGACGTTTTACACTTTCTTAGAAATCTGACACTAAGGGTAAAAATTATTATCTTACTGAAGCACTCATTATTGATTGATGAGTCATGACGATAATGAAGGCTCAAATCTTGATTTGATAATTTCTATAAGGAAATCTTTCAAATAATGAGATAAACCTGTTAAGTTAATAATTTTTGTGAAACTAAAGCACTCATAACGGTGTTTTTTATCTATAAATAGACTTGAAAAAAGATATGTTATTAGTCTATTACACTTTGAAAGATAAAGCAGTTGTTTTATGAACTGCTTATCTCATCTGGCATAATACTCACCAATTCACTGTAGTAGCGATTTTCTGAAAATGCGTCGAATTAAATCATACGTTTGTCAGTCATCTACAATATAGAACCAGGCATATATATGCATCGGTCTAAGTTGTCATACCTCATTAATACAACGAGATGAACATCAAATTCATAGAAGCAGTTACTTCAGTGGTAGTAAAAATGATTTCATGTAAGGAGAAGGAATTAGTTCGTAGAAATAATGGTATAAAAAGTTTTAATCCCACGGTTTAAGGGACGACAAAGAGTGTATGCATTTTCGCCATTGTGACCGATTCTGAGCAATGTTACCCAAAGTCTCCAACCACTGGTTACGATAGTCACGCTGACCCCTCCCAGCATGGCTGAGACCAAAGGTTGGTGGTTTTATGGACCGATGCAACGCTTTAGTTTGGCCAGTAGGTTTGTAGATGTAGTTCTGTACAAATAACTCGGATATGTCTACCTAGTGCTACTGATTACTGGGTGTTCTTTAATCGCTCACTCATATCGATCAGTAATTTTTTATGTGCAATTAGTATTTCCATACGACAAAATGAATACGATAACAAGAATATTCTTTAAAAAAATATTTGTCTGAAAACAAAATTATTCTTTCGATGTTTATGTTTATCATGGTTTTTTTTCTCCACTGTCCCAATATTCAGCCTGAAGATGATCCCGATTACATTGATTTGGGTGCTGCAATATTGACGTTTCATTCAATTTTGGTAAATCTATTGGGATATTGTGCCCCAGATATGGAAACTGTTAAAAGTGAATCAATACGTGCCAGGTCAATTTTACAATCACTTGTTAGTATGGCTGATTTAGAAGGAGTTTTATCATTGAGATTTATATTACCTCCGCCAAAATTAGAAGTCCAGGTGTGTTCACTATTTTGTTTACTATAATATATAGCTGCATTTTATATTATTAGCTAATTACACGCGCTTTCCAACACATATGATCAGAGATGTTAGTAGAATATTTATCTTCCATTCCAGTCTTATACTAATAGAGATATGCCCACATTTAAAGAAATCTGTAATGTTGCGAGATTACATACTATATAAAATAGGTGAACGGATAGCAACATACGTATCAAGTTCACTTATATATGACATGACTCATTCATTTTTGGCGAAATTTGATAATATCCGTTTACTTAATTACTATGTACATTGTTCTGTTTATCAAAATAACCTCATTTGACATTTCTATATCAGTTGTTTCAATTAAATCCAAAGGAATCTAATACACTATAAGTTAGACACAACATATAACCCTACCCTATTCGTTAGTCATACCTGATTTACTTTTGAGAGTCAGTTGAACCTCAAGGTCATAATTTCTCACTTGAGCATCAAGAAACCAGTTTCTAAGCTAGCCACCGATAGGAGTGTGGTTATTATAAACCAAGGATTGTATTTTATCCTGCTAAGGAACTCGTATTCAGTAATCAGAAGATAACACGTTTACTGTGAACTGAATATTCTAAGTTTATAAATATGCGAACCTGAGAAGTCCAACGCTGTGAAACAAGAACTTGCATTTATAGTAATTATTTTTAATCGGTCATTTCTTTCAACGCAAAATAAGTATACTGAGTTAGATGAATTTTTTAATTGGAAAGACTTTCGAATTATCATCATCAACGCAAAATAAGATAATTTCAAAACAAGGAATAGCTTTTCTATATAATATTGACCACGAACTAATGTATATTTCAATACTAAACATGGATAACTTCAATGTTTTGATGTGACTCAAGTCAGTCAAGATTCACCAAGCAAAATGGGCTAATTCCAAATCACTGAGTAAAATACTTGTCTATGAGATGCATTAATAGGAAAACTATCATTAACAAGCAATTCAGGGTCCATATGGTTATTACTTGTTCTAATCCATAGTACTGTTGTTAAATCAGGTCTTTATGCTTACCTCATTGGTAATAACACTATAACAGAAAATATTCAAAGGCCAACATTCGTCCTAGTAATCATTTTATTTTAATATTTGTAGGTTATCAAAACATATAATTCCATACACATTTCACCATTTCTCTCTGTTTCCTATATTTTTACTCACTTTAGGATATTTCATTATATATTTGAACGTCTTTTAATAAGATTTCTAGTTTTCATTTGTATATATATAATATATGATAGATTTTGTGTTTTCCACCCATCATTGTTCGATAGACTAATGAAGATGGAGAAGATGAATGGGTTGATAAAGCTGGTATGCCACCTGGTCTACTGCCAGAGCATAAAGCATCAGTTGTGCTATTTTTAGAGCGAGTTTATGGAATTTCAGATGCTGCAACGTTCTTAAGATTATTAGAAAATGGTTTTCTACCAGATTTACGTGCAGCCACATTACTTGATTCAGTAAGTTTTATTTATGATTCAGTGATAAACATTTCAAATCATTGATTATGATCATTTTCTTTACATTTAATCACAATGACTAGAACAATAAATAACAAGATTCATTCTAGCTATTTGTAAAGCATGAACAATTGTTTTTATCATGTTGTACAAAAATTTGTATAATTATTTTACTTATTTTTTTACTGCCACACTTACTCAGACTGGTTAATCCAAAGGTTTGAAGTTCACAAGAGGCAACAGCATTCTTATCTGAACAATAATAGTAGTAATAAAAATAATAGCATGATGACCATTTTGACAAGATCCTCAGACAGCTTCAGATTTATTTTTTAATCACATGAAAGTTCAAATCCTCAAAAACATCACAAAAGTATGAGAAAGTGCTTACGGAACTCATCTTGATTTGTAAATGTTGCACAATGAATAAACTTGGCAAATAAATCTATAAATTTCTTCAGTTGGTGAATGACAATTACGCAGTTGCATTAACATCAGTCTTCTCAACAAATGCATTTATAAAGACTTTTTTGAAAACTATAGGGTATATTAATCGCTTTCCCTGAAAAATTCTCTCCATTTTTGGAAATACACTTGTCTTACCTCCGTTTCGGCTATTTAAAGTGTTCTTGAAAGTTCTCAGGAATCAGGATATTCAGTTGTATCTTTGTTTCACATTGTGTTACTTCTAAACCATCCCAATGTTGCCCATATATTACGGGGAATAAGACGAAATAGCAAAGGATCGAGTGCGATGGCCAGGAACGATGATTTATCATAGTGATCAAAGTACTGACCCGAAATCCACTGATATTTACTTCTGAATTTCTGGTTAGGACACAACAATCATTCTTTACCATCACAAAAATCTTGTCGCACATGATTTATACGTTTTTATAAGCATTTAAAAACATTCAAGTGGAGAATAATTTTCACTGTTCGTTCTTTAGGATGAGATTCAAGGTGGACAATACTAGAATTATCCCTTGTCTATTAAATGAATCATGTATATTTAGATTGCATAAAATCAAATTCTCAAAACGACTGGTTTTCATGTTATTCCTTGAAGTTTATCTATCCTAAGGTAGCTTTCTAATTTGGCCGACTGACTGATGAAATGCAGGAGCTGATACAACAGTCCTACCATACATCTTTGAATTCAAAAAATAGGGAAAAAAATATCTGAATAATGAAGCTGATATTCAAATTTAACCTTCCACTAGTTATAATTTACTCGATGAACATGAAAAAATAACAACCATATTATACACAAATAACAGAAAACTACAGATACAGACAATTTATTACACTTTTAGAAACACATTAACCTAAATCCATTTTTCTCCACTTATTAATTTACGCTAAACGTTAGTTCATAATCTAAAACAACAAACTAAGCTATTTTGTTAAACATTCACAACCAATTTTCTCTATTACTTTAGTGGACATATATCCGACATGTTTATTGCTTGAAATACTGTTCCTACTTGAAACTGAAAATCTAACTGCGTCCTCATTTCCATATAAAAAGCAGTACTTTGAATCTATTAGCAATCTAATTTTTGTAACGTTTTGTATTTTGGGGATTGTTATTTCTTATACCCATGCATTTTGGCAACGTTTTTGTATTTACTTTGAATATTTGTTCATTTTAGGCATATATTTCATATGGTAGTTTAAATGTAGTGTAAGTATTTTTATTTTATAATCATTATGTAATAAAATTGTTCTGTTTCTGTTTACTTAGACTGTTGTTCCAGACAGTGATATGGCTTTAGCATTAAATCGTTATTTATGCAACAGTGTTTTGCCATTACTCACACGTCATACTAAATATCTTGGCGAAGAAGGTACAACTGGAGGATTATTTGAGGCAACATTACAAACGGCTTATCGTTTATCCAAATGTCGATCCATAACTAATCATCAACGTGAAGTTGTTTGTGACTTTTTAGTTGCTTTAATGCAACAAATTAAACCACCAATGATGTCTGCTCTATTAAAGAAAATGGTTTCTGATTTACATACATTATCAAAAGAAGTAAGCCACATTTGTTCGACAATTTAATGACTAAGTTTCAACTGGTGTTTAATTTTCATTCATATATGTAAAACATATTTTTATCATACAGTTCTATGTTTTATGTTAAGTATATATTGATAATCAACTTCACTGAGGTTTGTAAAATAGAAATTACTGAATTTAAACCAGTAGTATTGTAGATGTTGAAGAATTTTTCTCGTACGAAGAATTGATTGTAATACATGACTATTTATATTATGAAACACTAAATGTTAACTAAATAAAATGTAAACAGACTCATGTTAATTTGTTACACAGATGAAGGAAGTTGACCTAAGTTTTTGTTCTTTATTCAACTAAACCTCAGTTATTATGACAATCTATAACAACATTCATGTTTGTGAAAATAGCTTACATCCTGATGATAATCTACTTGAACAGTTGGATAAAGCAAATCCACTGTAATTTATTGCCTTACAAAGTAAAAACCATTCTCCTAGTTTAAAGCGAAGAAATTAAACTACTTACTTTGCTGAGTATTATATTTGTTTGAATAATGTTAAGACTATGGAAACTCAATAATATACATTGTTATATTTATTTGTTATAAATAACTGATCTGTTGAGAGAGAATCCTAGATTGTAGCTTAAATACAAAATATCTCTACATTACTTCAGCATCATCCCACGTAGTTTGTTTAATACTATTCAAGTTAATTTTACTGGGAGGCATTTATATTCTTATTATCTCATTACTTTGTACTTATTTTTTTAGTCCGTCGTATCACTTCGAGCGTTGACAGAATTTTACCAACGCTGTGGAACTTATTATAGTTCAGATGGATGGACAGGTGGGGCACAAGGTTCACCAGGACATAGTGCAACATCAGTTGACGAGGATTCTGGAGGCACCAGTAACGAAACCGGTAGTGGTGTTGGTGCTAGTTCTGGTGGAGCTGATAACGTAGGTAGTCGTAGCGGTGATGGTGAAACATCAGCATCTGAAGAGGAACGAAGTATTACTGCTCATCTATTCATATTAATATTCGAAAAGTTATCCCGACAACCATATGAACCCGAATTATTTTCTTATGCATTACCATGTCTATGTTCGATAGCATGTGCTTTGCCACCGGATTATTCAATTAGTCAATTAAATGCGATGGGTCAACAAAATGACAGTTTAGGGCAAAATGTTGGGCAATCAGTATTCACTGATCAAATGAGTACGTTCGATGGCGTTTTAGCATGAAACTGATGTATCTTTGTAATAAGGCACTTCTATTCCGATATGACTGAATAGATTGCTGATATAATTTAATTATGCTTGAAATTATTTATTTGAATAGAATGCTGACTTGAAAATAGTAAAACGGTTGTGAGTTAAATTTCAGAGTGATTTGCATTCTTCTTTTCGGAGAACTGTTAATTTAACGAGGAAATTCATCATGTGAATGTTGCGGCTTTACCATTGGGACACTAGATACTATACCACTATATTAGCTCACAGTGTACACAGGTACTTTAAGTCTCTCCTTAGCCAGTTAATTCCTACTTTCACCGATGCATCAAATACTTAAGTACCATAGAATTCTATTATGCAATTAATTTTCGAAGTTTCTACAGTGTTTATATTAATAGTTATCAAATTAGTTCAAGTTTAGAAGTTTTGAACACAATTAAATATTTGTGTAATTGAAATAATGTTTTCTTCCCGTTGTTGTAATATTAACTATACGTGAATTTCTTTATAATCTTCAAGGTAGTCAGAAAACAAGCAAATTATTGTTCAGTTTCGTTTTCCATCATTATTTTTATGGAAGGAATTAAATTTTACATAAAGTTTGTGGTATTTAATTTCCAAAAACAGTTTAGACACCAATCTATTTGAATAGGGCCTTAATTGTTTTTACTAAGCCTAATTTAGCCTAACTTCGTTTAAAAAAATTCCAATACATACTCCAGATTTTTAGTTATCATCAGTATAAGGTTGTGGAGATTATTAAGTTTTTTTATTGAAACCATTGATGGATTCATGTTAGACCACCAATGAAAACCCGGAAGCATTGGACGGCCGTTTCGTACTATAAAAGGATTCCCCAGAAATGCGCACACGTGACTCTGTCCGTGGAATTCGAACCCAGGACCTTTGGTCTCGCGGGCGAACGCTAAACCTCTAGACCACAGCCAGCATCCAACGGTTATCAACTGAACATGTGATTAGTCAAAGATGGTAAAGTTAATTATATTAAAAGGATTTTTTTCTTTTAATTGTTCTTTCTTCACAGATTCTTTACTAGTTCCTGGGGCTCCTAAATTAGAAACAAATGATTCACTTGATGAACTTGTTCATCACGATGTATTTCGCCCTCAACCTATAGATACATCTCAAGTAATAATTTCCTTCTGTTTTATTACATTCAGCAATTCAATTTGATTTATACACACATTTTTATGTTATTAGTATTTTATATCATTGAAAACTCGTTGATAAAATGTCCCACGAAATATAGATTGTGTTATTCAATAAAGCTTTTCTTATCTAATGCTAAAATAGATTTAATTTATTAACTTTAGCATAATACGATTTAGAAAAAGCAAAAGACATTTAAAACAATGTAACTGCATATTCAAGCTCTACAGTTATTGATGCAAAAATAATAAACTTCGATAGCCAGTATATTAGGCACGCTTATAAACTGAATGGGTTATAGCTTGCAATGGAAGTCGGAACATTAATTTGTCTTATTTGGAAGTCGTCAGGTGAATGTACCGTCGTACCATTAATAGTGTTCACACATTTGTTTATAAATGCTTAAAATAATATACTTTATTGTAGTTTACATTATAGATTGATTTTAACCAAACAACATCGGAAACCATAAATCACTGGATGGCCGTTTCATTCTAGTGTGAGACTCCTCAGTAGCACACATTCGCGACCTTAACGGAGATCGGACCCAGGACCACCTCTTTAGCTAGCAAAAGCTTAGATTTAAGTCAATTGAGCCGGTACCTAGTGCTTTAGATGTCTAACTTTACCTAATCCACGAAATAATGTGACCATTTCCTTTATCCTGTTATGGATAACTGTTGCACAAACGACATGGCTTTAATCCGAAACGCTTACTGTTATGACATCATATGATAAAAGGGTGATTATCTCTGTAATTTAAATCCTAATCATCACATTTGTCACTCTGAAATAAGTAGGGCAATTATAATTTTTTGTTTAATGAATCATGTTCTATCTGATTATTTCTAGGTTCGTCTTCCAGTAGCATTAAATGGCTTAATTCAGAGATTTGCTGAGCATTGTCATGATTCATGGGCTTTAGATTTGATTGAACAGGGTTATACGTTTGGTGCACAAGTTGATGAAGTTCGAAGAACACATCCAAATTTACGCCCTTTCAGTCAGTTGCCACCACAGGTAAGTTTGCATTTCATTTTGGATCAATGTAATACGACTGGGTAGATCAGATTGATTCTAATAACGGATTTATACTGTTAATAAATAATATTGGTAGTCCCAGTGCATACACAACCAAATGAAAATTATAATGGAAAAAAATGTTGACGGATAAATTCAGATTAGCTCAACAATAAAACTGATTGTCTAACGAGACCATACAAATCGTGAAGAAATATGAGTAAAAATTTGAAGTAGGGAAATTTCTACGTTGTTAGCCAACAGGGTTAAATGTTGATTTCTAATCTAATCACTGCTTACCAACATGTTAGTTGTGATATAAGAGATATATATGTTAAATATAAGATTATTATCAGGTGTTTCTTTGATAAATGAAAACACTTGATAAGTGTTGAAAGAAATTGTATGAATATTTTATTTATATTATGTTAGATAATAGTTGTTATTACATAAAAACGACAAACATTGTGGGAATGTAATGAATTCATTTCATTTCTTATACATCGTGTTCCATATACACATTACTCTTGCAAATAAGGATTTACAGTATTATATATTGAACAATAAAGTATTGATCAGAGAAATAGAAACTGTTAAAATGAACAATACTTTACAAAACTTTGTTATTAGAAGTACCAGTTAATAACAAGTGTTTTTTTCCATTCAGACATCTACAATCGATACATGTATACATTTATTTACTTACTCATGTATACTGATTATTTTTTTTAGAAACTAAACTATTTTATTATTTCTTCTTTGCATAGGAGCAAATGAGATACATTCATCCTGTAACAGATACACTGAAAACGATGTTAGCTTGTGGCTGGTCTGTTGATGGTGATGAAAATCGTTACCGTGATACACCTGGTGATACAAAACACATACGTAGACAAACGATTACAGTACGTCTTCTCCTTTTTACTTTTTTTCTTCTCAAACAGACATATTTTTAATGATATTATCTGGGAATTTTCGGCAACATAACTTTTCTATGTTTTTAAAGTAGAATTTAAAAAAGGTAATGCTTGTCATTTTTCATGGAAATTCTTTAATTTCTCATTCTGTTTACAATCATTGATAATTTAACTATCTGGAGAGATTTCATTCGTTTAGAGATGATTTCTATTATAGAGTGATATAACCTGAAAAGAGACTTGAAAAACGATGAGACAATAAAGATTTTTTCGTTTCACGTTATACTTCTTCAACAATGAATATCTGAAATCTCATATATGAGACAAAACACAGAACCTTCAAACTGATTCTAGTAATAAATGTGCTGTTCAGATATCTAGTCGATATTCAATGCTCTGTATGCTTCTATAACAGTCGATTGGCAGTATAAAAGAACTGTTATCCTATTTAATCCATTCAACAACCATGTATTGCTTTGAATCTTCAATTACTGATTAATTAATATCGACTAATCCCAGTTAAATTTATTCAAATTTATCTGGTTAGAGTTTCGTTAGCAAGGTTAATTTTTATGGTATGAGATTACTAAACTCCCCATACCCTTCTTTTTTTACCCGGGCTTCAGACCGGCAGTAACTCTAGAAGGGCTCTGAGAGGCATTGAATTTTTTCGCTGACCGGAAATTCAAAATGATATACATCGCATTGGAATTTTCAATGTCGCTTGAATGAATTATGGGTTTTCGGTTGGTGCATAATATCCTCTCCATATATAGTCTTACTTTACGTCCTTGTTTTTAGTAACACCAATCTTTGTTTCGTCATACATCACATAGTAATTAAACAGTTTTATCCTCAGGATATATTAAAGAGACATATCAGTATTTCGATAAGTAATTGAAACGAATGAATGATATACAAATAACCGTCCGTTTATAACATACATTAATAATAATTCATTTACATTTATTTATTTATCTCCGCAATTTTTTTATCTATAGAGTGATAATTTGTTAAATTATAATCCATGTCCAAAAGATTTACGTGGTGTAAATGTTACTAAAGAAATGTTAAATATGGCTGAACGTTTAGCTGATAATGCACATAATATATGGGCCAGACAAAAAATGAGCGATCTCGAAGCAATCGGTGAGCAGTTACTAATTGAAGTTTATATATACATGTTATATAATGATCAAAGAAATTAGTATTTTTAAAATCACTTATTTTATGTAATCAACTGATATGTTGTTTGAAACAGTGACAATAGAGGTTCGTCTTTGAATGATCTCATAGATTATTGCTTATTCTAGTTCGATTATTGTCATGTAGATTGTCATAGTTTGTTGTGAACACCTTTATATACCCATCCTAAAAAAGCAGGCTTTTTTACTATTGGAGCACAGTAGATACCTTAGGAGTTCAGGCTTATAGTACATTCCATATATTTCCTCAGTAACTACAGTATTGCAGATAATCTTGTGTTTTTGACCCCAGATTTCATGTATCATCTAATCATGTGATCATAAATTAGATAAGAATCAACTCACATATATAGCTTTTTAGTGAATTACGATAAACCAACAGATCAATTTGGTATATTTATTTTGACTGTGTTCTCTTTAAATATAATTTACTGAATAATTGATTTGCACTTCAATTTGTGTTCTCAACATCTGTGGCCAAGGTTCTTGTATCTATTGTCCAATTATCTATACGTTTGGTACAATCAGTAAACTCAACCACTCACTTTCTGTGATTCTTTTTAAGTTCTGAAACATCATTTCGTTCGTAAAACTAGGTCATTTGTCATCGTTTTCGTTCGATATGATAATAAAATCTATACTTCTTTAGTTCGGAATGTACTTTTAATTGATCCTTGAAAAGTTCACCTTGGTCCCAAATATGAATACCTTTGATACGTAACAAACTCCTGTAAAATATCACACAACTCTATTACAGTATTTATATACTTTGCTGACATTTTCTTTGTCAAAATGAATATTTGAATGAGTCACATAACCACTGAATTCAGACCTAATCAAAGATTCTTGGATTAATCTTCAGAGAGAAATTTGAGGAAAAATTAACAACTTAGGAGATAATAAACTATATTCTTCTAAATTAAATGGAGGATCCTATCATAAATCCGTTTATTTCATTCAAAATACTGTGTTTATATTCTTAATAATCAGTAAAAATCTACTTTATTGCAAATTTTCATTTTCTCTTTAGGTGGTGGAGTACATCAATTACTAGTACCGTATGATATATTAACAGATAATGAACGTAAAAGATATCGGCGTCTAACCCATGAATTAATTAAATATTTACAATATAATGGTTATAGATTAACTGTTCGTACTGGATCGAATTCAACTAATACTAATACAAATAAGGGGAATGGAGGTACTGGTAATGTTCGACATCATGACAACAGAAGTAAGTTCATAAGTTTTATTCCAAAGTAAACAAAAATGTTGTCTCTCCAAAAACTAATTTTCCTTATTTCCAGTTTGCACTGATTGTTGAGCTTTTTCAGTTCTCATCGTTACTACTCACTTTTTCTTATTAAGTGCATGGAAGAAATGAGATTGCAATCTGAATTCATCGGTCATATTGATAATTTAGTGGTGCTGGTTATTCCTACGATTGCTGAACAAACTAATAAACTGAAAAGGTTCCGATAGTAGAATAATATTGTTATTCATTAAAGTGTAAAATTAATAGATCAAGGTAGAATTTATCAATGTTCATAGTTACATATAAAAATTCAGTTGTATTCTTAACAGTTTGTCAAACTCTTTAATACTGTTGATAGATAGACAGATAATATTAACAAACCTTGTAGTTTAAGAAACAATCAGACAATTTATTACTAAGCAAAATCAGAGTGATTAGCTATGTTGTTATAATTATCCAGCTGAAAACATAATATCTAAAACATCGTTACAAACCCAGATAAACCCAGATTCAATAGTTAAACTCGTATCATGGGTTGGTTGTCTAAAACTGAGAATAGAACAAATTCATTAGTTTTCAAAGTCAGAACATTTTACAGCACTAAATTCAACGGGTAAAATGAGGATATACTACAAAGAATAAAATAAAAGGTTATGTGAGTGAGTTGTACTCTTGGGTTGTAAACTAATAATAAATCGTAACTCTTTCTAAATATAAAAAAAACAAAAGTGCGTTTAATATTTCAAACCAAATAAAACTGAAGATTATTGCTTGATCAAACATTAATACCATTTTGGAAATAATGAAAATCATTACCTAATAAGAAACACCATTGGGAACGATGGGTATGAATCAGCTAAGAATATTAATAATGACTGACTCTTGATACGGGAAAAAATTAGCAGTAAAAATAGAATTAGAAAATTCAGATTGAGGTAACAGTTACACCTTATGATTTGATTTTCAACTCTCTCGAAATTCGGCAGGTATTTTTTGAAGAAATAACAATTTTTATTAACTGTAACGTTTATTAAACTGACACTCACTGTTTCATCACTTTTATAACACGGTTCTGGAGAATAAATATGTCAATAAGAGCCTTATTTATTAGCTTATGCACTGTTACGTATTACAAATGATTATTAATTCATTCAAAAAGTAGTTTTTTGAAAGCCATTTCGCTTTATGACGAGACAGTTATATTTTACGAAGGATATCCTCAAAATTTAGTTTTCTTATTTTCATTGCAACTACATTATTTCGATTTCTTTTGCTATTTTTATTTTCATTTCATCGTACTAATTGTGGTACAGCCACTTGAGCCAAGACACATATGTGTCAGGCTCTGTGTTAATGCTAAGTAACTGACAGCTTAAAATTATACATTTTAGATTTAGCACCAACATCACGATTTGCTTATGGGTTATTGAATAAGCTTTTGGATTATGTCGATTCGGCCATGTCATCAGTTCGTGAACCAATGCCAAGCACTCGTTATAGTACTAGTCGTTCATGGTTAAGTTCAAGTCAAGATATGAAATTCTTTGTTAAAGTTGTACTACCATTAGTTGAACGCTACTTTGAAACACAACAGGCATACTTTTTAGACCCAGTAGCAGGTGCTTCAATTGATGAAAAGAAGATGGCTGCCACGTATGTTATTGAGTAGCTTGTAAATTGTAATTTCGGTTGTTTTTTTCTTTTATTTCCCATTTTGATATCCCACTACATATTGGAATGTAACTAGAGTCTTAAGTGTATGTAAATAAATTACAAACAACGCAGTATTTTAATATTGCTCAATATATTACAACCTTATTACTTACACTATTATAACTAAAAATTAAACAAACTACGATATCGGTTTTTCAGACCTTAACGACACATTAGTATACAGTATGCCTGATGTATATTGAATATTCTACACAGCTACTGCATCTCATTTCTCAGTTCTAATGTAATTTGTCTGTATACAAATGTGAGAAAACATGTGTTTAATGCTATGAACGTCTGTGTAAGACTATGATTCCTAATCACAACGCTTTAAGGTAACTTTTTTAAAAACAATGTAAAACTATAACGCTATAAATGATTTCCATAATTTAAATCTTTGGTTTCATTAAGCATAGAAATCGTATGGTTACACTGAAAGATACAGTTTAGCTCTGATGAAGTATATAATTTTGAACTTATAACTTTGGTATTCAAATGACTGCAAATTTACTTATTCAACCGAATAATGGATTATGAGATATAGGTAACACAAACTGCACTGTCGTGACTTACTAGGAGTAAACAATTCATAGAACTGAGTTTATCAATGTATTAACAAAATGATTATGAGCTGAAAAATAAGATAAAATTTCTTCTGTTAAGCTGTTATGGCTATATATCTGAAGCATTATTTATTCAAATACTTTAATGGCATATTTCGAGAACTATTTACATGAAAACTAAATTTTAATCGTGTCGATTAAGTAAGATCCATCGGAATGAACAGCCTAACGAAATAAATGGTACTGAGATACGAAGTTTATATTAAACACGATGCAATATTTTCTAATTTATGAAACAAACAAGTATGTGCCTAATTGGTAAAAGATTGGTAATGAGACTATTTGAATTAGTCAAGGTTAGGAAACTCGATTATTAGTTTAATTTGAAGGGTCTAGTTGTAGTTTGCCAATAAGGTCTAAAAGCGAATAACTAAATAACAAGAAATACGGAAGAAGGTAATCATGGATTTCTAAATGTTTCAAAAAGTATTCCAGTATAAACTAGTATCAACCTGTAGTGCCATTAATTGGAATCTGACTACAATTCAGCGCCTTTTTAAAATTTCATTCACCATTCTTTTGTCATATCAAATGCGTTATTTAATAAACTGATCATTAAAAACTTTAAAATAATACTTTAATTAGGAATCTAGTCCAAATTCATCTGATTTGTTTAATTAAAATTTATTTGTCTAGTTTATTCTGTAAACTCTTCTCGTTACTTCGAATAAAATTGAACACATTTGGACATGATGTAAAGATAGCCGTATCTTGTCTTCAAGGTCTTGTGCAAACAATTGATGTAAAGTAAGTTAATTTGTGATTAGTTTGTATGTGTATGTGTTCAATTTATAATGGTTACCAGTATTATATATATAAATGATGTACCCTAACCTTAGCGTTTGAATCCCTTGAAGGAATATTTACCTTTTGTTGAGACAGGTGACAGGTTGGGTCAACCAGACAAAAGAATAATAAAAAGTGAAAAATGATGGCAGATGTACGTTATTCACTAAGATTTGACTGTATTTTCTGAGGAAATATACATACACTAATGGGTAAAATTAAGACCTTATTTTCTGAAGGGTGTGTTATAAATTGTCATCTATTCTTGATTTTTTTAGCTTCTAGTTTTTTCAGTCATGTAGCTGACTGGTTTGGACACATATTTAGGGAGAGTCTAGATCAGTGGTAGACTCGAACGGTCGCACAATATGACAATATATGTAATCGATCCATTAGTGACAAAATTTCTAACATAACTACTTAATTGTTAATTGTTTTATTGAATCTAGGTTAATGTAAACCCCATCTCCTCAGTAATATAGTGTCATAGCGTCATTTTCTTAAGAATGTCTTTATACTACATGATTAGAGTAAAACGAACTCCACTGTTTTTGGTTCTTTTTTTATCTGAAATGAAATTCGAAGTTTTAACATTCACATATCAAACAGAGTCAACAATATTCACTTTCCAAGTGGCCTTTGACTAGAATAGTATAATCGTCCAGTGTCCTTAGTTTTCAGTTGTTGTTCAGCTAAGGAAATAGTATTTAAAATTATATTTTCTAAGAAACAATGCGCTCGAAAAAACTAGATAGTAATTATTTTATCTTACTAATGGGAAACAACTGCGACTTATCTCTATTGATTTTACTTTTCATTTGATTAGAGCTATCTTAAAGATGGGTACTGCAGAGGATTTTGTTCGCAGTCGTATCCTACCGTTTTTTGTTAATGCGGCTGATGATTTATGCATTGTAGTTCGAAATCTTGATGCTAGTCGATATTCACATGTGAAAGTAAGTAAATAGTTATGTTTACTAATAGACCATAAATATTTGTCGTTTTTAGTTCATTTAAATGTCTGTTGCAAACAATAGATTCGTGCAAAATATATATCTTTAGAAATTGTTTTTTATAAGTTCTGTTTCTGAAGTTACTTTTCTGTGTACAGAATAAAGTTGATGATTGTGTAGGATTTCATTGCAGAGTTAAAATATATGCGAGGTTTTTTCTCTCGATATAATATAGTAAGGTAACTCAGAACCGTGATCTATTTTTTGTTCGAATGCTCTTTACAGGTATAAATAGTTTATTTAAAATAAGTTCGTTCATAAATGTTTTATGAAATCATTAATTCAATGGTTACTTCTGAGTATCCAAGTCACATATTTACTTACTAACCTACATACTTAAGCACGTTACGCCTCTATGGGCATGAGCTGTTGTCCAAGATTTTTTTATGTGAGTTTTCGTAGCGGGTTGTTTCTACAAGATGTGGTTGTCACTTCTCCACCTAACTCTCCTTCTTTACTTGATAATAGAAACGGCAGTAATCATAGAGAAGCTTTAGGTGAAGTAACCCAAATCACATTCATATAACTAAATTATGTATAAATTTAAAAAAACTACATTTTAACATAAAATGATATATTTGCTAATGTGAGATGGGGTTAAAAAAGAGAGGTTTTAATACCTCCCATATACAACTTCATCGTCCTAGATTAACTTATGAAATCTTTTGCAAATTTTAAATGTTTGAATGTTCACAATTATACTGAAATAAACTAAAGATATAATGGTTAGGAAATTCTCATTCAAGAGCTTTTCATTGTTTCATAACAAACTCAGAGCAACTATATAGTAGTATTTGTCTTGGAGGTTAGGGGCAGCCAAGCTAAAGCGTAAAATCAGTCCCTCAAGTCGTTAACAGCTCAAATGAGGCACGTAGGTAGGTACAGGCTAATCGGTAGGTGTATTTGTCATTATCGTAATCCGTGGTTAGGGATGTTTTGATGACATTACTCATAATCGATCGCAGTGGCTCAGATACATTCACCAGTTGTCACCCCTTAGGTCCTTGGTCTCGAAGTCCTCATATGCTCCTCTTTTTATTTTTGGATCTAATCTTTTCTACTACTACTACTACTACTACCACTACTACTGATGGTATTACCATTACTACTGCTGTGGAATTTCTCTGGACAATTTTATCACGGTATGCTAATGTGATGTAATAACTTTGACTGATGAACTGATGTGCCAGGTTCTGTGGTGCATACGATTGACAGGTTTTTAATTTTCTAAACTCAATGTAACATTTTACTGGCATAATTAACTATTTAGAGGTAACTTAATTAGTTTTGTTCAGATTTTGGTGACAATAAACTTTATGAGTAATAGGTTAATGGAATCACTCCTCCATTAAAACTTTTTAAATACGTTTTACAGTATTTTACAACTAATCTTTAATAAGTGTTCTATTTGTTTATATAGAATCTACAAATAAATAAATAAGTGCGGTAATCAATATGCTGTTTGCCTTTTTTCCTAATTGATAAACAGGGTACAATTAAACGTGGAGCATGTTCAGTAGATTATATTCACATGGTATTATTACCTGTACTGAAATCAATGTTTGAACATTTGGGCAAAAACGAATGTGGCGAATATCTGCTAGGTAATTATAATAGTTTTATGTTCATTTGGATATTATTATTATAAAACAAAAGTAACGTAAGTTTTGGGTATGCACTACTGATAAATCATGTACTTGGACGAAACGGTTGTCCAATGCATCTTGGTTTTTAAAAGCTCTCTAATTCTGACCAGTCCGTGATGCTAAACATGGAAATTAAAGAATCTCCACGAACACATTTATATTAATAATAATCATCTGCTCACTAGTGACTAACTTCGAGATGCAATCGCAGGAGTTCTAGTGAGTAGTTGTGACTAGAAGAGTTCATCCATATCGATCGTGAGACAGTTATCCATTTTAAACTATGTTATGTGGTAACGCAACATTGAGACTTGATTACAGTCAGACATTTACACTATTTAATCCAAAGTTTAAGAACTCTCCATGAGATGAGAGCACCTGGGTTCGGTCCCCTGGGGTGTCGTGGGTGCCCATTGCTGCGGATTTATATATTAGAATTAAACAGTCATTTAGTGCTTCTTGGTTTTCAGTGGTTGTCTAACTAAGATCGTTGCGTCATGTAAACTATGAGAATTCGGTAAGTTTTACAAACTTCTTCTATACCGAAAATAAATTCTTATTTCAACAACAACAAAACACATAAACAATTACACATAATGAATTGTTGTAATTGTTTACAAACAAATGAACCAGCTTCTTTTAATTTACTTAGAAGATAGTCAGTATTTTACGCATTTACTGTTATTCTAAAAGGTATTTTTCAAATAAAATGAAGTAATCTACGAATATATTGGTTGTTTGGATCTTTCCATTAATGTTAAAATTTTCGATTGACCAGTCTCTTATAGGTATATGTGTATCCTATGCGGATTGCTTCGAAATAGCCTTAAGTCACAATCATTATGAGCAGAAATGAATGGTAACTATCTCTGGAAATCCGAAAGCTCTTTTCGCCCTATTTTGGACTCGTAAGATGTATGTACCTGCATCCCAGAGTTGTTATTCATTCCGGAACTCAGTACTATTTGGATAAAGCGATGGTGTTTAAAGCAGACAGTACTGAGTTCGAATCCCGGAGCGAATATCAACTCCGATATACAGGCGCACACAGATGACCAGTCACAAATAAGATGAAATGCGTGTGCTGGATTCCACTGTTGACCACCATCCATCTCTGCTTATATTTTTTGAGTGGCTTATTCAAAATAGGACTCGCTTTTCTTGAATATTATTGCTAATCAGAAACTACCTTCCACTACTTTTCTACAGTACTCAGTCTTAAAATTTGTTTCTTTCGTCCTTTATTGTTGTGAATGTATGACGTCTTCTGTTACAGTTTGACATTTATACTTTATTTATGTTTACTTATTCAGTAGTAGGAGAGAGCGCGCGCAAAGCGAATGTTGGTGAATATGTTTTGTAAAACGTACATGAAAAAATGTGATAAATAATGGAAACCGATCAACGAACAGCTCATCACTTATAAATGACTCACATTTATGAGCAATTTGTTTTGATTTTAAACTAAAATGTAGCATCGTATATTTGTTAATATAAACGGCCTAAACTAGTGTAAAATTCTAACTTCACAATTTCCAATCCCTTCGATGAGTCTTCCCTTCTAACTAAAAATGTCAAATCTATTTATTTCCGTTCTTTTCCTTCTAGTGGGTAATGTCCAAGTCACATGTTACCGAATACTCAACGCTTTATATAAACTAGGTACTACATCATCGAAACACGCAAATCGGTGAGTCTGTGTAATGAAGTTATCTTCTTAAAATTTTCTTTACCTAACTGAAGTTCAGTTTAGAAGAATTATCAGACTTTAATAATTTATCGTTTCATATCAATAATTCATTAAAGTTGGAAGTTCGATAGGCTGAATTCTGACTCAGGGATTTCAGTATAACGCTTTTGCCACGAGATCGAATGTTTCGGGTTCGATCTACAGTATGGTCTTGGGTGTGGAACCTTATACTGTTCACTGCTGCCTAGTTGTCACTGACATTTCAATCGAAGTCAACCTGTGAATAGAACTTTCTATATATTATGAATCTTGTTCGTTATTTTTCCAAAACATGATATGACTGTAAATCCTAAATGAATATCTCTATCATATTACTTATTTTATTTTGAAAATTTATTAACGCTCATTACTCTCCAGCAAAGTGGAAGGAGTAAATAAACGTTGGCAATTTATTTTGAATGGTTTTAGTCATCATTCTTTCGTTTTATGCATAAATATTTGTGAAATACTTCATAACTTGTGATCAAAGCGTAATTCAAATCAAACTAAAACTGGTGTTTTCTTCTATTAGCGTGTTATAATATCAACTAATTAGTTACTTGTAACCGTGATGGATAGTTTATTTATGAAGCTTTCGTTGTTCTTCTAAGCGGCATCGTCAACACACACTTCTTTGAGAAGTCAGATATTGGAATTTCTTCATTATTCGATGGGCTTTTATTTTAATTAGTGGTTGTTATGGCAGTTATTTTCATGCTCTTTTTGATTTTGTTGCGCCTTACCTTAAAATTGTCAATTCTTTTTATTGGCTGATGGATTTAGTCGATTTTGATATACCTATTGGTTTATGATTAATCGAAACCCTAGACTTCTAAAAATCTCTGGCCTATTGTGTGTTTCCTTTGCAAAATATTTAGAAACTTCCCCAGTTGAACTCATTTTTGTAGTTGTCCGCATAGGATGATATAAGCCAAGCTGTGTCTCTTCATCTAACAGCTAAGTGGTGTTCATGCGGATGTAGTGAGATGAAGTTATTACTTTTTTATAGTGTTTCTCGCGGTTGTTATAAATTATCTTGTCGATAAATTTTAGCATACCTTCCAACCGAATACAACGTCAACAGAAAAAGTTGTTAGTCAGTTCTGAAGAGATTCTTATAGCATGGTTCTCTCTAATCACATTGTCCAGGAGAACGATGACAGACTCACAACTAGATCGTTCAGACCAGAGTAAACAAAACGTCAAGTACCCTCATTCTAAGCTACAAATACTTTATCATTCCGAAACTTGTAAATAACTAATTTAAACCAAACTGATGCACAAGCTTTCTTACGACTTTAACCATTATCTCTGTAAAACTACATATTTTTTCGTATTTGATTATAATCATTTTCGCAATCGGTAAAAACTTAATAGAAGCTTTTTATGTTCAAAGAGAAAAATACTCTGAAGTTGCCAACTAATATGTGTATATATATTTAATATGATGAGGGAGATTCTCATCTCCGTTGGATGCCTTTGGTAGTTTTGTATTCTCTTAGCTATATGGCCTAATTACGAGGTCTTAATTATCTCACTTGTTGGTAACTTCAGAGCCAATTTCATGAATCAGTGAGCTTTCCCGTTATTCCACAACTGTTATATAACTTTGTTCTAGTTGCATTATTTGTCGTCAGCTTTCTATGTAGTCTTTATTGCCTTGTTTATCCCTTACACTCACTTTCACTATATTCGTCAGCTGACCTCTGGCTTTGTGATAAATGAACATCTTCCATATATAAAAATATGTATACAGCTACCAAGCAAATCAAAAAGTCTTGGTTTATTCATCAACAAGTTTACTAATTACCGTCAATGATTAACGGTAAAATCACCAATATTCTTAATATAAGTTCCATAGTTAAGTTTTTGACCAGAAGTTAATAAAAAGGTTAAACAGTTTTTCTTTTCGTCATCTTTGCATGAAATTATTCATATTAATGTAATTTACAATAATCACTATTTATTTTGTTTCTTCCTTTTTTGTTTTGAAAAAATACCATAGTCAAAGCTTTGTTGATGAACTAAATAGGTAAGTTGTTTTCATTTTTACATTTAATCAGCTCACTGTTTGTATTCATTTAGTAAGTCGGAATAAATTTCCCAGCATAAATATGTTGTTGGACAAACTTGAGATCAAACCGGTTCAACCAATCAGAAGACAGAAAATATGACTGATTAATTTATACTAGAAAATGAGGGAATTTATTGAGAAAAATGTGGTATTATATGATTAATCATCTTTCTAAGTTAGCTATTTGTTTTTAAGATAGAAGTTAGGATCAAGGTTCAGAATTAGTCTATGTATACCATAAATATAAACCTTAACCCTAATTCTGACTTAGTTTTAATCATAAACCGAATCCTGTCCCTAATTCTAGCCTTTAAAAAAGTGCTGTGAAAGAATACTTCTCTAAATTCGTTCGTAATCGTTTTATTCTTACGGTCACAAACGAATCTTTATTTTAGAAAATATAAAACTCTATAAGCTTTAAATGATGTTTCATTCATTAACCGTCGATATCTAACATGTCGGTTTGATATATGGGTCATGAACTTGAGGTCAGTTTTTTGAACATAACTGGCTCAACAGTTTACTTTATTATTATCAGAATGGGTTTTGTGGAGATTTTAGAAATTTCACAAGTTGAAATCATGAGTCAGTTGAAGTTCAACTGACTCATGATTTCAACTTGTGAAATTTCTAAAATCTCCACAAAACCCATTCTGATAATAATAATCACCTGCTCACTAGTGACTGACTTCAGGAGACACTTCTGGAGTTCTAGTGAGAAGTCGTTACCAGTGGAGTTCAACCAGGTCTGTTGTGAGATAGGAACTCACTGAGGACAATGGTGTACGGTAGCGCAACTTCGTGGATTGGTTGAAGTTAGACATTAACACCGTTGGATGCCGGCTCAGTGGTCTAATGGTTAAGTGCTCGCGCGCGAAGCCAGTAGGTCCTGGGTTCGAGCCCCGGGTGGTGCGGGGTCGTGGATGCGCACTGCTGAGGAGTCCCATACTAGGACGAAACGGCCGTCCAGTGCTTCCAGGTTTTCAATGGTGGTCTAGCTTCAACTGACTCATGATTTCAACTTGTGAAAGTTTACTTTATGTTAACCAGTTAGTCTGATAGATTCTCGATTATTATCATAACTTGAGAATGATTTAAACAAAACTGTATTCAGTTATTATCATTGTCCCCCCCATGTTAATTAATTTTATATTCGGATGTTTTCACTTTAAAAAGGGGTTCGTTTCTCATCTGTAAAACTACAATCCATTGATCGTTTGAACTTCATCGTTCATATATTTTTTATGGAATATTTCTTGTTAATCGTGCAATGAAATAGGAGAATAAAAACTGTCTTCTCTTTTCTTTTCATGGGTTAAATAAGTTTTATTATCATTATTATTCCTTTTTAAGATAATCGATACTTTTAATGATAATAAATAAATTATTATTTTGTTCATTGAACAATTATAAGCAACTAATAAATTGCTTGATTCTTCATGGAATACTTAAAATAGTTTTCGAAAATATCAGTTAAATGTCACGTTTTATACGACTCCAACATCATAGATATATAAAAAAGAACGATCGGATTCTAGTAATTTATACTGACATATATTAATGCTTCAAAAAAGATATCTCTTTACATTCAGACTGGAAGCTGTTGGAAATACAAATCTTAAAGAAATATTTCACTTTTTTTGTGTAAATAATATCAATTTTTTGGTAAATATATACTTTACAATTGTCATTCATCATATTAGATTTACTGTCTTTGTTATTATTATAGTGTATTTCACACACACAAACTCTCCTGTATTTTTCAGACATAGAGCTTTAATCGGTGATTGCCTTGCTGCACTAGCATCTGCATTCCCTGTAGCTTTTCTAGAGGCTAATTTAAATTCTAATAATCCTCTTTCAATTACATTCAATAATCGTGGTGGTGATTATAGTCTTGAAGCTAGAGGTTAGTGATTCGTTGCTGTAAATCTATTTTGTGTAAATAAAGGATGTATTAACCAATTTGTAGACTCATGTGCACAGGTGAATTTAAGACGTAACTACAGTTGTATCTCTATTTGATATCAATCATTTATCCATATGTGTTTTATCTTACGATTTTAATTAGATAACTAAGGGAGATGCGTTTTCAAGTGAGGCTTTTCTAGGGAAGGAAATTTACGGAAACCGACGAACTATGGCTGTTATCCTATTAACCAACTATAACTATGAGATATTTTAGCTAAAATGTTTTTTATCGAATCCTTGATATTCCATAAAGGGTGTTCGGATACAGGTGAAACTGAAAGTAATAAATCACATTCAGTAAAATACCACAAAATAATTTCACTACTTGTTTAGCGGTCCATATGACTCAACAAATTTCTGATCCCTGACTTTTTTTTTAGATCGTGTGTATTTGTTGACTTAAAATGCATTTAATCACACGATATCAGAAGTCAAGTTCGAGTGTATTCAAAATTCAGATGTGTTCATACATTCGTTCTTGAAGACATAGTAAGAGTAGTGAAAATATTTGATTCCGATTATAACTCTGTGCTGAAAGACACCGAACTATTTCGTGTCTCAGTTCCGGTATACAACATATAAGAGATAAAATAAATAGGTACAGGTGCACACAGACATTACCTACACTTAAAAACGTATGGCATCAACAAAGATAAATACCTAAAAGTGAACAAAAAATTATTATATCAAGAATAACTCATTTATCACATCCGGATTATTATTATCTTCAAAGTAACAATAAATTTCATTCAATCGCTTCCTTTTATGACTTTGAATAAAGCCAAAACAAAAATTGAGGCAGAATAATACAAATTAACTGTATTTCGTGGTTCCTCATCCACTATTTACAACGAATATCATTAAACGCACGGCCGTTTTTGTACAATGATATGTTTATTGAAAGATGACATTGAAGTATGACAAAAAAATTGACATAGATAACGAAAAGAATTAGAATGACAATGATTATCAATAATAACTACATACAGATATGTACAAGAACAGGTTAGAAGTTATTTGGAGCTGGAATTTAAAAACATGAGAGGTGGGTGATGCATTAATTAAATAAGATCCGGGGATAGATAAGATAGATTATGCGATATAGTTTTAGAGGGTAGGAAGACTTTATTTAAGGTTATTGGGATTAGAAATTGATAAGACAGGATTCGAAGAGTTTACATAAGTTAAGAGGATTAAGTGAGTGAAAATATATGAGTAAAGGGATAGTTTTGGTGTACATAAAATAAGAATTAGTCAGGGGAAGACCGCATAACAAAATAAACACTAATAAAATAATGATTACGACAAAAATAACTAAGGTAGTGTTAAGTTTATTATTGTCTCTTTGTGGACATACAAATCAGGTTTGAGTTTTTTACTACTATTGCTTTGGCGAACCTGAGAGACGCTGCGTTTTTTGTCTCCTAATAATTTCGAAGGCTTGTAGAATGTTAACAGTATGCCCGGTGTCAATTAAATGCCGAGTTTTAGCACTGTTTAAAGCTGCTGCGCCTCTCAGTCTCAAATTCTTTGAAACGTGCTCGGAAATGTGAACATGAATTCAGTCGGGCATAACTGCAGTAATCTATCATCTAGTATGTCTCCTGTAATTGGAAGAAATAATTGTACAGTTTATGCTTTAAATGTTTCTTATATACTACTAAAAAGACTCTTAGTCCAGGAAGTATGTCATGTAATATATGAGTCCAACTGTACAAATGGGAGTCAAATATTGAGAAAAAGATATCAAGTGATAAAACTTAAGTGGACGCTTTACCGTCTAACTGATCGTACTTCCAGATAACATCATTAATATTACTAAAGCTTCATTATAAAGTAAGCGGTTAAGAAACTATGTTTCATTTTTTAGACATTCTGTAATTTCCATTTGTCTACACTCTAGTAAGAGTATTCTAGTATATTCTGTTCCTTATGATCTTTGATTTGTTTCAGTGTCACTAACTGTTTCTAAATTTCATCAATGTCTTACACACATGGAGCTAGTGGTTATCATTGAAACTTATAAAATGTCATTACAAGTTTCGGAAATCGCTTTTCAAACTATATGTGCAGTACTGATACCAAATCAAAGAAAAGATCTCGCTAACAAAACCTTTAGGTTTCATCCCATAATTACGTACTATGTTTCTGAGAGTAGTGAATTTAAAGATGATAAATAGCAGCGTTTCATGTAAGACTTATCAAAAATCATGGTGTTATGGATAGACAACCTATAATTTTTATTGTTATACAGTTTCTAATTAGTCAAAGCTCTTGATTTATTTGGAACAATTTTTCCTAAAACATTTGGTTATATACAATTGATTAATGTTCATTCAATTTTAGATGTACTTGAAAAGCTTTCTAAAACAATTGGTGATCTACAAAGCATCATTAAGCAAGTGGAACTTTTAGCCGAATCTGGAGCAACTGGTGCTTCTGAAGCGCCATATCTTATTGAGGTTACTTTACCTATGCTTTGTTCATATTTACCTAACTGGTGGCGTAAAGGACCTGAATGTATGAATTTAACTTCTTGTAATGATGGTTCTAATGAAGGTGGAATAGGACAAGACAATAAAACTGGTAATTTAGTACCTAAAACAAAAGGAAATACCTTTCTAGCTAGTGCAACTGGACCTTTAACAACTGTTACAGCTGATCTAATGAATCGAGTTCTTGGCAGTGTATTGCAATTAATTCAAACAAACATTGACTCACCACACGCACCTTGGATGACAAGAATAGCTAGTAATTATCTTCTTATTTTTAAAAAAATTAGTCATGTTTTTAAAGTGCTTTTTAAAGAGAAATTTAACCATTTCAGTATACTAAACAAAAATAAATTTTTACAATGGCAGATTTGATTTATTGTACTTTTCAAAGGATGGTGTTTTTAAGATTACACAAGAAGTTCAAAATAATCATGATAAAATATCCCATTTTATTGAACAAGTGATCTGGCAAAAATGCTTTCAGTTAAATAGTGATTAACATATAGTATTTATCTGATAATGCAGTTGTATAAGTAATCAAATTGTAATAGATTTTTTCCTCCTTCTATTATGAAAGAACAACTGTCTAACTTGCTTATTAATCAATTTTCTTCAATTAGTCGTAATGATGGTAGTATTAGTAACAGTAGTATTAGTAATAGTAGTAATAGTATCAAGTGTTCATCTAAAACAATCATAATCTATCATTAAAACAGTCAACACATCAAAGTTAAATAACCATTGAAACCACTGAGCGGCTTTTCCGTTCTAGTATGGGACTCATAGTCAGAGGACAATCACGACCTCGCAATCAGTGAACGCTTAACCTCCAGACCAGTAAGTCGGGATTCAGTGATACACAAACCTGACTTCAGTCATTTAGGCATTTGTGCGTGAGGTCGAAGGTTCTGGGTTCGATTCCCGCTTGATGCACTGTGAGTGTGCCTTTTTGGATCGTTCCATGCTAGAATGAAACGATCTTCTAGTGCTTCTAGGTTCACAATGGTTTTCTAACGTTTACCGGTTGATAATTTCAATGAAATCCAGCAATCCTCAAAACTTCATAATAATAATTTGTTTCATTGACTACATTATAGACAACTCTAATTATTATGAGCCACAGACCTACAGTACTGAACAAAGTTAACTTAGTGAAATGGGTGATTACTTTTAAAAACTATAACTGTCACCATTGCTCTTTCAATAAACTAGAGTAACATACTATTTTAGATTTTACTGATAGATATAAATAACGTTTTATGTGAAGCATGTCAGAAAGAATCAGTTTACGAGAATCAATGGAATTATTCAGATTGAGAATCAATTCATTTCATAGATTCCCGCGACACTAATTGAAGTCAGTTGTTGGACATGAACTTTTTCACATTTGATGTATCTTAAATTCATCCCTTTCCATAATTGAGTCCATTTTAAAAATAAAAAACGCACAGTGGGATGAAAACACTAATTGTATTTATTAATTACAATCCAATATCATCGTGATGTTGACAAACTGGAATATATCATTCCTCAAGATTTTATTTGCAGAGTACAAAAGTCATTTTATGTACAAAACAAATAATGATTTTGAAGATGAACATTGACGTGTATTATTAATTAATTTGATGTATACTTCATTTTCCTTACTTTTTCACAGCACGTACTCAGCCCATTGTAGCTAATTCTACAGCTGATATGCTTGGTCAATATTTTTTGCCAGTATCTGAAAGGCTACTTGAACATGCTTTGATTGTTGAAAGAGTAGAAGAGGCGTATAGAGCGGAAAAACGTGCAGGTATGCAAAAATAGTAAAACGTTTCATAAACAATACTTAATAGTAGCTTACAGATTATAATATAAAGATGTTATCTTACCATATAAGTTATATAAAGTTCCACTTCAAAAGTGCATTTCATTAAAAAATCGATTTAAGTATTTTTGTTGGTTGCCCGGTTAGAATTGCTGCTTCGTAATAATATTTATTACTCAGAGATAATAGGTGGAAAATATGCAAGTGAGGAAGGCCTCACTACTGAAGAGCTATAAGCATCATATATATTACATCTCGAAAACACATATCAAGATGTCTCTTCAATATTGTTTTTGATGTGTAGACCTTGAGGATGATTTTTTACATAGTTCGACTTAATTCAGATAGTTGGCCATCATTATGTATCTGTTTAGCTTTTATTTGGCTTTTCTTTGAAGAATATAGGTACAAGTGTCCGTAAAATCTTGCTAGAGGCATCGTGACTCTATATGGGATGATAATTATATCTTAAACGTAATGTAATGATCATACTAATATCTTAAAGTTTACTGATCACATGATGTATTGTCACTTACTGTTTGAAATATTGATCGCTAAAAGTATACTGTACTGACGCCCTTAGATGGACCAATCAAAACTAAGGTAGCCCTTCGTATACTTATGAACGGAATCAAAACCTCAATGTTAAACAGATTGTATGTTGAGATTGATTAGGTAAAAAGTGGCAGTATTTGTTTCCTAACAACTATGCCGTGAATATGATGTGATCTTTAAGCTAGATTACAAGAAATACCTACTGCTGGGACAGATTTGAATACACATATGTATTGAAGTACTTGATGTGATTCAGGACATAGTCAAGAGTGTTTGTATAGCTAGGTAGTTTTCTGCCTCTCTAAATCTCAACCCCATTGTTTTTAAGTTTACAAACAAAATGGTGGTAAAGTACCAGTGTATTACATCTGATGTCATTTAGTGATGAGCACCCTAAACCTAATTTGTAATCCTAACACAGGTACAAGTTAACTTCTACTACATAACCCTAGCCATTTTCCATTATACTCGATGTCATTTGGTGATGAAAACCCTATAGGATTATAACCCTAACTCACAAAACTAGCCCAACTCCTAATTTGTGAACTTAATATTTTTCTTTCACTATAATGTAAGAGTTAATCAATCATTTTAAAACAACTATTTCATTGCAATTTTATTATTTTTAATTGTTAGTTTTTTTCATACTTAACGTTTCCCTGACTGGTTGATAGGTTGCTTGAAGCTGTCCGTATAGTACACTTTCACCTATTAATTCTTAGTCATCACAGATTATCGTTTTTGCCCTTGGTAGTACCTAGGTAATTATTGTAGCATTTCAACTGTCAAATTAATATTATCAAAGTTTGAGAATGCTTTAAGGAGGTGTAGTGGAATATCTTCGCTATATTCCCAATAATTCGTATATTAATTGCTCTGATAACAGCTATTACAGTGATTCTACAACGGTGCATAAATTTAAAAACAATACGAATTAATGACTATTTTATTTTCATACAGCACAGAATGAACGACCACCAAGCACACGAAGAGAACAGGAATATGAATTAATAAGTGAATGAATAGAAAATAAAAAGCACGTTATATTTTACTATGTGAACCGATTGTCACGCGATTAGAGTAACTAATATTTAGGCTAAAAGAGGAGTATGTGTGTGGTCTGTGATAGATGAATGATCATATATGATCATACAAGCGTGTGAATAATAGTATAAAGATTTCAATAAATTGTTACCGATATAAATAACACTATTTGTTAAATAAGTTAGTTAAAGAGCTTAATACATTTAGACACAAACAGATTCAAATGTATGTGAGACTGTTATAGAAGTTTTAGTGTTGTTTATTTCTATAAAATCTCAAAATAAGAGAAAATATCAATGAAATAGACTCTGATATTTGAGTGTTTGTAAATGAGTATTTAGAAATCCAAATACGTTTATGTTAAATATATTTTTCTTACAATTTCTCAGGTTCTGAAAGTGTCGGTGAACGTGAAGAAGAACTATCACGTTTAGTTGAAATACTGGTACGAAATTTATTTGCGTTCTATCCCCTTCTAATAAAATTTGTTGATCGTCATCGAAGTGCTTGGTTGAAAAAACCGACGTATGAAACGCAACGTTTATTCTCAGCGGTTGCAAGGATGTTTTTAGTATGGATCAGAGCAACGGTAAGTTAAAGAGCTGTACAGTCTACAATATGATGTACTGTTGATTTGGTCCAATAATTAAACATAAATTCTAAAGAATCCTCAGCTAAAAGTATCTTGAACTAATTTTGTTACAACAAAAGAAGCTTTCTGAGCACTCAAGCTTAATGACTAAGTTATAAGTAAAACCTTGAAAAAAGAGATTTATGTGAAAATTTGATACAAAAACACTAAAAATCTACAGACCATTAATCATGAGATGTTTAGGGGTCAGTTACGCTATGGAAAGCACAATTACATAAGTGTATCCTATAAATAAGTGAAGAAGAACTAAAGTGGTATGTGAATTTCAAATCATAAAATAGCACATCCCCTGTGACAAAGTGGAATATCCGAGATTTATGAATAAAAATTAAGCGCTTTTCTGAAGTTTGGCAAACGGTCTCGAACGAACTAAACTTAATATAGTAAAGTGGACAGACCGTTCACTAGATCTTTAAATTTCTTCCCTGATCATTGTCTTTGCGATAACAATAGCTCCTTTAATGTTTTACATTAATGCAAATTTTGTTGGTCACAACTAATCTTTGTATTTATAAGCATATAAGAATAAAACATTGAACTCCAATAAACGACATTTCAAAGTAGTAAACAACTTAGAAACTTGCATAATTGTGTGTCTATCAAAGTTGGTTTATTTCAAATAAGTGGATTCAGAGAAAATGAAAGCGAAATAATCGTATCAACAATCGAAGAAACCAACCAGTGAATATTTTTTGAAAAGAACTAATTCAATCTAAAACAATGAATCATTAAATAATATCATAACTATGAAATAAATAAAAACTTATTTTATTTGAGCCACCTCAACTAATTTCAGGTCAAGATTATGAAGATTTCTTTGACGAAGAAATGAATGCATATTTTCATTCTTCAGTCTCGAACTTAATGACTTAATAGTTCTAATAACTAAGAAATTGTATAAGAACGTAATTATAAGGAGTTATCTCTTTATCTCATTGAATTATGTTTATAATGAATATGTAAGTTAAATGACAGTAAGTAATTTGATTTTTTCTGGTTAAAGTTTAGAATTAGGAACCGTCCCAAATCCTAATTGGCTCATGTGTACAAACAGATGAAGACATTTATTTCAGTGATGTTAATTCAACTTAGTTCACTTTTTTTCAGACATCGAAAGTGTTGAATAGTAATAATAATAATAGTAATAATAATATTAATTTTAAGACATTAAATAATGGAGAGATTGATCAATCAACGAAATACACAGCATGGATGTATTGACAGCATTCACTGTCACTCTTGGGATTCGCTTAGTTAAAAAGAAGATAAAACATCGGAAAAATTTAAGTATTTCCCAGCCAAAAGAAAATACACACAAAAAATAAAAATGATGCGGATTCTGGTGAACTAATCTTACTTTTCTAGTCATTTGTTTCTTTTATTATGTTGTTTCCTAACTAAACACATTTACTCTTAAACATGATATAAAATCATTTAAATAATAAATCATTTTTACCACCAGAATTCAATAATCTAGAACAACTAATTTATTGTTTTTTATTTCGAACCTAATTGTATAGAAATTTAAACGTGAAGAAGAGAACTTTGTAAGCGCTCATGAAATTGATCGGTTATCACTGATTGTGCCAAGTGGGGGAAATTTAACACCGGGTATAAATCGAAGTCGAACTCACACAAATGGACGTAATGAATCAAGTAGTTTGAAAAATGGTATGTTTAACATGCATAGGTGAAAAAACAATTTATTATTTTTGATATGGAGACCCAATTAGAAGTAGCCCAATGAAAAGGTCAATCAATGACAATCAGAAGTCACCTAAAGGTCAAATTCATTTCATCCAATAGTCAAATACGCCTTCTCGCTCACTTTTGTGTACCCCCTCAAGTAGTCAATCGGGGGGGGGTTAGTCCATAGCATATCGTGTATCAAATTTCCGACACTGTAGGTCACAATAATTTTTTTAAATGTTGACAAGACATCAATTGCGTTACCATGTAAAGAAAAGAATAATTCTGAAATAGGATTTTGGGAATTCAACTATTTAACATTGAGTAACAATAGTGTCAAACTAAGTGGAACTGTTATTGAATAGATTATTGTGTCTAGTGTCTGTAGATTGATAATGAATTCTTATGCTTGATTTTTTATTTTAGCATTGATAATAATAATAATCATAGATTTATATTTAGCTATTGATGCTTTCAATCTAGTGTAAAAGATTTTTTTGTGATTGTGTCATCAAAAGATAAAAATATTGATTGAGCTAGTTTATGCATTACTGAATTTATAAAAATGGATCATTAAGATTTTGTAAATTAATAACATACAAGAGTCATTCGTCACAGTCATTTTGTTGATTCACAGTAACAATAAAGTTAGATTAATCTAACATTTATTAATAGTTTATTTCCTATTATACTACTAATGACAATTGTATAACATGTAATTGAGTTTAGCTAATCAGGTAGAATATATTTGTGTAATCAAACAATGTAGATGAATTAAAAAGAAGAATATATTTGTAAAACTATATTGTGAAACTATTCGTTTAAATTTAGACGAAAGTTCTTATTTAATGTAGATGAATGGTGAATATTTATTGTCCATACTTGGTATACGAATTAAATCATACCATATTATACAAATAAGGATTGATTGTTTTCTATGTACTAAATATTAAAGATTTCAAATGTTCATTCAACCACATGATGTCGTACACATTCATTAAATTAAAAACAACATCAAATTCAAACACTTCATACTGGTTATTAGTTATTCATTTATATTAAAAACTAACTTGATGTTTAAATTTATCTACCGTAACACATTCTATTAAGTATAAACTTTGAAGGTTTTTTTTGTCGCGAATCATCGTTATACATTGAATGAAGTTTATGGGGTGTAATACTGAAGGATGATAGTCTAAAGGTATTAAACTAATGTCATGACTCGAAAATCTTGAGTTTCTTATCACATAGGTTTGTTAGTCTTTAATGGTGATTGATTTGTAAATAATGACGAAATAGCTATTTAATACTTCATAGTTTCCAATGGTAATCTACTTATTATCAATATGTTAGACGAAACTATACTTATTAGGCTATATATACTTCGTAAAAATAGTTTATTGATATTTTAAAAGGTATTTATGGGGTTTGAGATTGCTTAGTTCTGTAGGATTACAGACAAGGTATTTGTGATTAATTTAGATAGTCATTCCTGTGTATATTTTATACTCTATCTTTTCATCTTTCACGCTTTATTCACGAACAACGCATAAAGTAAAAAAAGCTAAAACTGGTCCACATACAAGTTTAACTGTTGCATGTATTAAACGTCTTCTACCAGTTGGTAAGTAAACATGATATAATTAATTTTATGTATAAATGAAATATATTCAAGTTTAGATATTTTCTTAATTGATTTGTGATCATTTTTAAAGAGATCATTTGATGTTTATTAAATAATTAATTAATAAAGACAATGATACAGTTAACGGATTTGTACAGTTTACTTGATGTGAATGTAGTGAACATGAACTCGAGTGGGGGAAACTAATTAATCGTTTAGTGAAGAAGTACAAAATATCTTCGTAAAATATGAGAACCATACATTAAATACTTCATTTGCAAATCTTCCATGAATTGTCCTTCACATTTTGTATGATTATTTCAATTCACAATTTCTTTCTATTTCCCTTTCTGTTTTCTTCAACTCGATCTTCTTAGCCTCATGCTACCAGGCATTCCTCTTCTGATTGATGTTAATATACCTACGTAGCATACACCATATGAATATAATTTATAGATGGTCGTGAACAGTTATAAAGTGATTTTGAGGAGTTATATAACAGTTAAGAATTAGTGTTTAGAATTAAAACTCAGAGTCACGGTTATAGTTGGAAATTAAGGTTAAAGTTTATGTCACTAACTGACGTGAACTATAGTGCAAAGTAATGTGTAAATGAATCTTGCCCGAAAATTTAAGAGGTCATATCTTAAATCTGACTGGTTTGTCCATATACAGTAGTTTCACAGTTCATTTTGCTCAAACTTGATAACTATGAGGCCTAATTGTAAATCTTCACAAAAATACAGTGAAACCATTATTGCTCAAGCTCATACACAATCAATGTTATATAGGCTTATCAAGGCTCTTCAAATATCCACATATTCATTCCTGTAAGACAAACTATTTCACAAGAGTAATAACAAAATTCTTTCAAACAATCAGAACAAATTTGGCAAGACATAGCTTCCCATTAAAATCACAACTTCATTTTATATTACATCGTTGATCTTTTGAAGTAAGTAAATCGTTCAACAAGCACTTTAAAAGTTTCGTTTAAGCACTCTCCATATAATTAATATCCTTGAAATCATGGTCATTATTATAGTCAATGATGTCAATGGATTTGATGCTATCTATCACTATGAAAGAAGAAATAATCACATCACGGCAGAAACTAGACAAAACTCTGTGTAAGTATGAGTGATCGAATGCATTTCCGGCCAATACGCAACCTCTCACGCATTTGCTACCACTCTATGAGGTGGTTAGTCAATTCAATTGACAGACAACTATATATAATACTTGTTTGTCATGTTATTCTGTATTTTTAATGGAAAACAGTTGTAGTGAATAAATTAAAATTATAAGACCAATATATTTATCTTGACGCGGTTACCGGATTTATACATACTGTTGCACTTCTCAGTGGAATACAAACGTACCTTGATGAGTTTGAGGAAAAACACTCAATGTGTTCAAAAAGACAAGCATCAACATAATTCTAGAAGTAAGTGCACTGGATTCAAATGGGTGGTGATTGTGTGTGGTTTGACGAATTTACGTGAATTATTTGGCACATGTGAAGCGCAGTGAGGTGAAACGATGTTATTGTTACATCAAATCTCAATGAAATTCATTGACCAAATCCATGATGCAAACAGTTTGACCTAGGCATAAATGTGTTTATAAGGTAATTTGATTAATGAAAAATTGAAATTAAATGTCGTGTAAAAAATGCACGGATACGAAATGTCATGATCATTCTGACATCATGTTGTGCACGTTCTTCTTTGTGTACCAGTGACATTCGTTAGTTGATCCAGATAAATGTAATATATTTGATGAATAACTTTCCCTTTATTTCATTCTTTATCATTTGTTTACAAGACCTATTAGACCTGTTTCACCTAAGATAACTTCCAAACAATAATATTCAGTAGTCGCTCAATCTTTTCTAAATGACCTGATGTATTTCCTATGAGATGTTTCATATGAGATACTATTGAGTCTACCGTGACAGATATTTTGACTTTTAGCTTTTCTGAACTTTTAATCTCTGTCTGTAGCATACAGTTTACGTAATCTGTCTTTTCTGAGGTTCACTCACTGATATGCTAAAATAATTACTAAGAATTACCAAGAACTGCTTAGAATTCATTATCTAAACAGATAGCCTAATAAAAATTGAGATATTTCACCGTATATGGACGATAACCTTAGGCAGATACTCATTTTACTTGCAACAGACCATCCGCGTATGAATTTCGTACACTCTGTATCGCCTTTGAGGCAGCACTCAAGTTGTTTTGCTATATAATAACATCTTTTCTGTCTGAAATCTCTCTATATATCACATCTCATTCCTAAAAACTAGGTCATCCTTGATTTTCGTTGAACTGAGCAGATATAAATTAGCCATCTAGTAGTTAGTTCGGTTAATGAAGTAATCTCATAACTTTTATACAGCCGACAATAATATGTTGTTTTAAAATAAAAAAATTGAATTTTTCTAACTCAAATAATCGAAAAGGTTTAAGTCAACTTGGTGGACGTGAGCAAGAACTGGTATTATGCGCGAAAAGAAAGCTGATTAAGGTATGTTACAAGTGTGAATGTATATGTATTAAATTCTATTTTTCGATAAAATTTTGTTAATTCCTTTGATTGCGTAAACTAACATGAATAAAGTGAAGATATGGATGTACTAGAATGATTATACTACTTACAATTAATGGGACTTGAAAATCCCGCTGCTTATGTTTTATTTTGAGGATATGATTAAATGTTCATCTGATTAGTTTGGAAATAATTTTATTTACCCGCCAATCATATAGCATAAAGCAAAGAAACGACCATAAAACTTTATCCTATCTCCTTAAAATTGCAGTTTCATATGGGATTGGGAACTGATTATTATACATCTATTTACTTGTGCTTATTGTGTGTAGATATGATTCTCAATAGTGTGACGATTTAAATGAAAACCGTTTAGTCATATATATGTGATTTAAAACTAAGGTTTACTGAAATACTAATAAACATTTTGATTTAGTGAATTTCTCTTTATTTATATTTGTTGTATAATCGTAAATCGATTTCTTCTTGCAATCAACCCAATAACTTTCAAGTATATTGTAGTTGATGATTGAATTTTGTGATCAGTTTATCGTCGTTGCATTTCTTTGAACCATGAGCGCAAGCGTATCGGTGTGATTTCTTTTAATTCCTTATACACTTGGCTGCTTATGCTTGGTTTTAATCTACTTTTTTATTTTTCAAGGATTTGTTAGAATCATGAGTTCTTAGATAATTACTGAAAATCAGAAAGAATTGGCTGGTTATGGTTGAGAAGTTTCCTTACGAGACGATTTAGTTCCCTGGTTATCCGTAGTTATCTAGTTAAAGTCGGTTCGTGGTATATACCATAAACTTGATATCTCTCTGTATAGATATAATTCATTGAATGTATTTACATGCCTTACACAACAGATTTTTGTCATCCATTGACTTTACCCTATTCACTCAGCCATTACTATTATTATTGTTACTATTAAAAGGAAACGCTTAGTTTGACAGGTGACAGAGGTTTGGAGCATTTAATGCAGGTATTTGTTTTCGTAACATTTTAAAATATATACAAACATATATGTGTATTAATCTGCTGTTGTGTGTGTCCCATTGTTCGCATTTTTTCCAACCTCCCATATCTGTTGAATGCACCTATGTGATTGCACTTTTGTGTGTATGCAGTGGATCGATCTATGAATAATAAGCTGTTATCTAAGCATCTGAACTTGCACCCATACAACCATACATACAAATCACATTGATGATTATTGGTAATGGCGTTCCACTCCGTCCCCAGTGATGTATGCAGAAATATGAACTGTGATATTGCTTTGCTGTAAATTGCCCGCCAGCTGCCTTAAATCACGATTCATTTTTCATGAGTTTTCGTCTACCTATATTTCTCTGGTATCCTCTTTTTCAATAAATGTTTACTGGCTAAAGTTACTTTATTATTGTTGTTATTTTTATCAGTGCTAACTATTGCGTAGCACATACATACACAAAGAATAGAGATTTTTAGACAAGATTTTCTTTATTACTCTAAAGTTGGATGGTCGTAAAATCTTTCCAGAAGTACTGGGAAATGACCTTTATCATGTTTATATGTGTATATAAACCAAGTTTACTATCACATAGTGCATTTTATGTAGTAATTCTAAAGTTACTACATTAAATGAGCAGTATAAGAGAGGGTTTAATGAATTAAGATGTGAATGAATCTAGATGACTATGGTTAACGAAAAGATAACAAAATGCTAGATTTAAAACCCGTTGTTTTGCATGACGCTTCAATTTTATTCTAAACTATGAAATCGTCCGTCAGTATCTTTTTAGAAGTGAAGGACACTGCCTCCGATTGGGGACAGAAACATTACCAAAAGGTGACTATACTGAAGAAGACCTTATTAAACAGACAATAAAATGAAGCTTCTGCAAATCAGAATGAACAGAAAAATTTGGAAAACCAAGAAGCCGATGAGTTGTTAGTGTGCACAGTTCTGAAATACTTGCATCTATGACTTAGTAAGGGATTTAATTAGTTCTAATATACGCATACGAATGCACACAAATGAGTAAAAAATATTTTCCTCACAAAATGGAAGTATGTAATATTTCAGTACATCTGTTAATCAACGAGCACACAAGCAGTTTGTTAGACAATTAAAGTTTATAACAGAATTGACAGTTGAGAATCCTCAACTAAGCACTTGAGTAATCACAATTTTAGAACACTAGCATTAATACTTTAGGGGATAAAAGCAAGTAAATACCAGCTTGATTGGTCGAAAATAAACAGCTTGATTTCGTTTGCTTACATGTATTTGTATTTGTTGGAGTTAACCATATTAGGGTTGAGTATGTTTACAAGGCAACATTAACTATGAATCAATAATTCACATCATAATTACAATCAAAGTTTCTTGTTAATTTTATGATGTTAGTTATTGAATAAATTAACACAAGCCGATAATTTTGTTGAATCTAAGATTAATCAAATGAATATTTCAATATTTTTTTTCAAAAATTAATAGTTATATGAACCCATATTTTGACATCAATGTCCTTGACATCAGGTTTTAAAAACATGCTTCTATTAGATACATCACTCTTAACTCTGTACACAACGTTCCTAACTATCACTTCATTTGAAGTCTACTGCAAGTGTCTATCAGTAGTTATAAAAAATATAGTTTTCTCGCTCCTAAATAACTGGGTTCAGCCGATTACTATCAAAATCATCCTTAAGATTAGATTCTTAGCAGTTATCGACACAATGTCTGAGGTCTAGATTTTGTGCGCTGTTTTGTAGTAATTCATAACAATTAAATAAAACTGTTCCTAAAAGATGTATGTCATGAGTCAGCAGATTAGCTACTTAATCTACTGGTCCGTAGAATTGTTAGTAAAACTAGGTAGTAGAAGACTGGTTGCTATTGAGTATATATATATATATATATATATATATATATATATATATATATATATATATATATATATATATATATGCATTTTGAAATTTGTGAAATATCTATGTCCATATGTACATCAGAATTTTCTTCAATACTATGCTATTAACTATGTACGTTTTTGTGCGTTGTCTATATACTATTTTTGGCAAAGCATGGATAAAATACTGTTTGTATTAACTCTCTTCCCTCTTTATTGTTGAATATCCGGTAATGAAATGTTATCAATATTATCTCTTCACCTGTTAACTTGTTAACTTTGTGAATGTGATTTGATTTTGTGTTTTTGAAAATATTTACCACTTTTACCCTACCCATATATTTGTGAGAAATGTGAAATATTGTCATGGTTTCAATTACCTCTTTGAGAATCGTCAAAAACTGAAAATTTAAGCAACCTTATTTCCCTTATCATTATTGTTGCTTCCTTAATTGTTGCATTATTTGCGTACATTTTCACTAATCAGCTTGCTCAAGCAATAATTCTAAACATAATAAGATAATAGTATGATATTAAAATAGTACATTTTCTTACTTCAACATAATACTTATCGTTCCTCATGTTTTTATCTTGCTTTCGTTATCTATAATACACCGTTTCATTATTATTCACCACCCTTATCATTATTATCATTGTTCAGTAACTGACATAAGTCTATTTGTGTCTTTTTTCATATATGCAGAGAGAGAGTGACACTGCGATTGAAGCTTTCCTCAACAATGCTTTGGATCAAGAAGGCGATGTAAGTTTATATTGTCCAATATTATATTAATGTATGGAAATATATTCTTCTTAAATAAACAAATGTATTAACAAATGAGTTATCATTGTCATAAATCCATGACGTCTGAAATGTATTCACATTGAATTCATTTACCACACATAACAGATTATAGTTTGTAGAAAGCAATCAGTACTTCATGAATGATAGTGGCTAACTGAGTAGAGTATTTGAATCAAATATGATAAAGGTGATCTTACAGAGAAACCAGGAGTCAGCATAAAGATTCACATATTTGGTTGCGTACCAGCATAACTAATCCTGTTATATAGATATTTGCAAATGCTTCAACATCTTTAGTCAAAGCTAGTAGAAATAATCAGTTTTATGCCCAGATATTCTAACGTCAATCTACCGTGTTATATTTGTAGCATAAAATATCAAAGAAAATTACCGTCAGCCTCACATTCTTGAGTCAGTAATAGATAAGCCTTCATGAAGATAAGTGGTTAATTATTTCAACTTTTTATATCATATCCTTTAGTACAGCAGAACTGTATAGAATCCTGAATTATCTGTATAATCATACCAGTTCGTAAAAGGTAATCATCATTTATGAAATGACAAATTAGACGATAATCCATAGTTGATTATGTCTAGTTTTCAGTTATTTATGAACATTTTCTAGTTATTTAAAAGAAATTTTTTAATAAAATTCATCAACCTATTCTCCATGTCATCTATATATTGAGTTTAGGTTATTTTTTTTAAATTTCAACTACTATCATTTATGTTGTTTAAATTCATGATAGATTAATATTAAATTGGTGAACGAAAATGTGTATTTAAAGTAAAATGCTTAGTAGGAAAAATGTATGCATAAAGCTTGTCGTAATGATAAGTTAAAAACAAGAACTATAATCATTTATTACAACGCACTTAATGTTTGTCATTTACATTGTTTTAGCTTGATCATAGAACTCAAAACTGGCAGAAATTATTATATAAAAAAATTGATCGAACTATTGCAGCAACCGGCCGACATGCTGAACTTGCAACATCAACAAGATCAGAGATAGTTGACAAGATTCAAATTTTATCCAAAGTAATGCACGGTCTTTACTTGGTAAGCACTAAACATAACACATAGCCGTATGTGTTTATTGTAGTATGTTTAGTAAATATGCAACATGTAGTGGTATGAACATAATTTAAGGAAATTTAAACTACTTCAATATTTATTATTTTCATACACTATTTATCTCTGTGGAAGATATTTTTCTTGAGAAATCTCATGAACACCAAAGAAATGTGCAGCATAACCTTGATTTATATGATCGTTTAGTAATTCAGTGGTAATAATAAAGTAATGCGAGGATATGTGAACAAAGACAAAAATATTTCACCAAAAATGTTGTACATACATTAGTTGAATTAGGTCACTCTGTAATTAAGATTACTATTGATATATATCCTCTGAGGTTGGTCAAGGTAGGAGAAGGGCTTGAACGTATTTCTTTTGCACACGTAGTCTGAACTAAATGGAATAGTAATGAGGCGTTTACGGTCTTCATTACACCTCTGATTAGCCACACCGGAAGATGTTCATAAGCACAGTTCAGTGCCAGTGCACTTAGTGCAAACTGGTCATGGATACAGAATAAGTCAACTATTTTCAGTAATCTTTTAGGGTTAACGATATTCTGTCCTAGTCAGTTCGATTCAAGATCCTCCAAAAGACAGAAGCACTAACCACACGAATTAAAAAATCGGAACTACGTATGCAAAAGAAGACATTGAGAGATGATTGCTCAAAATCGTGAACTGATTGAAGTTAGACATTAACACGGTCAGATAGCGGCTCATTAGTCTGGAGATCGAATGCACTATGCTTGAGTCCCACATGCGGGATCGTGGATGGGCACTCGTGAGGAGTGTCACAGTACGACTATTTGGACATCCAGTGCATCCAGGTTTTTAGTGGTGGTCTAACATTGATTGGTTCATGATCTCAATGAAGCTCGACAGCCTCTACAACACTATACTTATAATACTTTAGTTTTCGTTGTTTCTATTCACATATCTTCGTATTATTATTAATGTTATGATTATTGATTCAACACCACTACTAATCTTCCAAACACGATTAGTTTACTTAGCACTCACCCCACTTTATCATTTATTATTGAATTCATATAACTTGATACACAATATAGTCTTCCATCAAACATTTGATCGAATTTGTAATTGCATTACTCTCGCCTCATCCGATCAATTTTTATTCTGATAATCTATCTCATTATCTCATTCAGCGTATAAACCTATTAAAGTTAACATCACATATTAGTCATTTCAACACTAACAGTTTATTTTACTTTGCGAACGATCTTCAATTCACATGCCATAACTATGCGTTTACCTTAAGCCTGATCACATTTTGGGATACATAACTGTAGAACCTAAAGAGGATTTATTTAAAAGAATATTCTCTTTACATGAATTAGTGTTATATTTATTACGTAAATAATTGAATTCTAATTATATGGCTTGTTTTTATTCCCAATTTTTATGATGAATGTTGGAAATATTTTATTGTTAAATTCAGGTTGATCATCCACCAGCAATAAGTAAAGGTTCTTGGAAAAAATTGGTCTCCTCTCAACGTAAACGTGCCGTTATGGCATGTTTTCGTATGGTACCACTTTATGCAATGCCAACTCATCGTGTAATGAATTTATTCATAAAAGGCTACATAACTGAATGGTTAGATTATGAAGAATCATTAGGTGTGAAATTAATTGAAGATGTGACAAGTGGTGCATTACTGAAAGATTTATCCAAATCAAATGAATTACCATCAACAGGGGGAACTAATGAAGTTATAGCTGGCACTGTCCATGCAATTGAAGGTGTTCAGAAAAGTACAGATAGTATGTATTATACGTTTTTATTATTTAAAGAGTTATCCTTTTTATTTGATGATTAAGTTGTTCGGTATTTAAATATTCTCATCTATTTTTTATTTATTGTAATGTAGTAGATATATTTTTATATGATAAAGTTGATATAACATTTAAGTATTTGAATAAGAAATAATAAACTTCACGATCCCCAAAATACTGTATTTTACACTTTTATATTTCAACATTTTTAAACCGTTACTCATTTAAAACTAATTAAATATAACGGATGCTAATCGTTTATCCACTGACGTTTAAAAGGATTCCCTAGAGTCCTAATGCGAAGCTGACGTTAGTGGAATTAGTTATGTTGAGCACTGAACAGTTTTCACTGTTGATAGTAAGTTTGAATTGAGTGACATTGAAATGTGATCGCGGTCCAGAACTGTGAACAGTTGATTTTTGTAATAGATGCGCTTGTTGCAGTAATGTCGTCGTGAATGCGTACCATCCAGAAGTCAACTACTATTTCCAATTTTATTCAACTCATTGTGCTTAATGTGTATAAATTACGTTAATTCATTAGAAAAGAATTTCGGAATTTGCTGCATACGTAATAATTTCATATTTTATTTTTATTTCCCTTCATAAAGCTGAAACTGGTGCAGCTCAAGAATTAGATATGATGGATTCAACTTTAGAGCTGGATCTATCAACTAAAAACAATGATCCTGGAACGTCTATCAATTCAGATAGTAATAAATCAGCTAGCCTATTACAAACTGGTTCTTTACAAACAACTAATAGCTCTTCAAGTCAATATAATTATGGACAAGATTCATCTTCATGTCAGCCTGACCCACTGACACAATTATTAACAGCTCTATGCCGTTCAGCATCGGATCAAGCTCCGGATGATCCACTATATCTAGCTTATGCTAAAATCATGAGCAAAGTAAGTTAAATAAATTGGTGTGAATATTTAACTGTCTCACTACGTATTAATACCTATTTGATTTTTTTGTCTATCATTTTGGATTGTTCATTTTAATGTTATGACTGTAGGACTTGATGAAAATTTATTGGGAACACTATCTTCGTTCATATTATCTATTCTTTAAAGTCACAGGAACATTTCGAAAAGTTAGCCAGAAAAACCACAGTTACATCGTTTTTTAAAAGTGACCACTCATTAAAAATGTGTTATTTTTCAAAACTGTTTTTTAGAGTTGTAGTGGTGAAGATGAAGAAGAGGAAGAGGAGAACAGCACTGAAGAAGGTTCTAGTTTTCAGGTAAATTTATCAAAAATACTAGTTTTTTGTGTTTTTCATAACACTTGGCAGTTTTCAACCAATATCTTATATCATAATAGAATAAATGTATTTTTAACAGATGTAGACATGATAGCGCAATGTCTATCTGGTTAATATTATCTAATGATGATTTGTCAACAGAAACTTGAGTACCCATAGATTATCTACAATCTATGTTTCCATTCAGAAATCATATACAAAAACTTGGGACATAAATGAGAATAAATATAGTAATATTCGTGAGTTTATTTTGACTCTAACAAATCACAATCAAAACTTATTCCTGGTTATTTCTATACATCAATTACTGGTCGACTGTTAAGTAAACTTTAATTCAGTAGAACTCATTATCATCGATTACTCACTGATATACGACATGAAACTAATTTAACAAATGTGAATTTAACAATATCATCGCTAATGAAGGTTGATAATTAATCTCACATGCTTTAACCCTTGATAAACATTTTAAAAATAAATAATAAGTGAACTTTGAATAAATATGTATAGTTTGAGACATCTATAACCGTGACGGTTTAAAAGAACCAGTAATACACTAAAATGTTAAATGGTAATCTTTTACTGCTTACAGAGGTTTCATAGAACTTGGCTTTACCGAAATATTTGAGTTCTCTACATTCAGTCGTTATCGAGTTATTGAAGGATAAATCAACATCAGAAAACGTTATTTTATCATCCGCGTTCATTGTCATTTTCTTATGAATTCAAACTACATCCTTAGCCTAGGGTTTTTATATGTTTACAAAACACTATCAACAGACTTGCAGTAACTTACATCATGGACTGACATTTTAACCGGGTCACCAGTAAAATCTATGGGTAGTGGAATTCATTGCTGACGGGTCTCAAACTAGAATGAAAAATAATGGTTTCTGATTGTTGTTCAGCTAAATCTATTCCTTAATATAAACAAATCGATTATTCTAATAACTATTATCAATCTATGTTATTATACCTTAATACTTCCATCTAATCAATAAAAAACTATTTAGGAACAAGAAGAACAAAAGCAGCAATTGCTGAGTGAACAAAATCGTCTCGCAGAACGTGGTGCAGCTGAAATGGTTCTACTACAGTTAGCTGCATCCAAAGGTACGTTTTTAGAAGTATTACGTATTATATATATAATATCATGTTAAAATTTCTATGATTAGTTATGAGCATCTTAGTGTTAAATATTGTTAACTTTTTCAAAGAAATGATGTCCTTATTTAATATAAAGAAGATTAGGCATTAACCTCTCTCATTCTCATTGTCCCATTTAGATTCAATTAACCTCCCTTTTTTCTAATGTTATATCTAATACATTTTTGCTAAAGGTGAATCCACACCAGTTGCTCAAGCGAGTATTGAATTAGGCATAGCATTACTACTTGGCGGTAATATCGGTGTTCAAGGAAGAATGTTAGATTATTTAATGAAAAAGAAATTATCTGGTTTCTTCACAAGTTTGGCTGGTTTAACACAAAAATGTTCCGTTTTAGATTTGGATACATTTGAAAGGTGAGAAAATTAATTTTATTGTTAATCTTATTGTTGACATTATGATTATTTTATCTCAGTGTAGGGAGTTTGTGGGAACTTTTACATTTTAAGGAACCCATTTTAGTTAAACAATCAGAGAAAATCAGAAAGCATTAGATAACAGTTTCGTTATAGTACGGGACTTATAAGCAGTGCGAAACCATAATACCAGAGGTCCCAAGTTATTTTAACCCAGTAGTGTTGCTGGTTTGTACTCCTGTAATGCTTCATATTAGGGTAGGATAACTGCTCACTACTTCCTGATTTATAATGGTCGTTTAACTTAGATCAGCGTGTGATGTAAACAATTTCATTTTGTTTGATTAATTTTGAATAAGTGTATTCATATTATGAGCATATTAAAGTTGCTGACTGAACTTGGTTACGTCTTAGAATGGTATATGAAATAAGAAACACTATAATAAGTTAGTTTGTAAAGGAAAACATTATCTTTCAAAACACTGACTTAAAAAATTTGAACAATACTTCGTTAATATTTTGTCTGCATTACACGCCATTAAATAATTCTTAAAAATAACAAGGAAAAAACATAAATGGTATTTTAAATAAAATGTGAGATCGATTTGTTTAATTTAAAACTTAATGTTCACTTGATCTGTCTTGCACTAACAATTGAAAAAACCGAATCATTCATGTTGACTACCTCCAACCACTATCTTATCTCAACATAAGGCACGCAGTTTTGGCCACATTGCAACTTGGTCGATAGGATTTGATTTGCACTAAGAAGGACTTGATATACATGACATTGATCACTAGGTAGTGATCAATGAATTGTAAATACGTGAACTTATTCTCCAATAAAATACAGAAATCAGATTGAAAAATAAATAGAATATTTTAGATGCTCATTCGTATGCAACTTGTATCATAATGGGTTTATCGAAGCAATTCTCAAGGGATGCATATATACCAACAAACACCGATGAAATTTAAGTTCATGTTATCAACAACGAAATAATTCGGACCGCTTTATGTTAAATGAAATGGATAACCGTTGAACATGTCAGTTGCTGTTCGTACTTAGTAGATCAGTAGATTACGCGTTAGGCGTTTGAAGTAAAACATAACAAGTATTTTTTTTATATAGCTTTTTGTTTATTAATAAATTATCTTTCACAAAGCACAGAACAGAAATTCCGTCATTATTTTTACAATTAAATATTGTTTGATTTTTATCGAGATCGCGAAGTGACATAAGTCAGAAATCCATTGAAAATCAAAAAGTACTTGGCAGCCTGTATATCTAAGTATGGGACTTCTCGCCAGTGACAAAACACAACCTCAATGGGATCGAACCCATGACCCTCCAGGTCTCATCATGATAGCTTAAAATGTAGACCATTGGGGAGATATCTAGTAGTCGACATGTCTAACTTCAACGGATGGTTGTCAAACTGAAGTTGAGTAATGATCTCAGTAACATTCAACATTCTTTACAAGCCATATTTACTAACAGTTGCTTAATTTAACTGTTCTTTTATTAATATAATATTATTTAGATGTAATAAAGCTGAAGGATTAGCTGTTGGTCTGTCCGATATGGAAGGAATAACTAACTTATATGATGCTGATTTCACTTGTAAAATATTTCGATTTTTACAGTTACTATGTGAAGGACATAACCTAGGTAAGTAATTTAATATTTTTGAATATTTCTACTGAGAAATATTGTGAAATTATTTATTTTTTAATAATTTGGTATTTCAGTCTTCAATTTATAGTAATAAATAAATAAGATACATATACTTTTATCCATAATTCAGCCATGATGCAATATAAGTGTCAATATTACCATTATTATTTGAATGGACATTTGTTTTTGGGAATTTTGTGCATTTTAAATCCGATTTTTTGTAGCTAGTTGACGTTCTTAATGAAGATTGACTTGATAGTGCGCAAAAATCCTCACATTTGATTACGGGTTAATATCTAATTAGCTTCAATAGGGATATTCTGAATTATTAATGGGACTCAGTAATCTTTAGAATTAGCCAAAAGGAAATAAAACACTAATTCATCATGAAGATATTGAATACCGACAATACAATCTTCTAAATTGACTTAAGTCGAAAGTGTGAACGATTTCTTCTGACTCAACAGTAGAAAGACCAACTGTTCATCACGGTACTTTAATATCTTTGGTTGGATCCCTCGTCAAGTCACAGACAGTAATGAAATTATGTTACATCTAAGCAACTAGCTGATCAAAGTAAACCCAGAAATATTTCATTTTATTAATCAGGTTCTGACCATATTCCTCAATCGTGAAAATGTACTTATTCTTTTTCTGTTTCATTTTGATCACTTACTCATTTCCCATTTGTATTTATTTAAAAATTAATTCTATTCATTGACTGCTTTCTTCGCATTTTGCTATCATTACTACCGTTCAGTAAGTTTGAATGCAAGTCATATTTCTGTTACTGTAATTTACTGTTTACAATTTACTTTTTTGAATATTACTCGGCAAATAGAATACAAACGATTCTTTGTCCACTGAAAAAGTGTAAGTCAAATATCATCCTTGCTCTTCAAATGGATATAATGTAATTGTTTTTATAATATTACCTGTTATTTAGTAAAATACATACCATTCATTTTCGCCATTATTATTGTGAATTTATTTCTCAAAGATTTCTTCATCATTTATTTTGTACAGCCTTTCAAGATTATCTACGTACACAAGCTGGTAATACTGTATCCGTGAACTTGATTATTTCAACAGTTGATTATTTATTACGATTACAAGAATCCATTATGGATTTCTATTGGCATTATTCCAATAAAGATACAATTGATGAATCAGGCAAAAATAGTTTTGTTCGCGCTATCAAAATTGGCAAACAAGTGTTTCGTAGTTTAACCGAATATATACAAGTATGTTTCAACTAGTCGTTTGAAGAAGGAAAGAATACAAACGAAACGGTGTGGCACATTTTTTAAATTAAATTTTTTATCTCAGATAGCGGACCTATCTTAGTTAGACAAACACTGAAAACCAGATAGCATTGATCCTAACATGGGATTCCTCTGCGGAGCACATCTAGGACCCCAACACAAGTGATTGAACCTAGGATCTTTTGCTCTCCAGACTGATGAGCCAGAATCAAAAGGTGTACATGTTTAACTTCAGTTAACTAGCGGTATTGTTCGATCAGCTTCCGTTGCCTTCGGTGAACAACTGTCTTGCACCTTACATGGATGAACTCTATTAGTCATGTGTAAACGACGGATTAGGACAATAGAACTAATTAAACATTAAAAGTAGTGATTGGGGAAGTTTATTAAGGGACATTTGAACGTTAGACCTTGTGGTTAGGTGAAGGACAAATTGGAATAATACGAAGCTTCTGGCATGTATACGTATTTCAAAATAGGCACTGATGAAGGATACTTTTTAAAGTTACCTATAAAACCCAATTAAACCTACCTTTTACTTTTAAATTTTACACTTAACGTAGAACTAACGCCACATAAATTTGTGTGAATAAGCTAATCTAAACATCCATAAAAGACATGCATTTCCTTTGTCTCTACTCTGTCTATACAAGTAACCCAACGACTTGATTTCGATGTAAATGACGTTTCCCTAGCTTTTACTTACTCGTGATAAGGCCTGTCCGTGCATATAATCTCTGAATGGTCGCTTCTTCCTAACATGCCTTATCAATAGTGTACAAATATGATCTGACCAGATGTAGAAACTGACACCATGTACCGCGGCAAGCTGTTCATTGCTTTCTGGTTCCTATTGGTTGTCTAGCTAAATTCATTATATGGCATAAATTACAAACTGGTCAATATCCACAAGAGATCCTATACTATCAGTACTTCTATTATTTATCACTGATGATTTGACAAAGCTATTTAAATAAGGAAGATTAGTTCAGCGAAGAGTTCTCTTTTGGCGAATTCATTTTCGAAGCCGTACAATCGCAAATATATATACTTATTTTACAGGATGATAATAATTATAATAATACTGATAATAAACTTCTGTTAGGCATGATAACAGTGAGGTAAAATAAACAAAAGTATTAAAAATTGTTTAAAACATTAGAAGTTTAATAATCGTTTGGTTACTAATGGCTTAAGTATTCATCAAATGATAGCGAAATTATCATTGGGAAAAGAATGGCTCAGCATGATAAGATAAAATGTTGAAATTGAAATTCACTGTAATCAGGAGGATCGAAGAAACAGAAATAAGCCAGTTGGGGATAGAAGATTTAAGGGGAAGATGGAAGATGAAGCAGATGGCTGTAAAGGAAGAAGAGTATGAAGAAAGGAAGGAAAGGAAGAAAAAAATTATAAGATATTCGGATCATGGTAGAAGAAGAGGTTGTACTAATCTCTTTTGCACACACAGTTCTGGTTTTTCCAGATGTATGGCTATTGCTTCGGCAATGCAAAGAAGATACAATCTAATTGTCTTTGGAAGACTTCTACTTATCTTGTAGATGAATTTGAACGCTGAGTCAGTCTTGATTGAGTGACCCGTGTTCACAAGGGGTTCGATTATTGAACTCCTTTTTGAGCCGTTTCCTTCTTTTCTTAGCGATGCCGGATAATGTTCTTTGAATTCTTTTAGATAAAGTACGTATCGAACGACCAATATACCTAGCTCCACATGAACAAGTAAATTTCTCAATACCTTTATTTAACCTCACTGTCATCATGCCTAACAGAAGTTTATTATCAGTATTATTATAATTATTATCATCCTGTAAAATAAGTATATATATTTACGATTGTACGGCTTCGAAAATGAATTCGCCAAAAGAGAACTCTTCTCTGAACTAATTTTTCTCATTAAATGTCTTAGTGGGTATGTTCCGTTTACGAAAACTACTCAAGTAACTCACCAACAATTAAGTAATTTAACAATAATTTATGTTCAACCTGTTCAGTAGATAAAGGTCTGAGCCTTTTTGTCTTCCTTATTAATTCACAATAGATTTTAAAATGAATGCTAAATGTGTAATACTTTTAGTTAACTCATAGAAGAATCATTTTTATAATTAATTGCAAGACATCTATAGTATTGCCTTGACTTGATAATATAGTTAATTTAATAAACTAGTTATCAGTATAAAACTCTAATTCTTACAATTTACGATATTTATCCAAGAAGTCTTATCATTTTATTGTAAAGTTTATAAAAACAATAAGAAATGTTGATCAATTATTATATAAATTTTGGATGATGAAAACTATTGGGAATTAGTGTCTAGTTGAAAAGGAAATTAATATCCCTAAATTTTATTTAAAACTGTTATATTCTAATTTTCATTAACAGTTTTACGCTTCACATTGTCCAATATTTCTGTCTTATTACTAAAAGAGAAACAATTTACCGGAGCGAATAACAATAATGTAATCAATAATCCTTAAGTTTTTCGATTAGCATTTTCTTCAACTACATCAAAGTATAAAAATTATATTTCAGTACTAAACAGCTATTATCTTATAATACTCCATATTTATCGGTTTCACGAGTCAACTTAACCTCAGAATTACCATTTTAAATTGGTAAATTATTATGATTTTCGCAGAGGTAGTCAAAGAATGTTCGACTTCTATGAAATTCTATCGTATCATAACTGATCTATGAAAACTTTGTAAGCTAGTTCGTCATGTACCTTCGATTAAACCGTTTATTTGCCTACCGATTTCAAAGAAATAGATCACCATAATAACGACGATATTTCAGTCAGTTATAATTTAATGGAATATCGATATGAAGAATACTGGTACTGTGGTGTATGCTACTTATGTATGTTGACATAAGTAGTATGTAACATCAATCAAAAATGAAATGCCTGGCCGCAGAAGGATGTGAAGATTGAACTCAAGAAAACAGAAAAGGGGAACACAAAATAATGTCAAAGACAATTGATGGATGATTTGCAAATCAATTGTTTAATGAAGTATTCGTTCACTATAGTATGATCATGAACATTTTATAAATCAGTTACACCAGGTGTCGTCATTTAAAAACTTGATACTTTTAAGACATAAAACACTTAATGCTTTTTTTTTGCTTTTTTGAAATGTTAAAAGGGTCCATGTATTGGAAATCAACTAGCACTAGCCCATAGTCGTTTATGGGATGCTGTAGCCGGATTTATTTATGTTTCAGCACAAATGCAAGATAAATTAAGTCGTGATCCGGATCAGTTAGATTTATTACGAGAATTTCTCAATTTACAAAAAGAATTAATGATTATGCTGTTATCTATGCTTGAAGGAAATGTTGTCAATGGGCCAATTGCTAAACAAATGGTTGATACATTAATTGAATCTTCGGCTAATGTTGAGGTAATCATTATTATATTCGTATTAATATTTTCTAACTTATCTCTGCGTACAATAATTAGAAACTGATTTACCAGTAAATAAATAAATCCATGCCTTAATTTTCGAAAAATCTTTATTATTTGGACAACTGATCAAAAAATGTAACTACAAATCGTACATTTTAGCTTATTACTCATAACTGGCTCATTAAAAAGTGCTACTCGAGTATAGATAAACTTGTGCTCTCTATTTTTTGAAAACACAGACAGGCCTCATTAGTTGAATTTGTTACTAAAGAGTTGTTTGTGATCATATTAAAATCTTAGCCATCGATTTGATGACCACTGGCGTTCCGTTTGACTATAAAATTTTTGAATATAATCTCTTTTATAACCGACTTACGAAAATTTGCTAACCTTTCACTTACAAATTATCATGAATTCTTCATCTTGTCAACGACAACTTTTTTTTTGTCAATATTGGATGCTTTCTTCAAACAGTTTATTGTACTGTGAATCTGTGTGCCCTGTATATTGGATAAAGCAACGATAACGCCTATTAGAGAGCAGCGAATTATCGATCGAATCAGTGACGCGTAAAACCTGATTGGTCCTGCTTCCCTGTCTAGCACAGCCAGCTTAGCCTAGCACACCAATCTCAGCCTCTACGATATGAATCATTTATTTCAAACATACGGGGTTTATATACCAATCAAACCGACCACAACGTACCATAAAATAGAAAATAACATTTGGCTATGAATGAGGGAGATAGTAATTAATAGACAGGCCATAACTCAAGAATGGTAAATCGTATAATAATAGTTCATAAGCCAAAATAAAACTTATAGTAAGAGGGACATGAATATGAACAGTTTAGTTACATAACAATTACACGACAAAAATATACTCATAGTGTTGGTCCATAAATGAATCCCAAAAGTTACCATTCATTATTGGTACCGGGATATAACATGTACATGAATTGGTTTTAATAAAAATAAATATCAGACTTATTGTATTTTAAATAAAAATCCAATGTTATAAAGTCACTTGATTTTAAAATACACTTTTATCTAGTTTATTCATAATTATCTTATAACCTGTTCGTTAATTAGAATTTATCAAATACGTTACAAGACATGTCTTTTTCAGTAAGAATATAACTATTGTATTGTTTTTGTGAAATTTGGTGCTCGAATGTGCAAGAATCACAGTTTCTAGCTTGTATGGGCAAATTAACTTACATATTCCCTTTAGAGGTTTTTATTACTTACAGGTAATCGTTGAACTATTTAGACTGAAACTGATTTTTCTCTCTATGATTAATCTGTTATCACAAATCAGCTTTCAAATAGTGATCAATATGGGTTCTTTTTTCTATTTGATTACTTATTCGTATAGATAGTCATTCTGAATAAATAAATTTTATTATTATCTTTCATATCTTGATTAGTAGATGCCATTCAGAATTAAAGTTAATGATTTCTTTTAGGTCTATATTTAAAAAAAAGTTTTTTTAATACTTGTTAAACTTAACAAACACTTTAGCATAACATTCATCAATCAACGTATACTGGAAATCAGTACGGGATAAGTGTGTATTAGTACACTAATGTACCTATAACTGATGGAGTATTTATTGGAACAGCTTCAGTAATTGTTAGCCCAGTTACGTATTTTCTTCTAATATTGTTTAGTTTTATGATGATAACAATTATTATTTACAATATAAAATTGTATTTGCTCTACAATTTGTTTTTTTTTTATCTGTGTCTTATAAACTTGAACTTATTATTTGTAATACTGCTCTTTGTCATTTTATCATTTAAACTCTTCTCAGATGTATTTGTTCTGTGAGCTAGTCAATTTATTTGAATTATTTTTTTTACTGCTTTTCTAGATGATTCTCAGATTTTTCGATATTTTCCTTCGAATGAAAGTGATTACTACTTCTGAAGCATTTTTAGTAAGTATATTTCTTACCTTTATTCTTTTTTTCGGTTAATTGATTTTGTCAAGTCATACTAATATTATATTCTTCTGTTAACTGTTACATGGATAAATAGTTAAATTTTAATCCATCTATTTATTTTTAATACTAAATGCTTAGAAAATTGTATATAATTTAGATCTATTATAAAGAATAATCATCAATCTCATAACATTAATTATGTAAAAGCCATTGCACAATTAAATCTATCTGGTTCATTTTATACTTTCTCTTATTCCTATGACTAACGGATATTGATAAAAGACAGTTAAATTCATGACTTTAATCCAGAATTTCGTTTAAAAATATTCAAGTTACTTTTATGGAATTTCGGAATGTCTCAATAGAAATATTTAGATAGAATCATATAGTGTTTTAATGATCTAATTAAACGATTATTTTGGAAACTATTGAATTATGAGCAAGTGAAAACTGTTCATAACTAACGTATAGTAATATTGAATAATTATTATACTTTCGATTGAAAATTGTCCCTAGAAACTATAGAGCAAGAAATGAAGAAAGATATATCGAAAATTTATCTCATATTTTTTTGGCTTCTTCATTATATGACATCTGATTGGGTAAAATAATAAAATGATTGAGTGGAGCACTGTTTTAGTCTTCATATGTCAGTCTAAAAGATTGCAAAACATAATCAATTAACAACTGTATTCATAACATATATAAAATAATTGAAACCGTTATATATGTACAAAACACGAAAGTTTAGCATTACCATGATATACTTGCCCTATGATAAGTGATTCATCGCCCAACAATTATTCACTTTATATCTTTCAGTGTTAACACATTTGTATAGAATAAATGGGTTGGTGGTGAAATTTAGGAAGAGCACTTCATCATACTAGGAGCTCGCAATCCACACGGAGCATACATATGACAATAAAGATTGGTTAAAATTCCGTCAATGAAAGGATAATTTAAATCCTTTCTAACAATGGTATCTAATGAACAAAGTTACTGTTTCAGCTAGGGTACCTAAACATTTTCTACACCATTTTGTTTATAGAAGGGTAAAAAACAGTAATATTTTATGAAAGTGTACTATTTTGATAGTTCCGTTTTTGGGTTTACAGGTAGCACCATCACTAATTATGATGAGCAAATCATAAGCATATACCTTTCATGTTGTAAAAAATTTGAACAGTGGTAACAAGCCTCAAACTAATATGCGTGAGCTCTTCAGCTTTATTAATAACTTATCAATTCATATCAGTCCATTGTAAAAAATGTATCCAAAATAATCGTGTTTTTTATGACCAGGGTAATTAAAATTCACTACAGCTAAACCATAGTAAATTACTCAACTCTAATAAGAGATAGTTTTTAAATGTACTGATTCAATTATCCGGTCTACATTTTTTCATATACAGGCTTTCGATGTAAATGGTGATGGCTGGATTTCACATCGAGAATTTCGATTAGCTTTAGAACAACAAAAAACCTATTCACCGTAAGTATTTCAACTTTCAAATACACGGATTATGTTAAATATCAAACTTAGTTTCCTTATTAATTAATACAGAGGAAATGATGTGAAATATTATTAGACTTCTTTTTTTCATTAGGTCAGACAACTTCAAACCATTTATAAAATAAAATATTTTATTCCAATGCATCTTATTTATCTTGCTTTGACACATATTTTTGGTATATGTGATACTGCATATAAAAAAAGCTTATGATCTTGTGCTATTTTATTGTGCTTTTTTCCAGGATAAGAGGAGATAAATTACGTTCATTACCAATCATTAATCTATTATAATGACTAAGAATAATATTTTGACATTTAAGTTATTGATATGGTGAATTCAGATTTATTTAATTAATTTTCATCAATAGCATAGATCATGTTTTATAGAGTATGAAATGCATTAGATAGTTTCATTTTATTTTATTAAAGAGACACCTTAATTAATAACCCAGTGCTTCCAGATTTCCAATGGTAATCTAACATTGATCGGTTTAATATCTCAATAATAAGCCAACAGTTGAACTTGACAATTTCTTTTGGAAATCGTACAAAGACTAAACTAATAGAAACATTTTGAAACATAATTATTATCGATTGCATCATATAGTAATTACATTAAATCCTGAATTAGTTGAATTCGAAAATTTCAAACTTCCAGTACAGATTTAATAGCTCAATGATGTCATGTTCATCACGTGATCTGGATGTGATGGGTTCAGTTCCACGTGGCGTTGTAGTGTTATACACTTCTGAAGAGTCCCATGATGGAATAAATTAGGTGTTCACAGCTACCTATTGTTCAATAATTCACTTCCTGATATCAGTTTAAATTGCGTTCTGTCTTCATAGGGACATGAAAGAATGGGGATCATAAGAAAGAATCAAGGTAATCACTATCTTTGAAATGCTAAGGAAAATAAATAGTAAATTCAGCTTCAAACTGCACTATGAACTAAATTAAGTCATATTATTCAAAAAATCTACTTGTTGAACTTTCATGAAGGTTCAGTAAACTGCCTAATATTTAGTGACCTGATTGCCGGGTGGTTTGGCTATCGCCCATTAGTATTGAGACCTAAAATAAACCTTTTCATTTAAATTCAGACAATTTATATTTGCTTCAATAAAAATACCGAAAATTAAATAAGTGTGTTTCAAAGCTATCCAAATGGGTTGATTTAAATACAAACGAGATCAAGTTATAAAATTAACATTCTTCAACCGTGCTTTTTAGTCCTGAGAAAATGATTTATCATTCAGTAAGATTCCAAGGGCGTTCAGGAGGACCAACAATAAATAATCAACAGCTAAACCAAATCATGGTAAATAATACAACCAGTTTAACAGTTATTGACAACTGACCCTAAATGAATCACCTATGACATTGGGACATGAGTTATTCAGTTAGACTATCCGAGACTTTATCATTTAACTTTTCAGGCTGAGAATGGAGTCTTACAGCAAAGTAATATGTAAAAAGTAATTTCATTTCATGCTAGTTTTTGGAGCTGCAGTAATGACTGATGCTATTTAGTACGAATTATAAGTTCAAGATTTCTTGCTGATTGCTTTCAATCATCCAACATCAATATATATTCTACACTTCGTTAAAACACCTAGACTGGTAACTATATTGCAACATAATGACCAGAATTTAATCAGTACTAAAAACTAGACAAGATTTTGCCTACCATTCAATAATAAACATTGTATTTGAAAAACAATATGGATCGCCAATTGATTTTAACTAATAACAATTATCTTGATTACTGGCTATTTTAAATTCAGTTATAATACGGTCTCTTTTCCAACCTTATTTGTTATCACTTATAGAGACTAACTCCAAGATTGAGTCCTTACACTCTAAAAAAAATAAATGGTCAACAAACTTGTCAACAGAATGCTTCACATCACTGATTATTCGATATAATAATTGAGTTTTTTTGTTTATTTTTTTTGCATTCTAGTGAGGAGATTAACTATATCATTGCATGTGTTGATAATAATGCAGATGGTAAAGTTGATTTTAAAGAATTCACAGAACGTTTCTACAATCCAGCTGAAGATATTGGTTTCAATTTAGCTTTATTATTGACTAATTTGTCCGAACATGTACCATCTGATCCAAGGTAGACTTTCATCAATACATAATAACGTTGTTTTATTCTTTTGAATAATGACATATCATAGTGATTGAAAATGCTCTCTTTCTTTACATTTATAGCTTAAACATATTATTGAACGTAAATGACAAATAAGACTATTCATCTGGTAGACATCATATGATTTGAAGTATCTAGAATTAGGCTATCTGTCGTTTCTACCTGTATCCTAGTGTTTTTGTTTACAAGGGAACATGATTCTTGTACGTATTGTCTCAAACTTCAGTGTGTTGTCCACTGAACTAATGAGTGCTTTTAGCTACTACCTTGTTCAAAGATCATGACATTTTATCCCAAGAGATTGTTGATATTCAAAACTGAATTTTGTTTAGTTGTGGATTCCACTACTTATACAAAAACATCTACCAATAGGTCTATATTGAAGCATCCTTTTTACATTCCCCTATTCCAACAATATCGCTAATGTATTAACTATTAAATCGATATTTGACAAAAAATAAGTGTATTTTATGGAAGAAATAATAATTTTCTATTAGAAAGTTTTAATGTTTTCTAGTTTATTTTTGGTTAACCATATTGATTAAATAGAGAAATATTTAATAACGGTTTAAATTTTCTGAGCTGATAGTAGCATTGATCGGTATGATGGATAAGATTTGTAGTTTGAGTAATGCTTTATGGTTGGCGATGCTACCCAGAACAACGATAAAACATCACAATTAAACCATCTGGTTCATATGATTTAGTATCACCAAAAATAGTTAATCATAAACTGTGAAAAATCATAAAAATATGGGATTATTTCCATGTATATCATATCGCGTTATCCTTCACGTTAATTTTAAGATCATTTGTAATGAGTCCACAACACAGAGTTATCTGTAAGTTATTTTTACTGATGATTTTAATTAGACACAACCGGATTTCTCATATATGATGGCCAAGTTCCATTTTTATCTGGTTTTTTTTTAACTTCACAATAACTACTATGAAGATCATTTTATCTTCTATCCTACAAAAACAAAATTAACCAAGAATATTTCAAGTTCCTTGCGGATACCAGGGATAATGATGGTGATGTATCAGCACATTGTTCATAGTCTTTTCTACACGCTGATATGCGTGACTGTGAGTTTATCCATACACTGAGATGAGTATAGAACTTGATCCCACATTATTCATTAATACGGTTTTCGACCATATGTTAACTTGTTCTGGTTCAGAATGATCAATTACAAGAACGATTTATGGTTTGTAGTTTAAATGATACCTGTTTCTGATAAATAAAATGCTGAGACAGGGATTTATATCTGAAAAACTTCCAAAAATTATCTTAAAACTCTTTAAGTATATATTTGTCTTTGATGCAAAGATAACTTCACTTTCCAAGCCTACACTGTTAGATACACAGTTTAAGTACCGTTCAGTAGTTTCCAACTATAGTGGTCATTAGTTCCATACAATAGTTTTTATGTTGTACGTTCTCAAAATCTTATAATGGTTTGAAAACTTTCTTATAAATGAGCCCAAACTAGCTACCTGAGCGAGAAAACTGAGACTGAAAACAGTTTTATTGACTAAAACCGAATCTAGAATAGATGTAAACTTATTCATAAATGTAGGTCTTTTTCCGTTTGAAAATAAAGCTATATTTTCAGCTAATAGCGTGTCTCTCTCCCCAGAAAATGAAGTCAAATCTTAGCCAATCGCGTACGTTTATCTTTTGGCCTATATTTTAATGACAGAGTATCAGTAGTTATCAAATGAATCATGAAAGAAAATATAAGTAAACGGTTTTTTTTTTAACAAATATGGTAGATTATTTAGCAATTCAATCTCTTTATCTTTAAAGTAAATATATAGTTAATGTTACATTGGTTATTGCGTTATTATTTACTGTTTCATTTCACTCTAGATTGGAAAGATTAATTGACAAAGCTCGTGGAGTATTAGACGTATTCGAGCCACATTTAGGTCGAATAGAAATTACCGGTTCAAATGGTCGAATTGAACGTGTTTACTTCGAAATACGCCAACAGCATATTGATCAATGGGAAGCACCACAAATTAAAGAATCTAAGAGGTCCTTTTTACATTCTGTAGTTGGTGAAAGTGGAGATAAAGAGAAATTAGAGTGTTTTGTTAATTTCTGTGAAGATACCATATTTGAAATGCAACATGCTCAGTCAATTAATGGAGATGAAGCTGACATAGCCTTGAATAGGGTAGGTTGTTTTTTTCTAATTTTTGATACAACCATTACTAGAACTACAAGTAGTACTAACTTATTCTGTAATCCAGCAATGTGCATAGACTTTCAATTATCTTTCCACTTAGTTTCAAGATTCACCAGTAAATACTCTTCAATCACTTCAGCCAGATTAGCTAGTTATTTTGTTTCACATTAAAATTTTAGTTATCATATTATGCGGAGTAATTGAGAGAACATATTTACTGATTAATTTAGATTAGTTATATGCAAGATTCATCTACCCATTTCAGGAAAACATAAATACTGTATTTTATTAAGTGAAGCTAAACATATACTTGTTTAACTAACTTATCTAGACAGACCTAAATCATACACATATAACTTATTAAAATTGATCTTATCAGAAAACGATTTACATTTCCTTCATTACTAAAACATTTATATCACATAAAGCCTCATCAACACAATGTGTCATAAATTATTTAATTAATAGTTGTCCATGAAACGAATATACTAATTAATGATGAGAAAATGTTGGACTGTTTTATTTTTCGTTATGTTACTTCAAAGATTGCTCACGAAAATCCATTTTTTTAAAATCTTAATTTATTCAACTTAAGGTTGCTGCATTTAATCGCTTTTTGGAAATAACTCACCTAGCTTTCATCGGACATACACTATCAGTTATATTTAATTGTGTACGACCATCTCAATTATGTTCTACATGGAATACATTACGTCAAATGACAATACCAGATATCCTGTTGACTATACTCGGTATAATAGTTGGATTAATAATTTGTGTGGGGCGATTTGGATCACATATACTTCATCTTTTATGGTATATTATAGTTGCACTTGCGTCTGATATTAGTCAAAAAAGATCTTTAACACATTGTAATTCAGCTGTACGCGCAATGATTCCATGGTCAATTGATCGAAGTTCATATTCAAAAGTAGCTACAATTACAGGATCTATGCAACATCATTCTAGTGAAATCGATACGGTAAGCATCTTCTATACTTCATGATAATTAATTCTACTACTGCTATATTTCTGAATAGTTGAAAACAATTAACTTGTTAAATTTGTTAATTAAAACACAGTGATTAACTTTAGGCTATGTTTTCGAAAACAGAGTTGAAGCGATAACTATTAAACAACAACTGTATATTTCAAGACAACAAATGAAATCCGCTGAGTTATTTAGGCTAAATAAAGACAATTCATAAAGGAAATTATTTTATTCTACTCCGCCTTTTGCCCGAGCTGTAAATTCCCTTTACTACTTACTCGAATTAATGAGAATGTACAAACTGTTCAAAATCTAAATTTGATAAAGCCCTGTTTTTCAATTATTCTTCAGCCGATGTTAATTTATACTGAGTTCCCTACGCCATGCCCTCTACCAAACTAAATAATAAATTGATCACCAAATAGTATTAACACTTGTCAATGTCGTACGGTTTAATTTACGAACATTCAATGTACAACAACCATTTTCAACACAAATCTAAACTATTCATTACAAGTTACTCATCATCCAGACAGAGTTGATAATGTCATTTACATGTTTCTTCTTGTTCTAACTACCAGTTTCGAAAACGTCAAAATGTTTTTGATGTTATAAAATTTGTCACTTATATATTATTATTAAACTTTTTAAAAATATTTTCTTTAGGAACAGCCATGGTGGTTATTATCAGAAGATCAGCAATTATTAATTGAACGTGCAGATCCAGTACATCTAGCTACCATAAAAGAAGAGTATGCAATAACGAATTCTGCAAAATCTACACATTTATCACATGAAAATGAAAAATCTGGAGGTGATATGTCTCGTAGGTTGTTGGTTAACAGCATTTTTAGTTTTATATAACAGCAAATAAAAGATTTTTCTGTTCCCACGATGTACCACGATAATACAATAATACGGCATGGTACAAAGTGATTATACAATCACTCGACTAGATGTACTAGATGTAGACTGGATCACGTGATAAACAGATAAACGATATACGCTACTCACTAATAAATTTATCAAACCAGAATATAGGTTTTAAAAAATACTTTATTTAACACAGTTACATGCAACCCATGTACTAAAAACCCGAGTAGAAATCGATAATAGAAGGAACTCGCAATATTAAAAATGTCCCAACATTTAACAAAAATGAGTACTTATTTGTTTTCATTTATTATAGGTCAACCATATCTTACTCTAATCAGCCAAATACAGATCAGCATAGCATGACACATTATGGTTTTATAACACCACCGCAAAGTATGGTAATATCGTTTGTTTCAGTTCGTAGTGCAACAAACAGTCATTTAGGGAATGGCTTTCTCCATACTCCAGCTATATAATTTATCCAATGAAAACAAGGTTTCTTAGATTGCTAGTGTTAATTAACAATGTGTGCACAAAATTTCTGATCACTGTAGGCGATACCATAATTTGTTGACGAACTAATCAGATTTAGGATAACGAGTCTTGAATTTTGGCGCGAAATTCATACATCCATTTGGCTAAATGGCGTTTCGGCATTTCAGTTTATGTCATTTTGTGATGAAAACCTTAGATCTAATTTCCAACCCTAACCACCAACCGTAGATCATGATCACAGGTTTATAAACCTCATTTAGCTCTAGTAAGTAGATGGACATTCTCTAGGTTACTTTAGAGTCGCTCAAATTTTGTCCATAAATTACAGTCTTATCGAATTCTGAATTGAGTTCATAAGATTATTGATTGAAGTACTGGCAAGCAAAATTGGTCATCAATAACCGAAAATTCATAAGAGCAACATTTAACTAAAGGTACTAAATTATCTGGATAGTGTAATAGGATGAAGCAGATTATCAGAACTTGGTGATATATTAGCTCAATATATTTCAAACAGTCTGATCATACATACACTTGTTAATGACATTTACATGTGAAAAATTCAAAGGTCAGCTAGACAAGTGGAAGGTAAGAAGAAATAAATATAACAAAGAAAATTATGCTAAAAACAACGTTGAACTCACGACACTGGATAATAAAACATTATTACCACGGTAGGTTTAGTGTATTTGTCTTTGCAACCATTTTGGTACATGTTCAGACACACTAAACAAATCATGACTACTTCTCCTTATATATGTGTTGCCACACACATGTGAATTAATAAAGACAGTGATGTGACTCAATCATGTGCATGTTTTTTGGGTATCTTGGTGAACCATGGTTCTTGGTTTTTTAATAATAGTGATTTTTGCTGCATAGTACGTTTTACTAAAAATTGATTTCAGCCTTTGTTTCAACACGAGACTATTTGACCCACCCCTGAATGATAGAGTGATGTAGAAAATTGTTTTCTATCTTAAAAATGTACTATACTGAAACCTCATTTAATTATGAATTTTATGAGATAATGATTCTCTACTAATATTTCGTTCAGCATCCTCACTTTGCCATCAGATACAATCACCCCTATTAAACAGGCCCTTTATCAAACTCCGTTTAAGTTGAACTGACAAATAACTATAATAACTAAGATGCTAGCCTATTCAAGTTGCCTTTCTAAAAATAGATGGTTTAGTTTAACCATCTTCTTTTCTACTTGTAAAGATATCTAAGAAAGGGAGCTTACTGTTCTCTTCAAATGAAAGACTGATGTAGTTTTGAAAAGTGTCAAGTTTATTTGACAAACAATTCAAATCCTCTTTTATATCACAAATAACTAAGATATCATCCAAAGATATAAAGTGTCATATTTTCAACTAGATCTTTAGATGGATTTCCAACATAAGCCATAATAACGTTAACTAATATTGACTGAGGTTAGCGTGCCTTACGTTTTGTAAAGTGAGGATTTTATCGCCTCAATTCGCTTACTTATTGGACATAATACGTTGTTCAACTATTCATAATACTTTTAGGATTAGTTTACCTAATGAACACGATTGTATTTAAAATTAATTTATTTTGAATGAATTATTCTTCTTTTGAATCAGCTAAACCTTTAGGTAATTGGAAAAACAACAATAATAATATTGCTTCGCCAAATTATTTAACTAGTCAAAATTTGAAAAAAATATCAACATCGTCTTCTGCTCCGCCTGGAACTCGTGTACCTACAAGTGTTATGAATACTTCATCTCCAGCATCACCAACAGTGAATCAGAAACAAGAAGATGAATGTAAAACAAAATTCAACACAAGAAATTATGTCATTTCACTTTTTGCCAGTAATTTTTATCGTTTCAAAATTAGTGCGCTGATATTGGCGTTTGTTATAAATTTCCTCTTATTATTCTCCAAGGTATTGTGTTTTGTGATAACTTTTTTCATTAATAACAATTTTTCCTTTCTATAAAAATGACTGATGACTGAAAATAAGGATGATACATATAGTTAAAAGTCATAAAAAAGGTCTAGATCATTGTAAAGAGTCTCATTTATCCAGTTCAAAGTTGTCAACATTCTTAAAAGGTATAGAATAGTTAATAATGTTTTTCTCTGTGTGTACTTAAGTGTCTGATAGTTAATATTACTCTTGAGCAAAATGTTAATAAAAGTACAACCAGACAGAAAATTAATAAAAGCTAGAATATAAAATAATGATTTGTATTGGTCAACTCAGGATAGCATTAGGAAGTATCAACAGTTCCCCTTAAAAAAATGTTTTACAGAATTACTTTTGATGAATCAAATTTAGGGGAATTTTATGTAATTCTTGAAATTGATGTGATTACGCTGATTCCTAATTTGTTTCGTAAAATACAAAAATTATTAGTAATTCTGATATATTTTCTAAAATATTTTAGAACTACAAACCTAAGTGTAATGATTCTATTATCTTTCAATGTTACTACTAGGAATAAGCTTAATGACTACCAAAACACAGTAAAATATGAACACTAACTACTTAATAAGTAGTTACGAATACTATACATGCTTAGTGGTAAAATTTCTGACTGTGACATTGAGTAGTACGTATTAAAATCTTACAAGAACAGTCCACTTTGTCAGGATTGAGGTAAACTCTACTTCCAACCACCACAAATATAAAGATTTACTCGTTTTCTTCCAAATTTATACAATTTTTTATCATTTCTGTTCATCTTTTTTTCAGGTAAATCAGATCAGTCCAAATGCTTTAGGTGATGAAGATGCTATTGGTAATGAGTTAGGTGGAAATGATAGCATTGATACTGATGCTGATGAAGAGTTAGTTGAATGGGTTTCATCAGGCGATACTTCTTCATATATTGGTCCGCTCATAGCTACACTTGCTGCCATCCATTCTATACTATCGTTTAGTACACTTGTGGCATATTATTATTTAAAGGTGATTTATCAAATATTGCTTTATAGCTAATATATTTAGCTTATGATTTTTTAGATATCCATAATTGATTGAATAATTCTCTAGAAGCTGGGAAAAAAGCTAAAAAGTACTTTAATCAATTAACATTTTTGTAAACTTAGAAAACAGTAGACACTGATTATGCTGCTAATGCAACTAATTATGAACTGACAACCCGTTTTTGTATCTTTTCAACACGGTTCAAACTACTAGGGTTATTCATAAACTTGTGAACACTTTTCATTCTTTGTAAAATAGGTGTTTATGAAAGTAGCACTTGTTTCCTATTCCTATCTACTGTTTTCGTTCAGAGTTGAAAAATCAAAGATTATTTGAGTCCAGTTTTTGTAGTATTTAGTATATTGCACGTATTATTTTATAGAATAAAAATGTATTATCACTTACCGACTGGATAATTTTATGATCGTTTACACTAAATATTGATAATAAAACTGTGTTGTTGACAGCTACTACAACTCAGATCATTCTATGACGACTATGAAAATTGCAATATTAAACCGATTTCCACAAAAATACTTTTTCAATACTCTAATCGTAAGCTATACTGTTATACTTGAAAGTCCTAGTTCCTTCTTTCTACTGAGGTCATTGTCGTGTTCTACTGATGAATCATATACCAGGCAAAAATAGTTATTCAGAGCTTTCTGTTTCTTAATAGTATATAAGTTAGTGTCAGTCCGTGACAAAAACTAACTAAAAATTAAATCACTCTCTAATAAGCCCTTTTAACTACTAACATAAATATGACGAGAATAATATACAAGTTGAAAAAATATTTTAATTCATGCACATTGTTAACATAAGCATAACTTTTGAATTATAACTAACTAACGTGTTATATGTGTATCTGACTCAGATATCTCAAAATCACTTGAGTTTAAAGAACATATATCCTAGAAATACATTCACAAAATTTCGATAAGATAAAGAAATATTTTCTATTATTTTTTGATCCAGTCGATGCCACGTTGTTTGAACCAAGCATGAATATATAGAATAAAACTATTATGACTCATTACAAATTTGTTCAGTTCAAATTAAGCTTCTAGTAGAACGATGAATTTAACACCGTACATTTGTATCACTTAGATGGACATTGAAAGTTTCAACAATTATGTAAGACCACTATAATAATTGATCTCATGTCCTAGTAAAAAACATTTAAATTGTGAAGTCCGTTATGTCTTTCTATTACCAACTCACTGTCTTGATCATTGCTGATGAACTTATTTTGAGGAAGTCGTTTATTACATGAGACGATAGGAAATTACTTCATATTGAGTTTATTGTCTGAAACAACAAAGCACCTGAATAGCTATGCCTCTGAGTTATTTAAGTAAATTATTGAACAATGGAAACAAATGAAAAGGGAAGGTATTCCGAAAATAAAATTTTTAAAACCTCAATTCTTGCATAGATTAAAGAAACGATACATCCATCAGGTGAATAGCCTATAGAATATACAGTTTCGAATGGTAGTTCTATTTTTGTTTAAATCTGTTCAACTTATCTACACGCCAATCTATGCACTAAACCGTTACTCAAAAATACTCAATGTATGTACTGTACTAGTTGTAAGAAGTGCTTCTCCACATCTTTACAGATAATTAATATAAAAAAAGTTATTTTCCATTTTTCCTTATTTATCACTTTTTCATTATTTTTTCCAAAGGTTCCACTAGTAATATTTAAACGTGAAAAAGAAATTTGTAGAATGCTTGAATTCGAAGGCATGTGGATCTCTTCCCAACCGGCTGAAGATAATTTACGTGCACATTGGGATAAATTGGTCTTATCAACACCATCATTTCCACAAATGTATTGGGATAAATTTGTTAAAAAGAAAGTTCGTAATAAATATTCCATTCAATATGATTATGATGAAATTACAAGACTTTTAGGTATGGATAAAATTAGTTCTGATACCGAAACTGGTGGGACTAGTCTGTCGAAATTGTAAGTCTCTTTTCTGTTAAGAAATATTAGTAGAAATAGCCTCATCCTTCTATGAATTATGGTATTATTGATTGATAAAAGTTATGCACTTAGTTTCATTTAACAAGTTGGAGATTAATTATTATTTATAGTTGGACCTAACCAGTGTTGTATTGGTTGATAAGTTACAGACAATGATTTCTCCAGAAAATAATTTAAGGTTGAATTTTGGCTGTTAGATAGAATTTAGATGATTTATCTACATTGTAATGACCTCTAAAGCACTTGAAACATCAATTAAATTTAAAACTGTATTGTGAAAAGCAACTTATTGATACGCAATATTATATGAACTTATCTGACTTATTCATAAGTAATAGTAAGGTTATTGGTTGTACTGTATGGATGCTTGTCTGTCTCTATTTGTCTTTATTACTCATCGTCTATTTTTATATATAAGATGATTTATACTTAAACATTATAGATAGATTGGAAATTTCTCTCTGATCTGCACTTATCTCTTTTCTTCTGTTCGCCTAAATAAATACATGAAATGTAGGTTTCCGAAAATTTTTTATATCCAACTTATTTTATTCCATTAGAATTAACGTGAATTATGCAAAAATGTTTGTACGAAATTAGTTAATACATGATTTTATCAGTCATCTTATGAAGTTAGATAAAGTAACTAGAGTGGTAAATCCTACGGTTATAAAACCACTTTTATTTTGTCATTCTTAGCACCTACCACTTGCAAATGATGAAAATATCTAATTGCCCTGACGAAAATGAAATTCACTTTACTGTATGCTTCAACTAAATGAAAATAGACTGCACATCTTTAAGGTTACAGTTGTATTTTCCAGTAGATATTTATCAGCAGAATGTAATAATAATTCAACTGATGGCTTGTATTAAATATGTGTAACATTTAATATCATGTAATTAGATTTTTCACTTAGCGTGGGGATCTTACTTCATCAGTTAGCAGTTTGAAGTACAATACAGGTTGTAAATCAATCATCTTTTGAAAACGTACATTATTAAGACAGGGATTTCAATATCCAGAATATAAATATGTTTTTACCAGTTTCGTATAGTGTTTACTTTATTTATTCACATGCTTATAAATCTTATTACCAGGCATCCCGAGTAGCCTTCAATCTCAATTTGTATTACATGAGAAATAACATCTTTATGGAGTTTAGTGTAAGGTGCCGAGTTTTTTCATACAAAGAACTATCTAATTTTCTTTCAACTTCCTTTTCTTTCATTTAATAACTCACACTTTTCGTAATTATTTTTATTTTTATCTATATATTAGTGCTGTAAGTGGATAGTATTTTACGCAAATAAGTGTATATTTTATTGAGATGATGCACCTACCTAATGTAGATAACCATTGAAAGCGATGAAACACCGGACGGCCGTTTCGTCGTAGCATGCGACTCAGCAGTGCGTACCCACGATCCCACCGGCAATCAAACCTACAGACTTCAGGTCTTGCATCTAGAGCTCAACGTTTATACCACGAAGCTGACTTCTGGCGAAGCACGTATTTAATTCTAATCAATTCGCGATATCGCTCATTACTCAGGAGTTCTGTACTGTTGTAGCAGCTTCGCATAGTGTATTACTAAATGCGTCTTTGAGATTTTTATTATGCATTTTTATTGGTTGTATGTATCATGAACAATTGACAGCATTCTGAACTATTCATTTCGATTGTTTATTCGCTTGTGAACATCATTCTGTGGTTAGAAATAACAATTTCTAATAACACCACGTGTTAACGTTTTATTATTGCGTATTCCGTATTCTTGGTTTATCGCTATCTAACGAGACACCCATGATAAAGGATTATCGTACTATATTAGTAGTCAGACATACTTGACATGACTACGAAATTAAGATGAAAAAGCTAGCAAGTACTTCCTGGTTTTCAATAGTTGTCTAACTTAGGTCCGTTTGTAATCTCAGTAGCACTGAATAATCGCCGCAAGCCCCTATGCCGATAAATATGTATTTCTTGGTCCTTTTTTCCATTATATTTTAGTTTCGGAGGTATTGATATACAATATTTGGTTTGGAAATGGGGAGTCGTTTTTACAGATATTGTAAGTTTTCATGCATGTATTTGTATAGTTATGTTTAAATAAATAAACGCTTTTAACATATTCATGTGACGGGTAAAAATAAATTCATGTTTGTTTCGTCATGTAACAACTGAAGTAATATTTCTATAATTTGTAGAATAGATGGATTCGTGGTCAACAGTGGAGTCTAGGACTACCGTTTCATCTTATTTAGGACTCGTTAGCCGGATGACTACATCGGATCTCGAATCCAATATCTTTCACTTCAAAAACCTAATAAATCATACACGGAGTTATTGAATCCAGATAGCCACTAATTTGTGCGATGGGTATAACATTAATATTATCACTAAAAAAAACTTGTGAAAAGTGGCTATATCAGAGCAGTTAGTGTGGGATGAATATATGTCAATAAATATTAACCTATGAATTACATAATTGTCGTGATTAATAAGTACTGTTTTATTATTTCTTTGGTTATCACTTAGATAAATTCTTTATCCTTGTTAGTTATCATGTTACGTAGGTTATTAAGTAAATCTAATGAATAGCTTATCACAAAATGTGTAATATCCAAGCGATCACTACGATTATTTATTTATTTATTTGTGTCGATTGTAAGATTGCTAGAAAAATTGATTTTTATTAAGAGACTTCAAGCAACGTTTGTTTTACTAATACGTGAGATCATCTGAAAAGTCACTACAAGAAAAGGAGAACATGTTAACTGTTTCTCATTATAGTTCACGTACTCCTCAACAGTATGAAAAAATAATTTAATGCGAGATCAAATTTGTAACATCTATGTCTTTCAGTAAATATTTTTATTTCAGTGATGTCGGCTCTAATATTTATATATATCTATGCTATAATTTGAAGATACACTAAATCATGTGACCATATGCACTGTAGTTCAATTGTATAAGCAAGAATCAGGCATCAATATTCAATAGTAAAGTGACGCAAATAAATAGTCGGAAGAAGTCTTTTAAAATGTAAACTTATTTAATGAAATACGACGCATAATATGCCTATTTGTTCTCCTCACTGACTTAGATTGTTCAAATATATCAATTTATACTCCTGTTGTATTATCACCATATATTTCATTTCATGATAATGAATTGATTTAATTCAACTCAGTGCGACTCTTTGAAACGTTTTTTTCCATTCTTAATAGTCTTTCCTGTATTTGGCGGTTTATTTTGCTGCATCGGCTTTTGGAAATTTAAATTACTTCCTTTATGCTTGCCATTTACTCGATGTGGCTGTTTCATTCAAAACGCTCAGGACAATAATTCAATCAGTTACACATAATGGAAAACAAGCAAGTTTATATATACATATATATTTATATTAGGGCTAACAATCTAAAGTCCATCCGTCATGGAGAACTACAAATTACATGATCTCTATAACCCCGTATATTAACAATTATTAATAATAAAAAAAGTTCATTGAGTTGTCACCATTATTATATGCATCTTATCAATAATCCAGTAGCTAAATTTACTAAACTAAACACTCATTAAAGAAGTGTCAAGTGAATTGTTAAAACAAAATTCAATCTCAAGACATAGGTGCACACATACACTTTCCCTTGTGATCATTGAAACACGCCATCCAATTTTGACTTTAATGTAAATTATATTCCTAAACTTTTATAAATACAAATACAGAATTTGCCAGGATTTTCTAGGAATTGCTCAAAATAGCTTTATTTATTTATTCAATAAAACTATACTACAACAACGACCCTAAGAGATTTTAGGAGTGATCTTGAAATTAATCAACAAGAATGCAGCTCCTTATAAGAGATCTAAAATATTTTAAAAAATGATAAAATTACCGAGGATTAGCAGATTAAAAATTATTGATGAATTTGTTATTGCTAAATATTGATAATTTAGTATGAAGTTCATAGTTTGTAGTCAGGATAGACCATCATTCTTAGCCCTAGATCTTTCGAAACTTAACTCTCAACACTAAAACTCCTCAACCCTAGCTGCTAACCTTGAAACAACTAGACACTAACTTCTCACCTAAAATCTCCTAGACCTTGACTCCAAACCCTATAACGTTTTAACTCTAACTCCTAACATGAATACTACAAAACGCTGGCTTCCAATCGTAATACTCCTAACCTTAGCATTCCTAGCTCAAACATTCTAACCTTTAAAGTTCATTCCACGAGAAAACGATCACCCATCCTTTCAAAGTGTGAAATCTAATAAAAATCATAAGTTTTAGCAATAAAATGAATTCAACAAAATGAGAACTCTTCGCTGCACTAATCTTTCTTATTCAATAAAATATCCTCAATAGCCTTTTACATTTGCGCATCAGCTAGCTTAATTTTGATTGGTCTCTCAAAGCTGTTGGTTTATTATAGTTTTACCACTTATTCAAATAATGTAAACAATTACAATAAGATAATGAAGTTTGAAGCCGGAGTATTCGTAGTCGATTGTTTTTAGTGATTTTATGTTCTCTGAGCTTCCTGTACATAGTTAAGCGCTGAAGATGTTCAGAATAAAAATGAAAACTCTGAAATTAATCTATCTAGCTCAGATAGTACAACATGACCAACAGCATCGACTCAAGCGACAAACCTTCTCTATCATTTCAGAAGTTAACTTTAAACGATTTAATTTTAGTAAAGAAATAAAATAGATAATATTCTGTATACGTTCATGCTACAACAATTTCTACATTTTCATTTTGTCATATCTACTTCATTTTTCCTTTTCTCAAACCATTCGAACAGCTTGTATTAACAGTTATGTTGACATCGATTGTTATTTATTTATACACTGTGGTCGCCTTTAATTTCTTCCGTAAATTCTATGTGAAAGATAATGATGGTGTGCCTGATCCAAAATGTAATGATATGAAAACTGTAAGTTCCTTTTTTTGATCATATTTCATACTATGATTAATAATCAACGTCAATTTATATGACTAGTGAATACATGTTTATAATAAATGGTTTTATAGGTATACTGATATGTATCTAATAACAAATATTGTGCACAAACGGATATTTCCTTATGCATAATATGTTCAATAAATAACCAGACTGAGCTACGAAACGTTTTGGTGTAACTTACAAAGAAGCCCAAGAAAGTTACTGAATGCAAAATTCTGTTTATGGTGGAAACGCGTTAAGAAAATAGCTCATTTCAAGTGAATCAAATGTTTCAGTGGTTGCTATGAAATTACAATAATGATGCAAGGCCATAAAGACTTTCAAAGTCTGTGTCGAAAAAATATCGAACGTGTGAAGTCTGTTCAGCTGATTGTTCATGAAATGAATTAGTGGAAATTGTTATAGCGTATCTTCAATTACATTTTTACTGGTAGTAATCAGCTAAAAAATAATACTTATAATCCCCTTGAATTTCAGTACTTCTAATCAGACCAAAAACGATTTCTACATAGATGAGCAGTATATATTGTGTAATCCTAAATGACAAAGTACAAATGATGGCTTTATATTTACATATATCTTTTTTCCTTAAATTTCAGTGTTTCATATTTCACTTGCATACTGGATTAAGAGCTGGTGGTGGAATTGGGGATGAAATTGAAGCACCTGACGGTGATGAGTCAGAAAATTATCGAATCTTATTCGATTTGACCTTTTTCTTCTTTGTTATCATTATTCTGTTGGCTATTATCCAAGGTAATTTTAATAGAGAAGGAACAAGATGAAATTGTTTCGCATTAAAAAAATATTAGGGATGATGCCTGTATAGTTACTGAATGTGTGGTAGATAGAGATACAAGTGAAAAATATAAACAGAGCATTGTATTACTGTTATTTTAGGTTTGTGAAGATTTTTCATCTTAAAGACATTTTTATCGCTGCCTGACGTTAGCTTGCGAATTATTGAAAACAAAGGAGTATTAGAAAATTATTACCTTCCAGTATGCAATTCTTCGCAACGCACATTCCCCCCCCCCCAAAAAAAAAGACTGAACCCACAACATTCAGAACTCATGGCTAGGACATCACTTTAATTTAGTGATTCACCGAATCAACTCCAGTCAGTTTGAGAGAACTGAAAGTTTAGGATTCCATCTCTAGTTTGATCGTGTTTATGCACTCTAGAGAAATCCCATATTCGACCAAAATAGTTTTTCATTGCTCCCTGGTTTTTAATGAAACTGCTAATTGATGTTAGTCTGTGTCGAAAACCACCCATAAGCTAATTAAGCTTCTTACGCCTACCAACTAAAATTATCTACTGTTTTAAACAAGAAATGTATTTTTTTCATTTAAATATATTATTCACATATATTTTAAAAAGTCTGGCTGGTTTGATTTATTATTAAAGGAACGTCGTTTTATTAATTACTTGTATTATAACCGATTAATAAATGTAATTTTAGCTAAGCAAGCATAAAAATGTATCCACTGGTTGAAAATGTATTTCAACACATTGAATTGGCATGAAAGAATAGTAAGGTGAAGATATAGGTAGAAAGCTTAGAAAGCATATCCGGGTTATCCGATCTTGCGTATCTGCATGAAACAAGCATGATAAACGCATGCTGTGCCAACCGTGATACAGGACAAAACCAATAAAGGATTTTTTGGTAACACCGAGTGACAAAATACTCTTTGGATAGGAGGATATGATCATCGCTCTCATCAAAACACTTACTAATTAACCGATATAAAGTATTTTCATCTTCGAAGTCATTCGTTAGTTGAAAATGGATGCCAAACGAATGGCCGAAAAAATCCAGAGCTATCAATTAAAACCTGATGGTTGAGCGGTCTACTATGTCTCGTAGTAACTATTTACAGTCCACCGAAGGTGTGAAATTCCACCCTCAAGTCGACTCCTAAAATATATATGCGTCAAACACCAAGGCAAACCCTCACTTTCCTTTTTTGTACACCAGTTTCTCACGTATATATACGGTTAAATCTTCTTGGGAAAACTGTAAATCCAAGTAGAGCAATAGAAATTTAAATTCAACAGGGAATAATGACGATACAGGAATTCAGAAGTCATCAAGGATTTAAATATCTTATACACGACCATAGGGTCGTTGAATTAGCTTCGTAAGCTTTTTTCCCTAGAAATGTATTCAGTAGTGTATGTAAATTGAAAAAAATCAAAATAGATGACATTATGTTTCGGATCACTATTATGTTATCTGTAATAATAATAAGAACCACCGTCGAACTTATAATTCTCACCTGTTGATTGTGCTTTTGTTGAATATTTTCTGATAAAACCTACTGTGCTCTATACTTTATATATTTAGGTCTCATCATTGATGCCTTTGGTGATTTAAGAGATCAGTTAGAACAGGTAAAAGAAGACCTTGAATCGAAATGTTTCATATGTGGTATTGGCAAAGAATACTTCGATAAAATACCACATGGTTTTGAACAACATGTTGAAAAAGAACATAATTTTGCAAATTACATGTAAGTTGATTGTACAAAAAGCAAAATAACAAACATCTGGATTAAGATTATACAAAACAAAGTTATTTTTTGTTGAAATAAATTCTTTCGAAATTAAGAAAGTTAGTATGGTTATTAATTGTATTATTGAACTACTTATTAGTAGCCAAATTAAATAACAGAAATTTACAAATATGCACTAGACCCTTGTTGTTTACATTAGGACAAACAGGTTACTAGGATAAGATGTGATTTATTGGAAAATACAATTAAAAAATCAGAATTTTCTTAACGTATTTTTCGTATTATAACGTGAAGTGGACCTTAAATAATAAAATTTATTTGTGTATGACATTTTTAATTCTTCACTGGTAAGTTTCGAAATTCCTTCCTAGGATTTAGGACAGACGACAGTTTCTCATCATGATGAATTTCCCATCCCTGTAATATATTTGTGCACTCCTCTAAACTTTAACACATTTTCAGTTGCCTCAGGACTAGAAAGTCTCTTCCTAGACGTCACATGTTACTTCTGTGTTCAAGGAATACGAGTTTTATCTGAATTTTGTAGGTTCTTATTATTGAATCTCTTTAATAATCATCAAGATATCCAAGGCAAATTTTTCACACAGGGTATTGAGGCTTCTGTACGGATATTTCTGAGTTCAACATTGTATTGGTGAATTCAAATGAATCTACAAGATTGTGTTTGCTTCTTAATACACAATATCTACTGCGCAGTACATATCAGAAGCGCCTGTTTATTTAATTCTGAAACAATAGGTTGTTTACAATTAAGGATTAAGAATTGAAAATTGGTTGATTGGGTAATAAATCTTCGTCAACTGAGTTGGCTGGGACATATATTACGTAAGCCCAGCCACCGCCTACATAGACAGATGTCTGGTGGAGACGTATGCTGAAAGAAGACTAGCAGCGACCAAATCAAAACTTGGTATCAATCTGTCAAATCACCGGAAGCTACACTTCGTTAACAGTGGGGATATAGACTACTTGGTTGATATCCCCATTAATACCATACTCAGTAGTTGAAAATCTTGGATGTCACTGCTTGGAACAGATTGCGGTAATGTAGATGCATTCATGCTTCGTCTTCCCCTAGAACCTGATTTCCGAAATATTTCCATACTTCTTTTTTCTATACCTAATTTTCCATTGTACTTCTGATACTGTTATTATTTCTACTACTGTAGGATTTGTCTTAAATATTTCATCTTGCTGTGTTAAATTGACGTTGTAACTTAAACCGGCACAAATATATGTCAAGTTCTACGTTGCATATGGCTGACTGTTTAAAGAGTTGAATGACAATTTTACTTCCATTCTCGAAATATTATTCTGACTTTTAAGACTAACTGAATGTATAACCAATTTACATGATCTTGATATTGACACTTTTGCTTCATAATTTTGTATTTACTATAAATAGGAAGTGTTCGCTTTTAATTGATGATGAATTGGTAAATTATTGGCATTTAAGTTTAAAAATAGAGTAAGTTTATCGCTCGTACTGCAAACAATATGATGGTTTATGCCAGTAGACATGTTTGGATAGTTTATTTGTGACATGTATACTACACAGTGAAACAGCTAATTAAAATTTTCAAATACTAGATAACTGCTAACTTGTTATTTAAGTTTTATTGTAACAGTTGTCCTACATGATAAAAGATAATTCCTGTAATTTTCATCAGTAATTAGTAAATCTAATATTTAAAATATTTTCTTTGCTATCCATTTCCTTTTGAAGGTACTTTCTAATGCATATAATCAATAAGCCGGATACAGAATACACTGGCCAAGTTAGTAAAACTATTTAACTTGTTTTATTGTTAAGATAATCCATTGATTCTAAATTTAATTAGTTTTAATTTTAAGGTAGTTTCCGCCACGAATTAATATAAAGAAGATCCATTGAAAACTAGAAGGTAATGAACAGTTTTTTCATTTTAGTCCGGATTTTTCGTGAATAGATATTGACGATCTGATTCATTATCGACCGTAGAATCTTCAGATCGTTTAGACAACATGGCACCTCAAGAATATTGAGTTGGAACCTAGTGGTTTATAACATCAATATTAGTTAAACGTTGACAGAGTGCGACGAGGATTTAGCATCATTATTTAGCAACTTCTCTTTGCTCAAGAAGATGGAGAATTACCGGTTACGACTTGGTGAACTAAAAATAGCATAATTACCAAGAAACCTCAAGGTCATGACTCTGAGCCATTCGAAGTTATAAGTGTGTACAGCTGTTAGGCTTCAGAATAAAATGAGACATTTGTCCATGGACTTCTGATTATCAACGGTTCTCCAACTGAAGTTAGTCCGTGAGGAAGAAAGATAATCTTCAAATCGAACTAATTTTCACAAACTTGATGACTTTCAGATTTTATAATTTCAAGTGTGTAAGCAATTTGCCTTTGAAATATGTGCTGAAGTATTCATTTGGTATACTTTGCACTGGGTAGATATTCTGCTGCATGTAATGTTTTGTTTACCTAAATCTTATGGAACAATATAGTTAAAATGTGAAAAAAACGCAATGAACGATATAACATATACCGTGTCAATCATATGGTCCTATTTAAATTTCATCGGTGAAGTAAAACGACGAATTAAATTTATGCCATTTTACATGACTAAATTAATTCAGTTAATTGTAATTAGGCGGAAATAACGATTATCATTACTATTATTATATTTATTATTATTATAAACACTGATGTACAAGGCATTTCGCAGAGTGAACAAACAGTTCTTGCAAATAAGGTGAGATTGCTACTAAGAAATGGCTGCATCTAGTTTTTTTTCACCAGCTTACTTTCGAGTGAATGTTACCTCAAAAAATTAGTTTGAAGAGTCCATTCTGAAAAGTGATTAATTCGTCTGTCTTACAAATAAGTATCATTGTTAGTTTTTTTGTTGATTAATATTTATTAAGTTATCACTTCACTAACACCTGTCTTAAGAGAATTTTCACTGAGGCTTGCTGATATTGCAAACAAACCTATGGCAGATATCCATGGAAAACCAGGAAGCACTGGATAGCTGTTTCGTCCTATTACGGGACTCCTCCACAGTTCACATTCACAATCCAACAAGCCGTCGAGCCCAGAACCTTAGGTCTCGCGAAGAACCTTTGATATCTAGAACACTGAGCCTGAATTTAACTGTGAAAATGTCTAACTTCAACCAGTTTGCAATACTGTCTAATCGTTTTCCATTGTCTTAACTTGAGTTGTGATATTAATAGCATTCAATAACCCCTCAAACCACTTATACTGTGAGTTAGTGGGCTTGACCAAGAAAATTAAACAAATGAATTAGTTCTACTTAGTGAGTTTTGGTCATTTTAAACGGGTAATTTAACCGTAAAGCTTTGATTGCTATGTTGAGCAACACTCACAGTTTAATCATCCAACAAACGGGATGTGATTACCTAAATCCGATCACCTAAATAATAAATTTCTTCTATCACTTCAAAATTAATCTTATTCTAGCCATTAAGTTTAGTTAATTATATTTTTATAAGTTTTAGAAAGGTGCATCTGTAGTTATACATCAACATTAGATTATTTTCCCAATAAATAAAATCTGCCCTGACTTTTTTACTATTACCACTGCATTCTTTTCTTATCTAGGAAACATATGTTTGGGAGTTGTATCAGCAAAGATGTTGGGATTTCTTTCCTATTGGTGATTGTTTTAGAAAACAATATGAAGAAGAATTACAACCGAAATAATTAATAATGGGTACGCACTCTATGAAATGAACTAAAAAATCAGATAACTCACTAGTAGACAATGAAAATTATCTCCTTTCTCTCTAGGTTTTCGTTATGCATTTATTGTTTAATAATACCCATTTAAATGTTGTTATTTTGTCGCTTTTATTCATTGATTTCGTTTTCGTCGATAAAATGACAAAATTAATCCTAATTCTAACAAGTTGAACACTCATGAGGATAGCATCACAATGTCCATCTGAAGAAACCCAATCAAAACGTTATCCTAACAAGTAATACTGTTTGTTTTTTGTTTATTGCTTTCTCTCTTTCTGTCAGTCTAGTTATCCATTTTTTCCCAGTCTCCTAAATTCTAATCAGTTTTGACCATGTCGATCTACAGAACTGAAAAGTCTGAAATAATAACAACAAGTAAAAAAGTACCAAGTAAAATGGAAGATAGACTGCAACAAAAATTTATACAATATCATACTCAAACTATTGTTGAACACCAGTATTAATTTAGGATCAACATAAATGCCTATTAGTTCCCTTGCATGCGATAATTTTAAAATGCTATAAATATGTTGAAAGATACATTGTGTTAATTTTAATTATGTTGCAAATAGAAAATAGCTTTTCGTCTACTTTTTGACTTTTTAATGGTGAGTAACTTATTAGAACGTTCCATTATTAAATTTAGATTATGATAATGAATAAAACTAAATTTTATGATTTTACTTAGTGAGTTGACAACGGATAAACCGTCAATAAGATGTAGGTTAAACTATGCATATTGGTACCCATATACTAATAAGTAGGCAGTAAATTAGAATAGATAGATGTTCTGTATTGAAACACGTTTTTCTAGTAAATACTCTTTTTTATTACAGCATTTTGACAATCCAAACAGAATAATGGGAATTTACTTTCGTTCGTGGATACCTATTAGTTACCTTGATGAAAATGTTAAAGAATATACAGTAGATGATGTGATTCTATCTAAGCTAATGACGATACTGGCATAAAATCAATTACCGTCTATGTTAGCGATCGATCGTTTATGCTGAATTCTCTTGTCTCTCGAATTATTAATAAGAACAGTAAAAATCCACCCAAATATCTGTTATTCAAACCTGGAAACTCACGTGATGAAAAGATAAAATACAACATCACGTCATACCATAAGTACTAAACTTCAAATATATGCAGAATTATTACATTTTCTGTACAAAAATAAACAACAGGTTTTCAAACAAAGGTATAACAACACTTTATAAGTTATAGAGAAGCTTGTAAATTAAAGTACCATAAACCTATAGTTTAACAAATAAACATCGAGAATGTTTACCGATTCATCAAAAATAGGTCTCAAAGTGTTGAACTTAGGAGATTAATCGTGTTACTCGATACTTTAAAGCAATCCGATTTCCACAGCCCAAAATAAAAACACGAAGACAAGTGCATGAGAAAATTTGACTAACCATTCAAAATGCGTTAACTTTTAGCCCCAAAATACATTCATTGATATTACGATTTCGCATAGACCTGGTAGTCAGTTAATAATCATTGTATGTAGAGGAAATACACAGAATTACTACAAAACACATTCTGTATGTTTTTTCAAACAAAGTTCACAGTTTAAAACAATTAGTCTTTTTGATAAATTTCGATAATGATAATCTTCGTCTTCTAATATCATCACTACACAACTACATATTGTCTTATAAACCTATAATTTGACACTACTTTGTTGAGGCTTTTGATGAATACAACAGGATAAAAAATTCTGACAAATGAACCAAATTTTATATATCAGCATTTCCATGTTAGACGCGACCTGAGTTTTTTTATGGGCGCGTAATATGGGTTAGAGTCACTTATACATGTTTAGATATTTTTTGACTATTCTTTAATGGCAAGGTAATGCATTTACACACTGTAGCATACATTCTGTTATACTAAGAACAGTTTTTTATGCTAGGTGCTTACGTGATAATATCATCATCAGTGGTGATAACAACTTTTTCGTAGTGGTCAAGTAACTCAGAAACAAATTGTTTTAAAAGAACAAAGGTGCACTGAAAACAAACGCTGCACGCAGTAATTGGCACATCTAAAAAGTCTTAAACATCGACCTACTCAAGACAAACCATTCTGTAAGCCATGAAAGTTGATGCTAACCTTATTGGCTTTACTTTACCCTACATGAGGGCGCTTGGTCAAGCATCCGGATCAAATTGCGATTAAGTGCAAGATTCTAAGTGTCCCCAACAACCAGTCAGCCCAAGCTATATGTTTCATGACGCATCGACTGTTTTCCACATATATCTTTTATTCATGATTTCCGATTTGACTATACTAAGAAACCTTAGTTACAAAGGTGCTAAGGACAATAGCAAGGTCAAACTCTAAGCATTTATAAAATCTTTGGCTTATTAAAGAACTTGAAAGTTTGGCTCTAAGTCGATGTTCCTAGAAAACCAAAGTATACAGACGAAAATTTTTGTGCTTTGTAATTGTAAAGCTAGATTTGATTAGATAATATTTGTGCCAGTTCTAATTTTATAACTTAGTTTATTACACTTTGGTTTTCTGGTGACAAGCTTTTTTATTTTTTAATAAAACACTTTTATCCTTAACTTTTAGCGTTTCAAATATAATCATATTGCACTTAGTATATTTGTTTATAGGCGTAACATAAGTGAAGATAGCTTATCACGATTACTACGTGATATCCGTTATTGGTTAAGAGAAAATATATTATCTTCATGTTTTCGCCTTCTTCATTAGCAGTCATGAGAATAGCCTGATATTGCTACAGTGTTTTGCAATTTTGAGACCAATATTGACTTCATGAGACTTTTCACTATCCTAGAATTACAGGGATTGTGAGAAATACATTTTATTCAAACGACTTTGTTCAACAATCTGTCTGGCGTAATATTATTGCTTTTTTGAACTAAACAGAGTTGATTTTTAACCCTTCACTTTTGTAAATAACCTCATTTCACACTTAGTGCTACTCAGATTATTACGCCTATGGCTACTTTTTATGTCAGTATCATTACTTTTTTTATTGAAACAGAGTAGTCATATGTTTAATTTAGTCCTTAGGTTTGATCATCGCAGTTCTTACCCAATGCCATACTTTTCTAGGAACCAAAAGTCAATAAGCCACTCGTTACCAGTGTTTTATTTCTTGTTTCAAGGGGTTATTTACACAAACATTTGATGAAATATCAAAATAAATACGGTCAAGGTTGATATGAAGTAGGTAACGTTTTGTTTTGAAAACTTTCAAAAACATAAAAAATGATCTACATTTCCACTCCAAACTTATCAAAATTTCTTGTTACGACATTCAAATCGAGTGTTATGTAACCCATACTTTCTGTTTGGAGCAAAAATCTATCAGTTGGGTCGTAGACAATATCTGGTCTGCGAAGACGTGGACCACCTCCAACCAGCCTTGACACTAAAGTGTCCAAAATAGAACCTACCGGTCTCCATGTAGGAACCGTTACCTTTTAAGTGTTATTTAAAAAGTACGAATAACCTGATGATTTCCAGGAGATGTTGGAATGTGACAGAAACCGTACCCAAAAAGCTCGTTTTTACCAACCCAATCATGATGCCAAACCTGAAAATGAAGCTTGGGCCAACCTAACAATGAAACGTAATAAATTCATTTTACCTTGCAAACCTTTCGTAGCGAAATGAAGATCAATGGGATGGCAAAAATATGCTTTTTCGCCAACCAATGGACAGTCAACTTGTGTCTCTCCTTCAGCTAAACCTTCAAGTAACCTCCACGCACAACCTTACAAAATATTAGCCATCACAAATTCATACCAGCTTTAAGACCCCATTTGCAGAATAAATCTTTCTCAGGGAACCCATAAGCACACAAAATTTGACCAAAACAATGCAATTCTGCCATCTGAATTGTGTACTATTAGGTTCGATAAGATGGTAAGAGTTGCAACGATAATTAGCCTTTTTATGAGATTCAGATATGAAGTGTGTCACTTTTAGCTTGGAAGTAAGTTGGGTGCTGATGGATGATGCAAGGAAATCTAAACCCAGGAAGGATAAAAGAAAAATGAACCAATTACTTAGTGACAACTGGTAGTAAAATTAAATTTACTAATATAAGCAACCGAAGACAGATAGGAATAAAACGAGTACAGGTTTAAGACAATCTGAAAGCCGAAAATATAGGCTAGTGAAATAGAATTCCGAACGAGCTCCAACTGACAAATTTAAAAGATGTCCTAACAACTAGTATCGTTAGTGAGTTAGTAAAACTGATAGGTTTCTGTAATTCAAGAGTTCCAATGACAAGCGAAATTCAAACCTTTATTTTTGAGTACGTTTAGAGAACATGAAAAATTAAAAAATACAAATAGCATTCTTTATTCTCTTCATACCTCAAACATCCGAAGATTAGAATTCGTATTTGGTTTCTTCTAGCAATTAAACAGCGAGAAGAAATGGGTTAATAACAGAAGTAATAGAAACGTGTTATATGCAGTAAATCCCCTCCATATATAAGATAGTGAAAATATAACTGAACCTGCTTTTGAAAGATTCACCTGATGCTACCATAATCGCTAACCAACGAGGTTTTCATAAATTACTAGCGTGAATATTTAAAATGTTTGTACGAATATCTGTGTGAGCTTAATTTTGTTTCACTATGAATGGGTAATATTTTAGATGTATTTTATTGCTAAACAACACCTGTAATACATTGGAGTAGGAAGAAAGGTGATCTATTATGATCAAGTCCATATTACCGTCAAAAATGTCACTGATTACCAATTAAGAACCTCAACGCCACATTTGATTACTCCTCGGTGAACACGTTCATAAGAGAATGATACACTTCTTAAAATGACGCCATGTTATAACGGAGATTCTTCGGGATGACATCTCAAGTACATACTGATAGCTATTTAGAATATAAACTAAAAGTATTTAACTGCATAATAACTGTTATATTAAATATCGTTAGTTTCACTATGTGTTGGATAAGGTCGTTTAACTTAAACCTTGGACTTATTTGTCCATAATTTCAACGTTGTTTTGGTTCGGTATTTTGGAAAGTTTTCTCCGGAAACATAAAGACAAAAGGTTTGTCGTGTAGTTCTTAGAATTATTGTTAGAACAACATAGTTTGGTTAACTACTTGTAGTTTACGAATAAGCTTTTGGTACTTTAATTGCGATCTGATTCTCTTGTTGTTTGGGTCGTCCTTAAACAGTTGGAAGTGTTTTTCAAAGTTAGGGCGTTGTGGAAATTCCATTGGAGTTAAAAGACAAATAAGTAAAGTAGATAAAGCCGCAACAACTTTCAGCCTACCGCCTGATTAGTAAAAGAGCTTATTCACAAAAACAACCATTCATTTCGAAAACGAATACACTGATCTACTTCATCAATTTCTCTGAAGATATCAAATGGACCAGTACGTACAATTTGCAAAGTTTTAGTTGTCATAAGCAGTCAATAGATTTGTAGCTAATAGTCCCCTGGAGAAAATGGGTTCATATATTGTTAGTTCACTAAATAAGTGTGGTGTTTGAACAAACTAATGATACTATGGTACTGGTTGATTGTACAATTTCGAATTCCAAATACAGTACATTCGGTTGTGCATGTGTCTTCTTAATTCAATTGTGTTATTTCTTGGACTCTTAGTTAGTGCTATAATTCAAATAATTCGAAACATTATATTGGCGTCGTGATGGAACCTGCAACGGAAAAGTTGGATATTCATTCAACTTCGGAAGCAATTGAGGATTATTTGGAAAGGTTCGAAATCTGGAGCATGACTAAGAAAGATGTCAAAGGTGATAAAATCGTGGCACATTTCCTGACATTCATTGGAAGAGAAGCTTACAGCTTATTAAAAACTTTGGCATATCCAGAAAAACCTATCTCACTTCCTTATGCAACTCTTAAAGAGCTATTATTAAATCATGTAAAATGCAACAGTTTTGAATGCCGAGAAAGGGCGAAATTTCATAAGATGGTTCGTCAAAATGATCAAAAAGTATGGGAATTCATCCTTGAATTGCAGAAACAAGCTGCCAAGTGTAATTTCGGTGATCAACTTCATGTACAACTGAGAGATCGATTAATTGCAGGAATTAACTGAGTTTGGAAAGAGAGCTGTTAAGAATGCCAAACTGTTCCTTTCAAGATGCTAGAACTGCGTGTATTAACTATGAAGCAGTGAATGAACTAGATATCCAGTCGATGAAGATTTCTAATACTTTGCTCAGTCGTCCTGATGAACTACAATCTCAGGGTCAATCGAACGGCGATTCTTATTCTCGTGTAAATATGAAAGGTTTTTCAACAAGGGATTACAAAGCAAATCACAAGGGTGAGATGAAGTTTGGTAAATGTTTATCATGTGGAAAGTTTCATCCTCGTAATTCATGTGCATTTCGTAATGCTAAATGTTTTAACTGTGGTAAGATAGGACACATTCAATCAGTATGCAAAGCTACTGTCCATTTTGCTTCAAGTAGTACTAAATCTTGTCATTTAAATTTCAGCAGTTTAAAAATCCCCCCAAATTCAACATGTTGACTACATTTCTCGACAGTCATTACAAGATAGACCTACTAATACTTCGGACTGTTTGTTAGTGCAACTTTTACCAGTGAGACGTCCAGATCTCATTAGAGAAACTCGCAGATATTTTGGATGTATACTCAGTGCTATACGAAAAGGCTGGACTGCTAATTTGAAACGTAGATTTCCTAACTATTTTTCAAAGAGGGATGAGCTATCTACTACTCCTGATGGTATTCTGTGTTTAAATGATCGTGTTGTCATTCCTCCTTCATTGCGTAAATCTGTTCTTGAAGATCTTCACAGTGGTCATTTAGGTGTTGAGAAAATGTAGTCCTTGGCAAGGCTCACATGTTGGTGACCAGAGATAAATGCAGATATATGTCGTACAGCAAACAATTGTGAGAAATGTCATCAGTTGAAAAGTCATCCTTCGAAGTGGACGCCATGGCCAGTATCGTCTGAGGCCCGGCAGAGAATTCATGCTGACTATTGTGGTCCCTTTCTTGGTAAATACTATGCACTAGTAATTATTGATTCTTTTTCAAAATGGCCTGAAGTTTTTTTACAACTTCACCTAATTCTGACTTCACAATCCAAGCATTAAGAAAGGCGTTTAGTCGAGAAGGGGTTCCAATGGTGTTAGTGACTGATAATGGCTCTCACTTTGCTGCAGATGCCGTCACTACCTGGTTGAACGGTATAGGGTGCAAACATCTGTTTACTGCTCCCAGACATCCATGTTCTAATGGTCAGGCAGAGAATTTTGTCAGGACATTAAAAACTGCTATTGATTCTATAGCCGCCTCAACATTTAATGAGCTGGAGAGGGGAGTAGATACCTTTCTATTGCAATATAGAAATACCAGACATTCGGTGACGAAGGAGACTCCAGCAAAGCTATTGAAAGGTAGAATTCTGCGGTGGAATATGAGATGTTTGGAGTCTGCAGAAGTTACATATTTTCGGGGAAATGATCTTCGACCATCTACGGGTATTGTTCTGAAGAATGTCGGAAAATCGATGGTGCGAATTGTAGACATCAATGATTTAAGTACACACAGTCGACATGTTGATCAAATACAATTTCAGAAACCAGGTGAGTCTGTTCCAATTTCCGTTGTTAATTCTAATGCTAATGAGCAAATTCTAGATAATACAGAATCCTTTTCGAATATAATGGCCGACAGACCCAGGATGAATTTGAGAAGAAGACGTACGATTGATTACAAACACCTAGACTCCAATTTAAGCTGTGGCGGATGTGGTGTTTGAACAAACTAATGATACTATGGTACTGGTTGATTATACAATTTCGAATTCCAAATACAGTACATTCGGTTGTGCATGTGTCTTCTTAATTCAATTGCGTTATTTCTTGGACTCTTAGTTAGTGCTATAATTCAAATAATTCGAAACATTATAATAAATCTATATTAAGCCTACAACTACCTGATAATTTGCCCATCGTCAGCATTGTTGGTATTTGTGACACCAAACTGTTCGTTCTTTCTTTTAGGATTTGTCTTGTATGATCAAGATTGTTTCATATCTAGTAAACTTAATAAAATTACCAGACGGATTTGAAGTTAAAGTTATAAGCTATTTTCAGTCTAGTACTGATCTCGGTTTTAATTCCTTATCTGCATAGACAATTCAACCAATAGATCACCTCGATCGTGAGCCATTATGGATGCCAAAAGATTGCTTTGTCTTTGATTTAGTCATCCACTAGTCTGACTCTATTTAAAACCCAACCAGTGTAATTCTATTCCTTTGAATAGAAAGTTAACAGGCAGACTTGTGTATGGTTGAGAATAAACAGAGTACCGTCGTGTCGTCACACATACTGAACCTCAAAACTAGCTGGCTAAAACTCTACCCTGTATACTACTGACTCTGAATAGTTAAGCAAAGGACACGACATCGAATCATCATTATGTATTAAAGATGTTGAACGCGACTGGACCGCTCGACTAAAACTCAATATCACTTCGCTTACCATGTTAACTTTATCTCCAGAATTTTTGGTGCATATGCAAAAGTTAATGAAGCTTCTATTCACACCTCATAAGTTATATGTTTCTACCGTAGGGTTTAGGACATGTAGTCAAAGAAAAGGAGTGATGTCTCTTGAATTATGTCGTGCGTGAAATATCCCTAATGTAACAAAATTGATGGCAATTTGTCACAGGAGAACTGCTAGTAGTACAGATGCAAGTGTCAATTTCATGTTTACATTTTCCTTCATCAGCTCTCACCACTTACGAAGTCAACTTCATACGTAATGAGTTCATTCGTGCTAATAATTCACAACACAATGCTTCCTGTATATAGACTATTAAAATCTGACAAACAAGCTATTACGAAATCCTAACGATCTCTATGCAACGACTAAAGAATTTCTTAGTAGGGCCATGTAAAGTGAATGAAATTGATGATAATAATAAAAATAATTTATTTTCAAATAACAGTTTGTTAGATGAGGCATACCACTTACAGGTAAGATCAAATTGTTACAAATGATACAATTTTCACTGTAGTAAGTTACTCATCTGGGTTGATATTTTATAAGGTATGAATGTATATGCATTTAGTCGGTATCACAGTTGGTGCGCTTTAAGAATGTTGCGTTACGACGTGCAACTGATGGTCGAAAATAGATCCACTGAAGTTGGAGGCTTCTAGAAATCGCAAAGTTATATCC